ACTAAGCCGCCTTGAGGTACTAGGCTCCGCCGCGCCCCGCGGGGCTCATAACCTGACAAAGGACGAACGCGAGTATAGCTGGGAAGTCTATAAAAGCGCAGACTCACCGGGCAGTTATGTTGAAGGTTGAGTTAGTAGCGTGTTAGGCTGGTAGCTGACGATGGTAGTCGTTCGAGGTAGAGAGAAGACTTAGATGATATTCATGGTAGCGACTGTATATATATGACAGGAGCGTGTGAAGTCACTACCGTATTCGTAACTACTGTGCAGTCCAAGTCCCACGGTAATGTGAGACGGCTACGTAAGCAGAACGTGGCCCTATGCGATGAACGCGGAGCCACACGAGAGCGTGAGCGCTTAAGGTACCGCTGGGATACTAAGCGCCTAAATAGACGTATGAAGGCGATGTTTACTTGTAGACCTCTAGGAGGAACATCGCCGTGTAGGAGGCTTCTGGATGAACCAATAAAGCCGTAAAGGGTCGAATACTAGACGTAAATCTGACACTCACTCCGTATATGCGCATCTTCTCGGCGCCTCAGGCTGACACAACGAATCATCATCCTTTTGAATCTCCCCGAGTAGTCAAGCAAACATGATGGCTGGGACAATGGACGGGGCGGCGCTGCAGCTGCTATGGGCACAGATTAACGGATAGACTAGTAAGTGGATTCGCACTCAGGCGCTTGACATCTGAGTCAAGTTCTTCGGTCAGTTCATTTATGTTTCCTGTGCAGGTGTAAGTCCACGTGGTGCATCTGAGCTTCCCTGCATTAGGATGGGGAAGATATCAAGCCCCCGCATTGATTCCTGAAGTAGTCCTTAGTAAGGTAAGGTTCATGCTCCTTGAACGACAAATTTTGACCTCCAAAGGTTCAGTCTAGCTACCAGGAGGGCACAAGAATGCCTTTCTCACCTTACATGCTGCGGCGAAGCCTAGGTTGGAGTTAAAGTTCAAGGTACCTTACTGCTAAAATTGTCAATGAACAAATCACGAGGCTCGTGTAATTCCACGACACAGGAAAATATGCATCCAAACTCACTTCCCTCGCGGCTTTATGGAGCCTTCGGAGAAGTCAGGGGGGTGTTCTTCCTGATGAAAACCTGCGCAGATCTGGTTCGCCGTCCCCCTAAGTGCTGACACGAGACTGTTCCTCTCCAGCTTCCCATACCACCGTGCCCAGGCCGCAGCACGGTAGAACCCCGGAAGTACGCGTGTGACCGCCACTGCCCTGCTACTCCACTGAGCCCCGTGTACTAATATAAGTGTTGTTTCTCCATAACTCCGTCTTTGACACCCTTTATCTCTTCGCATCCGCGGTCAAGTCTGACCTAGCTATGCCTCCTCGTGCCAGTGCTTCTTCTCGTGGAAGAGGTCGCGGTGCGCCCAGGGGAGGGCCTTCTCCACGTGCGGGTACACCCACTCGAGGACGAGGCCCAGCAGCCCAGGGCGCCGCAGGGCTCCCTGCCGACCACGTTACAGCTGTTGGGGTCAAGAGGCCTGGTTTTGGTACCTCCGGACAACACGTCGTAGTCTCAGCAAATTTCTATGAAGTTTCCATCCCTGAGGAGCAGATCCATCATTACAATGGTGCGCCGTCCAATATTGTCATTTCCTCCCGTGCCATGATCATCATCCGGTTTAAATCTTATAGTTGGTGAGTATGAGCCTCGTTACCGCTCCGTTTTACATCAGGAATCATAATGCTGATAGCCTGCTAGCTTTCCTACCATCCGAGGATATCGTACCTGAACGCGTGAAGAGATACCTAATTGACCACCTCCAGGCGGTCATTGCACCCCACATCTTCGTTAAGAAGTCCAGCTACGATGGGAACCAGAATTTATTCTCTCCTCAAAGACTGGCTTTTGTGCCTGGGGACAGCGCTGAAGTACGCAAAATAAAACTTATCTACCGAGTAAGCGGGTGACGATTGACCTTGTACAGTTTACTATCACCTTCGACGGAGGCACGGGACCGAATTCTAACCCCGGAGCCAATATCTCGCAGCAAAGACAGCGTCCTTATAAGATTCGCTTGAAGAAAGTTCAAACAATCAACTATGAGTACGTATCCTCTTGCTAATTACTCCGAGCCGAGAGGCCACATTTGAACTCCTTATCTCCTCTAGCATAGTACACCGATTCGTGGCTGGCCAACAGAGCCCAGATAGTCGCGCTCAGACGGCATTGACGGTACGTATCCATCGTCTTTCCCTGCTCTCTTCTCATCGTTGCTTGAGGCTATGAATGTGGTGATCCGAATGGAGCCTAAGGGGCGGTTGACTTACAACAGACGCTCGCTCTTCGCCCCGAACGAAACGAGGTACATCGGAGGCGGCATTATCCTCTGGCGTGGAATTTTCCAGTCTATCCGTCCCGCAATCGAAAAGATATTCGTAAACATCGACATTTCTACGGGTACCATGGTCAAACCAGGCCCACTGTTGAGCCTTTGCCTCGAATTTCTCGATGATGGCCGCGATCAGCTGCTACACCCACAACATCTCAGTACGGGTTTGTCAGAACGAGACAGACGCAGGCTGGAGAAATTCGTTTTTGGTATCGGCGTGCACTTTACTCACAGCCCACGAGGCAATCCTCGCGCAATCAGAGGCTTGACTACCGCTGGGGCATCCGATACCCTGTTTACCTTGCGCAACGGCGAGGAACTGACGGTGACATCGTATTTTAGGGACCACCATAATCTAATACTCCAGTATCCTGACGTGTTCTGTGTCAAGGCGTGTCTTTCGCACCTTCTTTCGGAGACTCTCATTCTAAAATAAATCATCACAGATCGGTCAAGGTGCGATGGTACCTATGGAGTTGTGCACTGTCCCGCCCGGGCAGCTTCTCAAGCAGTACATGCCTTCCAACAAAATCGACCAGATCCGTAAATTCTCGACTCTAGATCCGGCTGAACGCCTGAGGAGCATTAAGGACGGCATATCCGTGCGTTGATCCATCTATTTTCATGATGTTCTGGTACTTTTGTTGACCGACTCGCTCAGATTCTTGCCCATGGCCAATCAGAATATGTGCGCCATGCTGGTATGACCGTCAACAGCGAGGCGGGTCCAACCCAGGTGAATGCACGAGTTTTGCCTACTCCGACAATGATGTACGCCAGTAGCGGAAAAATACCGAGAGTGGTGAGTTTCTGGTGGCATTTTTGATCCGTATATATATATATCCAATGAGTAACATGAAACGTTAAGATCCCTCAAAATGGAACCTGGGATATGTTTGTGCAATGCCCATCAGTTTTTAAATGCCTTGTTTACGGAATTGCTCAGGCGGGACAAGACGGTGATTCAACCTGCAACCATTAACTCATGGTTTGTAGCCATATTCGATACGCAGAGACGTTTTACCTGGGTGAATGCGAACGAGATGGTAAAAAACCTTGTGAAAGGCTGTCAGGATATAGGTTCGTGTACTGCAAGGCATTTCAATGATTTTTTGTCACCGCATTTTTTATATCGGCAGGTATTGTCGTTAAGGATATCAGTCCTAGCATGAAGTGGCTCAACGGTCAGGGTAATATCCACAATGTAAGTGATCACGGAATGGACGGCGTACATGGCCTGGAGTCACATGATTGTGTAGCAACTTAACGCATTGTACCGTGCGTCAACGGCTGCAAAGAAAAAGGAGCCAACTTTCGCCGTTGTGGTCCTCCCAGAATATGGAAACGACATATATGTGAAGGTCAAGAAGTATGTGTACCTCATATCTGATACCTTCCTTCATACTTATGTTACGCTGTGCAAACTGAAAGTTTCGGCGACGTCGAGGTAAGTTCTATGTTATATTCCATAGTTGCGGCACCCACTAACGGCGATATCGATAGCAAGGAGTTGCTACCCAATGTATGAAGAGTTATAAATGTGTTAGAGCCAGCGCCTGGTATTATGCACAAGTGTGCCTCAAGTAAGGAACAGACACTTGGGACGTTGATTCTGTTGCTCCATCCTACGACTTACGCAACTATCACAGAATTAATGTCAAACTCGGTGGCATCAATACCATCCTTGACACTCAGCTCAGTACGGACTTGCTTTCCGACCCAGGAAATCCGACGGTAGTGATAAGTGAGCAACGCTAAATGCTTTTGAGAAATCTTTAAGCACTAAAATCATCGATTTAGGTGCCAAAGTAATGCACCCTGGCCCCGGCTCAGACCATCCCTCATTCACAGCTATGGCTGGGAGCCTTGATCCTGATGCCGCGACGTACACTGCCACGAGCCGTATACAGTCCAGTCGTATGGAGACCATTGAGCCTAATGATTTCCAGGCGATGGCTAAGGTAAAAACGTGCTTAGTTTCCTGGAGGTTTTTCACCTGCACCTTTTAATAGTATATCCTAACCATGTACCGGGAATACAATGAGATGAAAGCGGGGATGCCAAAGTCATACTCGCCTTCTCGCATCTACTTTTATCGAGGTGCGCCTTCTATTCTATTCACAACTAGGCTTAATGATCTCATGTGAATATAGACGGTATATCTAAGGGGCAATTCCAACAAATTTTGGACCTTGGTAAGTCATGGAAAACTGATGTCCCCGAATAAATTGCTTATATCACACGATATCTACTCCAGAAATCCCTGCATTGAAAGGTGCGATCTACCATACTGATATCGAAGACATTACCAAGCCATTGACATGCTGCAGCCGCATGCCAGGCACTTGGAATGCGTCCAAAAATCACCATGATCATTGTGGCGAAGGGCCATCATACCAGGTTGTTTCCCAACAAATCCAGTGAAGCTGACAAAAGTGGGAACTGTCTCCCCGGGACCGTCGTTGACCGTACCATCGTTAGTCCAGTGGAATGGGATTGGTACTTGCAAAGCCACGCAGGTATTACGAACTCTGGAACCAGCAGGCCAGCACACTACAACGTCATCTACGATGAGAACAACTCGACGTGAGTGTTGGCTTTGCTGACCGAAGTGATCTCGTCTGATGTTTTCCACCAAGCCCGGATGGTTTACAGGCATTATCATACGCCCTGTGCCATGTGTACGCACCCGCAACAAGATCTGTATCTGTTCCTGCCCCGGTGTACTGTATGTTCTCATTATGCTTGTCAGGTTGATAAGGCCAACTCACACCCAATAGATGCGCGTAATATTTGCAGTCGAGCCAAGAGCCATTTCAACCCCGATACTATGGTTGACCTTTTAGACACTCCCTCGAGCGACAGTACTGCAATTCTCCAGAGATACGTGCAAGAATACAAACCAATCCATTCTAAACTAGAGCGGGTAATGTATTGGTCTTGATCTCTTGATTGCTTTGCCTGAGTACAAGACACGGGCTTCTTTCTTGTCGTTTGTATAACAAAATAAATGTACAGATATTGTGTATGATTGGGAAATCTAAGGCACGGACCGGGAATTATCTTTCCTCGCTGACTCCGGTTCAAATGGGCATGCAACATGGTGCGCGGTTCCGTCCGCATTAATACATCACGGACACATCGAGCGCAGAAAGGATCCAAGTTGGGCACCCTTTCATTCGGTAAAATACGTGTTTTATACCCTTTTACCTTGACATCCACTCACGCCTTGACATACAGAGAAACAATGTTGATAATAATGAGTGGCGGCCCCTTCGATGGACTCTAGTACGGTGGGACCAAAAGCCTCACACGGTCTATGTGTACTTGACCCTATGCGCATGATTCGGGACACCTTTTCCCAACACTTCTAGATTGCACGCGCCACCTCCGTGTGCCAGTAACCAGTCCAATACCACGCTATCAGTCGACAAACAGATCAACTTCATTCAGCCCGAGGTAGTTTTGAAAGACTTTGATTCCCTTTGAGGGTCGGCTTTCGCCGTGGCACCAATCGTTTTTGTCGCTTCCTCCCAGCCTGAGGTGACGAAGCTTTGGTCAAGAAAGCGGAGGAACCCGAATATCGTTACCATATCGAGAGAGTTGCAAACCTGTGGAAATCGACATATTTTGAGGTTGGCGAATGTTTTTAGCATGCTGAGCCATGTCATGTACAACAGTGGGGCGGATGGGATCAAGTCAGTGATCGACCTCAGGCCACTGAGGGTTACAGCCAACAGGAGAAGTCTCGAGAACGAAGTCGCTTGAAACGCTTCGCGTCACCACTTAAGGCTCAGAAGGTCAGAGAATAGTGGACAAGGGGTAAGATAGGTGACTCGTACCCTTTGTCAGAAAGCTGCATAGACGCTCCCTTGATTCAAATAGTCCTCGAACGCGAATACTGAAACACGGTCTCCAAGATAAGTACTCGACTAAGTGGTTGGACGATCGATCCATAACATCCGAAACGACTCGTAATCATGATTAACAAGGGGTAACGTACATAAACACCTCCATCAATAGACCAATTAATCGTCTGGAGGAAGCGTTCCAACTTAGATAAAGTTGCATGTATGGGTGACCTTGAAGTACTTATAAGACGTCCAATACGGGCTCTCGGAACAGTTCTCAGACCCGTGCCAACTGTGCAAGACCTCTAGTCAAAGTATACCAAAACTTTTGCGACCTAACTTGAAGATGCCAGCAGAATTCATAAAGGGTTTCTACAGCATGAAGCCATGAATGCATTGTCGGTGGCTCCCACGCCAAACCGCATTGGTCGTACGACAGCGGTCGGGCGAGTGCGCGTGCACTGCACCAGGCCGGCATGCCCATCTCCGCTGGAACCGACTCCGTCGAGCGCTCTGAATGGGCCTCGAACCCGGACGCCTTCCGCGTTCCACATGGAGCCTCTTTGCATGACGAGCTTGCACTTCTCGTTGACGCTGGACGGTCGCTACTTGAAGCGCTGCGCTCAGCCACTATCGTTGCGGCCGAGTGCTTCGCGCTGCATGATCATGGTGCAGTAAGTCCAGGGTTACGAGCAGACCTGGTTATTGTGAGGGGTAATCCGATCGAGAACATAGCTGTGGCGAAGAACAGCGAAGCGGTGTGGTGCAACGGAGTACGAGTGAGGCTCAGTGACTAGGATGACATACTAGAATCTCATTTAGGTAGTTAATTGGCCGTAAAAATCTGTCATCACATTCGTAGGGGAGCTTGTAGTTTTTGAAGAGAATGGCTTGAATTTATATCGAAAATGCGCATATTGAGAACAGAGAACAGACTCCGACGCCAGCATCCGGGATAGCACAGCCACTGAGATGGAAGACGGAGTTTGAAAGTGTGAGACGAACAGGACACGCATCTCGTCGCTCGTCTTTCTCAATCCTCAACCCATCCCTTCTCTTCCATCCCCTCGCGTTTTCTTTTGCCTTTCTTTCCTCAACCTTTCATCTTTCATCTTTCTTTCATCCATAACACGACGTAAAGGAAGTCAGGATGGCGCTTAGCTTCATAGGGTGCGGCACGCGGCGGTGTGGTGTTGCTTGCAGGACGTCGTGAGCTGACGCGGGGGTGTCGGGGGGCGTTGTGTTGTGTAGGAAGCCGATCTCGCTCATCTCGCACTCGGACGTGCGGTACAGGGGCATATTGGCGGGCATTGACCCCGCCGCGTCGACCATCCAACTTTCTAATGGTACGTCGTATTCCCTGTTACGCGTCGCTTGATTTGATGGCTGATTTGAGTTCGCTATATGTAGTGTTCTCGATGGGTACGGAGACGCGCAAGTAAGTCAATATGTTTGGCTTCCAGGGGACATGGGCAGGGGGATGTACGATGAAGCCAATACGGATGTAAATGAGCTACGGCTCGCATGTCCGAGAGCGCATAAACCTCGTGTGGATTTTTCCGTTGCCTTCCTTCTGACCTCATTCCCTGCCTTTGTCCCAAATTACTCATCTTTGGGTGGAACTCACCCTGGTTTTGAACCATTGATACTAACTGCCCACTCGCTTTGCAGGCCCCCTGCAGAATACATCCCACCCGTGCAGGAGCCGTACCAGTACATCATCTTCCGCGCTTCCGAGGTGAAGGATCTCGCAGTCGACGAGCCAGTCCCCCCGCCTCAGCCACACCGGAGCGTCCACGATGACCCTGCCGTTCTCGGAGTAAGTCCTATCTTCTCGTCATCCCATTCGTTTCCCTCCAGATGAAATATTACGGATGTAAATGAGCATAGCTCGAACGTCCGAGAGCGCATAAACCCCATGTGGATGTTTCCGTTGCCTTCCTTCTGATCTTCGCTTGATGACCCATCTTACGTCTCTGAACATCATCTGACCACCATTCACATCAGGCATCTGCACCAGCACCCGCTCCTTATGGTGCCTATCCACCTGGATTTCAACCTCCCGCCCCCGCCCAGCAGCCTCCGCAACCCCCTCCACCACAGCAATACGCTCAAGCCGCCGCTGCTGCCGCCGGGCGACCGGGACCAGGCCCCGGCCCTGCCCCTGATGCCCAACCTCGCCGCGGTGGACCCAACAACACCGGATCCATCCACACCGCTGCCGCCTCGCTCGAGACTGTCGAGCGCGCGCTGGGCGATCTGCGGGTGCAGAATGGTGGCGGCGGAGGTGCCCCTCGCGGCGGTGGCCGTGGTGGACGGCGTGGGCATGGCAGTGGAGGCGCGCACGAGAAGACGGAGATCCGCGTGCCAACGACGGACTTCGACTTCCAGGGCTCGAATGCGCGGTTCGACAAGGCTGCGCTCGGGCCGAAGAAGTCGCCCGTTGCTGATGAGGAAAGGGCCCCCGACGACAAGCCCGCCGAGGTCGTGGATAGCAACGACGCCGTAGGCAAGGCGGACGGCGCGAAGAAGGACGATGGCGCGTATAATCCTACGAGGAGCTTCTTTGATAGCTTGAGTTCGTCTACCCAGGGTCCGGATGGGCCCCCAGGCGGTGGCGGACGCGGAGGGCGCCGAGGTGGGGGACGCAACCGGCGTGAAGAGGAGAGGGAACGCAACGTTGCCACATTTGGTGAGCCGGGTGGTGTTGGGCTCATGGGCCCTGGCGCGTATGTTGGCGGGTGGGGTGGACATGGACGCCGTGGTGGACGCGGGCCCAGGCGAGGAGGTGCCGCTGTGGCTGGGCGGTAGGCGGTTTTATTTTTGAAACTATGTCTCGCAGGTGTCAGTCGCTACTTTGATGTGTTGGCTGTGCGTATGGGCGTGTCTCTGTTTTACCACTAGCTTTGAGGGCGTGTACCATGGTCATGTGTTCGATAATGGTATACAGTTGATCTGGTTATACTCCGCTGCGTGCAAGCTAGCGCATGAAGGCGAACTTGCCATTGCCATACGTGCCCATATTCAGGCTACAGCTTGAAACTGTTTGCAGCTTTAGAAACTACCATCCCGACGACAGTATCCCTCCCGCATGATGCATGATGTTGTAGGTGCGCCTCCTGCCAACCTTAGAACTTCACAAACAGGTGTCAATAAAGTCACCTGGCCCGTTGTTGATCTTGCCGACTTTTCGCGTCAAATTGTATGTTACTGTTGAGAAGGCAGTCACCTAACGGGTTTCAAGACCTAAGTTGCATAGAGTGAGCAGCCTTCTAGCTTTGTCCCTGCCAAGTCCTCCTTACCCCTGTCATCGCCCTGTAGCTCAGACAGCCCGGGCTGATCCCAAGCAGATGATGATAACCTTGGACTGCCACGGTGACCCAGTGGTGGCAGAAGGTCGGTTCCACTACTCTCGTATAGATGGAGAGCCTGACACGACCCCCGAGTCCCCAAATCGTTTTCCATCTCTTGTCAATGCGTTTCCGCCCATGTGCTGTCTTCCGCTCGAGCTGTACCGAGAAATTTTCGGTCATCTCACTTTCTCCGACGACCCCAATTTTTGGCATGACATTTTCCGCGTCACCCATGTGTGCCGACTCTGGCGCGATGTAGCCATTATGTCCTCCGCCCTTTGGTCAAGAATCAATTTGTACCCCACCCCGACTCCTATTGCCCGCCTTATGCTTGAAAGAAGCAAGGGTGCAACGCTGAACATTCGCCTAAACAAGGATTCGGACACGGAGGAGTACCTTGCGTTTGTCCAGGAGGTCCTTCAACAGCTGTCCCGTGTGGTGGAGCTAAGCCTGACTGCCTCAAGGAGGAGCTTCCCGGCCCTTGGCCATCTTCCCCTCTGCTCCCCCGCTCTCAGGAGGCTGAGGGTAGCAGTGCTACTCGAGGACTCCAATGACGAAGTCTCCCTTCCGCAGCATCTCTTGGGTGAAGTACCAAATTTGGGCAGTTTGAATCTAGAGGGATGCGCTCCATCGTGGGACTCGCCGTCTATCAAAGCCATGTCTAGCCTTACCTCGCTTCGTCTGTCCAGGCTGGGTACGTTGGCGCCTTCGCCCGACGAACTCTGGGGCGTCTTGCGAGGAACGCCTAGTCTGGAGGAGCTAAACCTCATTGATTCTCTCACACGCTTCGGCCCTGCCCCACCGTCATGGGATGCCCCCATAGTGGCGGTAGACTTGCCAAAACTCCTCCATTTCCGACTGAGACGAAGCGAATTCGCTCAATATGCCCATTTCCTGTCATCCATTCGTGTTTCTGCCAACGCTAACATTGACGTACACGTCCCGCTTCCTTCCGAATCCACACCTGCGAGCTTGACCTTGCTTCCTCGGTCATTGTTTCTCTTTTACTCCGCAGAGCGAACGGAAACGTACACCCTCGACCTCTACCTGGAAAATCTTATTAGCTACACCGTATACAAAACGGGTTGCAAAAGATTAGATAAGGAAGAATACTGCATGAGCGAAGCCTATCACACCCGCATCGACGCTATATATACAAACCCCAAGCGCCTTTCCGACAGTCCGAACCTCGATCCTTTTAATGGCTTCTGCTACGGCGCTCCCCTCACTTCCATAGACATATTTCGACTCAAGTTGAAAGCCGTCTATCCTATCAGGGAGCTCCCATGGATCGAGTTGTTGGCCGCTCTGCCGAACGTACACCACTTCCAGGTTCGCCTTGACAATATCAATCTATCACGTCTACTCGACGCTCTCAGGGTCACACCAAATGTAACGGATCGAGATGTACCCGCACCTCGCCTGAAGCTCCTTCACCTCACTGTAGTTGCGGACAGTGAGCAGGGTGATGTCAGTGGTATCGCTGATATCATTGAGCACCGCGCACGCACGGGAGCGCGACTCAAAGGGTTAAATGTACACAACGCCAGACTTCCCAAAGCGGATCTGGTCAGGTTGAGGCAGATATTGAAGTGGGGCGTGCGAGTTACAGACTAGGGTTCAGTCCAAGAGTCAGTTGACGGGAAAACATACGGAATTATGGAGAAAACTCCCTGTCGTTTTATGTTGACTTGAAGACACTGTTTGATGATTAAACGCTGCTTAGAGATAGAATATTTTCGACGTGATCCAGAATATCTCTGTTTAAAAAAGTGAGCGGGGATAATATTTCGTGACAGCATAAAGGGAAAGGCAGAATACAAAGTTGATCTAATGAGATAAAATGAGCTTGAAGTACTTTTGAACCCCCGACAATCCTGCCACCATAGCACCGACTACACCATCTGGTCGCACGATGACTACCCGAGGACTGTCCTGGGCGTAGTAATGAGCGTGTGCGTACCCATCCTTGTCTACAAACACTCTAGCACCACCAAGCACTGTGCCCGCCAGCCTCGCACCTGTGGGTAAAACCACCAGGATACGGACGACGCCGAGCTCAGAGTAAGCTGCAAGCGAGCTGACGATCTCTTCTGCCGCTTGTACATCCGAAGTGAAGATCATCGCCGTGTGGTGGGTCGGCTTGAACAGCTCGAAGAGCTTGAAGGCGCGCTCTCCGTCGAACAAGCCCGGCGCGTCCGGCGCTCTGTCACCAGCTACGAGCTGATCGCTGATCTCAAACCCGTATGCAGGTATGGGCGCTACGCCGGAGGAGAACTCGTCGAGAACAATTGGGCTTGTGCGATAGTTGACGCCAAGCATGTACAAGATCCTAGTTCGACGCCAGGCGCTGTCGACGGAGACCTGTTTGGGTCCCCACGTCTTGTCCATAAGATTTGTAGTCAGGTTGAGCATCTGCGCGATGACGGGGCGACGCTCGGCGGTGTATGTCTCCAGCAGAGAGAGCGGAGATAGGCCCTTGGCGACAAGAGCGATCTTCCAAGCGAGTTGAAACTAGAAAAACAAGTCAGTTACTCCAACGAAGGCACAGTGGAACATGGCTTACGCCATCCTGAATGCCAGAATTGAGGCCTTGTCCGCCAGTGGGGCTATGTATGCTAGAAAGCAGGTTAGACTTGATAGCAGTTAAATAATGGAGACATTAGAGCTCACTGAGCAGCATCTGGATTTGTCAATCTTAGATCATTGGTGCGAAAGATGAATTACCAAGGTACGTACCACCGGCAACAAAGGCCCGCCCATGTCCGAACTTGTCTGCCATTCTGATGTTTGGCCTTGACCGCGGTCACTTCAGGTGTTTAAAGCACAATCAAGCATACGCTCACCTGAAATACGAGATCCACCCTAGCTCTATGAACTCGACTGGACAGCCAATGACGTCCCTGATGAGCGAGAAGAGCGCCTCCTTGTTGGTCACGAGTTTGTCAGCATCAATCTTGTCGCCAGACATGATGAGCTGCCAGCCGTCGTCATCGCCGTGCCAGCTGACAGGCATCATCACGACACTAAAGACTCGGTTAAGCAAAGTCTGTGAGAGATGGTGGTCATCGTACGAGCTGTTGCTACCGTCACCAAAATGATGCGTTCGCTAACCCCTAGTGAGCTTGGGATATACGTAAGCATAGCATCGTTCACGTACCTCACGAGTCAGTGCTGAGCACTTGAAGCGAGCATCACAAGTAACGACTGTTGTCATCTCTCGAGTCTCTCCGAGGAAAGTGAGATTCAGCAGCTTCCGTGTAGCACCTGCACGTGAGAGATATTAGGTTCTTCAATGCCAGTGCCATTTAAGAAGTACTTGCCCCGAGCACCGTCAGCTCCGATAAGGAACTGAGCCTCAATCGTCTCTGATACGTCCCTCTCACCGTTCCATGCCGAAATCTCTGCGACAACTCCCTTCTCGTTTTGTGTAAAACCTCGCAGCTCTTTGCCGTACTCTACAATGCAACCAAGCTCCGCTAGATGAGACATAAATATCCCCTCAGCAATGTTCTGACCCAAAACCAAAGGCCTGTTCTAGGAGCACCGTCAGATAGTAATTTAGATGCGAGACAGGTTTATTTACGAATGGGATTGACGGCGTGGGATCAGCAGCATCTGGAACAAAGTCGAACTCTTTGAGCACCTCAACACTGCCGAATGTGTGGGACTGGAACAGCTGGATTTCTTCCGCTCGATCTAAGGCTTCGGTGATGCCAAGAAAGTTATATACTTCGAGGGTGCGAGGCTGACGGGACTCCTCAGTACCAATAAGTATGGCCAGAAAGAACGCGCTCACATAGGTCCCTGTCCCCCGTTGCCCACGACGCGTGGTGCGTTCTTTCTCAATGATGCGCACGGAGATGCCGTTCTTCAACAATGTCAAAGCAGCGATAAGGCCGGTAGGCCCAGCACCAGCCTGCAATAAGCTCATTAGCATGAGCAATAGACGAGCGGAGAATCAACGCATTGGGTACGCACAATCAGTATAGTGGTCGAGGTATTCATGTTCAGAGCTAAGCTGACGGCGAGTGAATGTTGCCACGACATAACCCACGGTTGACCCTTTTATATATGCAAGACCCCTGCTCTCAGGCTTGAAATACCTTGTAGCCGGTTCACCGCGAAAGCAACTTTAGCGAGCCCTCGCGCCTTCGTGTCCAGCTGACTACATGCAGGAATAGCTGATGGGAACTTTTCTTGATCTACCAAACATTGCCCTGTTAGATCTGATCTCACGCGCAGACCTTCTTACATGATTTATAAGACGTTCTGAGTTAATTCTTTGACCACCATATAGCCACTGCGTCCAGTTCTGCATGAGCAAATGGCACTCACCCAAATGATATCTACTCCCACTGGGAGTCACTTTTGTTTCTCTGAGTGACCGCTTCCCTCGCCCACCTCGGTCAAGGCATGTTACTAATTTCCGATCCTGCTGGGATACATACATGCAACATTCATTGACAGGGACGTCTATACTGCGGGTCTTGTGGAGAGTGAGGTCAAGCATCGCCGTGTGAATCACGGGCCGATGGAGATCATTGAATTATCAGATAAGCGTGTTTACTGGATAGACGCCTGAAGCTGATAGTTTGCCGTTCTGGACCGCTCTTTCGGGTCTCAGAGATGTCAGGGCTGATACGGGTCGTCGGATTATCAGATAAGCGGAGGCAGCGGAGGCCACCGCTAATCTCCAATCGATATATGGGGCCGTAGTTCGATGAATGCAACCAAAATGCAACCGATTTTTAGTACACGGTGAGTCAAGCCGACGGCCGTTACAGAGAGCGCCTGATGTCAGCATTTGAATCGAAGAGAAGTTTGAAACGCCATGCCGGAGGAGCACGCTCGTGTTGTGCCGAGTCGCTTCTGAGTCGCTACTATGACCCTCACGGCTTAAACGCCGAACGAAGCCACCATTTGTCTTGGTTGATGACAGAGTTGGCGTAGCTGAGTAACGGCTCCGTGTCAAATCGCATACTGCACAACCGTGGAAGACATTGGACATCCTCTGACTCGAAGCTACTCGTGGCTCGTGAGGTTCAACTGTGCGAATACAATATTTACATCCCATCATGCATCGGCGGGTATCGGGATAACTATTTGACTGTGTTCGAGAAATACCAAAGCAAGATAGCCCCTGTCAGGCTCACAGAAATAGTACTACGAGCACCATCAAGCAGCTCGAAAAATGGAGGCGATAAACAATATTTATTCGAGTATAGGATCTGGCTTGCGCATGGTTGCGTTTGAACGAGTGGTGATTACAAGTAAGCGACGATATCATTTAGTGTCCCCGAATCAAGTCAAAGTACTTCTGAACGCCTGAGGACCCCGCTACGATAGCACCGACTACACCGTCTGGCCTCACGACGACGACTCGAGGCTCTTCTTTGATGATATAATGAGTATGCGCGTAGTTATCTTTATCAATGACGATCCTTGCGGAGGTCGTAGAAGGGCTTGAGTTTGCGGAAGCAGGTAGAACCACCACGGGACGAGCAATGGTGGAGTATGGTTCAAACGACCTCAACAGGTCGGCCGCTGCTTCAACGTTAGGCACAAATACTAACGCGGTATGGTGAGTGGGCTTGAAAATATCGAACAACCTGACCGTTGCAGTTTCTTCGACGAGACCTGGCGCATCAGGAGCTCTATCTCCAGCGACCAACTCATCGCTCTTGTCGAGCATATAGGCCGCCACTGGTGGAACGCCGGCAGAGAACTCGTCGACAACGATAGGGCTCGTTCGGTAGTTCACGCCGAGCATAAACAAGAGCCTACCGCGCTCCATGGCACTCTCAACAGTCCCGCGAGTCGGACCAAAGGTCTTGTCGAGCAGAGATGTGGTAATGTTCAGCATTTGAGCGATGACCGGAAGACGCTCGGCCGTGTACGTGTCGAGGAACGAGAGAGGAGAGATGCCCTTTGCTACCAGCGCGATCTTCCACGCAAGGTTGAACTAGCAGAGGGTTCCGTGGCAGTATCTCAGTGACAATGTCTGGTCAAGTCATAGAATCGACATACTGCATCTTGAACGCCAGAGTTGAGACCTTGGCCACCAGTAGGACTATGGACACTTCATAGACCGTTAGTATGTAAGTCCTTAGAAATAACGACTTGCTCACTGAGCGGCATCTGGTGAATCACCTTAGTTATGGTCCATGATTACGAACAGAGATGTTTACTCACCTCCAGCAACGAACGCCCTTCCCTGGCCAAACTTGTCCACCATGCGAATGTTGGGTCTTGTGAGGCAATGAGTACGTTGGCAAGAACAAAAACAACGACTTTAGGCATACCTAAACTCGGAAATCCAGACCAGTCCTAAGAACTCGACAGGGGCGTTGAGTGTTTCTCTGATAAGAGAATACAATACTTCCTTGTCGGAGATCAAGGCATCGATGTCAAACTTATCCCCTGATACGAGAATCTGCCAGCGGTCTCCCTCCTTTGCTGCGTCGATGGGTCGGAAAGCGATACTGTGGAACTGGTCAGTAAAGCACACTGGCTATAGTACGGTTTATGACGCACACACTGCCCGACTCGTCGTTAAATATTTGCCAGTACTATGCACACGTCAGTCCCAGATATAAGCTATGAGCTCAGTCAATATCTTACGTTTCTAGATAGACCAGGGCACTTGAAGCAAATATCGCCAGTCACGAGTCGAGTAGTGTCCCTGGTCTCACCAAGGAACGTCAAGCCGAGTTGCTTACGAACAATGCCTGTAGGGACACAGAAGTATCAGACGGGGTATATTCAATAGGAGACATCGGAAGGCGTACCACGGGCTCCATCGGCACCAATGAGAAACTGGGATTCGATAGTGCCAGTTTTCTCTCTGTCGCCATCCTTTGTCACGATTTGAGCTATAACGCCGTCTTCATCTTGCTCGAAAGAGTGGAGCTCTGTTCCGTACTCGACAGCGCATCCCAGCTCCTGTATGTGAGCGGTGAGAATCTGCTCGACTTTGTTCTGACCGATGAGCTTCGGGTTGTTCTGAGATCGTGAAAACCTGATAAGCATATTGAGCTCGCTCAAGCCTTTTGACGAAGACGTACGAAAGGGATGGATGGTGTCGGCTCATAACGCGGAGTCATTGGGACTTCCTTCAAGATGTCTAAACTACCAATGGTGTGCGTCTGGATAAGGGGAACCAGCATGCCCTCTCTGTCGATCTCTGGCACTCCGAGGAAGTGATAAACCTCCAACGAGCGCGGCTGCAAGAGTTATTATAAGCGAAGGATTGTGCGTGCACAACGGGTACCCACAAAATTGCCTGACCCGCGCTCCCCAAGATGCGGGGCACTTTCTTTCTCAATTATGCGTACTGAAATGCCATTTCGAAGAAGTGATAATGCAGCGACAAGGCCCACAGGTCCAGCGCCAGCCTTGTCGTGTATTAGTAGGCGCGAAACATAACTGGCGTGAATCAGCAGGAAACACGTACAACAAGCACTTGAGTTTGGTCTGCCATAGGTGTTCTGTAGGGGTTATGAGGTGATCAAGAATCAGAATGGAGCAGTTGTTGGAAGATCGTCTCCTGATTCACTGAGCTTTTATATGTTTCTACTCTCCGAGTGTCGTGACAAATCAAAAGTCCACGGACGACCATTCGGCTCCCTCGGCACAGCGTATACGTGTCTTGCTCATCGTCGAAGCAATTGCCGAAAATACGCGTGTTGTGTCGAAACAACTCTGGATTGGTTAGCTAGTCAATGCACTGTTTGAACTCAGGGATCGTTGTTGATGGTGTTACCAAGTTATCAGATAAGCGGGTGAGGTCATCACATCTCATGTCCCGAAAAGGTCCGCCGGAGCTTACAGGTCCGGATATGTCAGACTCGCTGACGAGCCAACTTTCTTAGTCGTTTTGTCGCAGCCGATGTGGGTATCTGAATGAAGACGTCAATTAATCAAGTACGGAATTATCGTTTTCAGGTTACCAGCACAGTGCACAGTAGTAGATCGCAAAGGAATTGAGTTCGAACCTGGTGACAGCGACTGCAAGCTTATTCACCGATTGTTTACCGCAACGCGATGACCGTCACTTGTTTCCCGTTGGTAAAGGCTCTACTCGGCCCTTGTGGATTGAGAGGTCGGCCTGGATGACTAAACTTCAGCGCGTGTCCCGGTGCAACTGAAGCAGAAAAAAAGGGTGGGAGAGGGAAAGAAGCCGAACGCGCTGCTGATATCGTCAATACTATGTTGATAAGTCGTTCACGTCAGGTTCTACATACTTACCGTACAATTTTTACAGATAACGGACCACGCGACAGGTACAGCCCACGCGAGAGAGAATATCCTCAAGCATGACGTTGCGGATATCTCCTAGTGGTTCAAGCCGACGCCAGGCCGTCCTTGCCCATCCGGTAGCGATGCGTGGGTCTCATCAGGCCTTGCGCAACTACTCTGCTCGTGTTGGGTTTGGCAAACAACTTAGTCTGCTCCAGAGCATGACTGTTGACCAACGAAGTCAGAAGATGCACTTTGACGGGGAATTTGACACATACTGCGGTTCCGGCATACCCCTCCTCAATCTCCGGGGATTGTTGGGACCTGTCTCTGCATTGCCTTCGAATAGCGTCCCATGTTCCTGGTTGAACCATGGCGCAATACGGATTACCACGATTGTCCATGTCCATGTCAAGACATCAACGGATCGCTCAGTAACGGCGATGCCGCATGTTTCAGTGTGAGGGAACGATGACTTGTAACATCAAGCTCAACCCCGAAGGGCCAGCGTCATATATCTTGCCAGAGAAAGCGAGACCGAGCTGTCTACCCTCCACAACTGTGGAGGAACACTACTGAGGGAGTTGTCGTCTAAAGACAATGTATGTGAGTACCACGAGTGCCGACAGAACCACGACTGGGCAAAGTTAGCCTTCCGCCTCTCGACAGGTTCGCCGAAATTACCGTTCCTTAAGCGCTTCGTATTTCGCAACAGGACGTGGATGAAAGCGACGAAGATCAAGAAGGTGATATCGGCAGCGATAACAATGACTCGGAGGCAAAGACGACCTTAGCCGATGAGGTGCCTTGACGAAGTAGATGATGTAGCTGACGGTAAGAGGTAGCCTGTGGAATATCCAGGTCAGTGCTTGATTTGAGACTGAAGCTGCGCGATCTGATAGGAAAGTCTCGGTTTACTACATGGGTCGGACTTGGCAGTCGCTCATTGCGACGAAGCCCAAATCAGACTCAGCTCAACTCCGCCTGATGCAACGGTGGCTGCCAAAATCGCGGCGCTTAAAAGAGTCCCCTCCATCACACAGAATGTCCGACACAGTGGGCAATCAAGCTTTCAGCGGAGGAACTGATAGATCCGTGGATGAGATTTTGTCTTTCCGTAAGTCGTGAAACCTACCCGAAAGTCTCTAAAATACCCTTCGTTACTTACGCCTCGATTCTCGGCGCGACAGTTTTTGGACATGCCCATCCTGATCCAAGGAGTTCAAATATGCCTAGCGCGAATGAAATCCCGCAAGCGGAAGTTGAGTATCAGCGTACACTCCTGGATGAACAGATCTCTCGAGTCGAGAACGTCAGAGCGGCGCTCTGTTCGCGACGCAATGTTCTATCCAAGAGCGCGATGTTGGTGGCCGAAGTCCTCGCGGATATCTTCTCGTATTGTGTAGTTTCAGGAACTGTGACACCGAGGGAATGGCTTCGCATAACCCATGTTTGCAGGCATTGGAGGAGTGTAGCGGTCGCGATCCCAACGTTATGGACGACCATCAGAGTCGGCGAAGGCTATCATGCGGACCTTGTCGAGCGGATGCTGATGAGGTCCCAGTCTATGCCTATCCAACTCCGTTTCCAATTTGGCGTCGTGGACGTAGACTTTCCACATGCCCTCCTGGGTAACGAGTTCTTCCAGCAAGCACATCGAGTTCGCGAAGTTGTCATTTCCGCACTACACTCCGGATCCACAGAGTCTTTCAATAGCAATCACGCCATGTTCACCAATCTAGAGTCGCTCAAAGTCTCATTCTCCCCCTACCATCCGCCGCAAATCAGTGACAAGCTGCTGTCCCCAAGCTTTCTTGGTGGTGTTTTCCCGGCTTTGCGTCGCTTGAAGTTACATCAATGCGCATTCCCATGGGCCTCGCCTATCATGAGCGGATTGACACATTTGGTTCTCTACAACATCGGCTCTAACGCACCTGAAGCCAAAGAACTCTGGGCGATGCTATCCAGAGTACCTAAACTAAGGGTGCTAACGCTCTCCAATATCATGGTTCAAAACGGGGGCGCGCCCGCTTCCTGGAATCAGCGTCCTAAAGTCTGGTTTCCAGCACTTGAACATCTCACCATCGACTCACTAGACTTCGCCCAATACGCGTGGTTCATAGCGCTTATTGATTTCCCTCCCACAACGCACCTAACGCTGCAAACCTTCCCGCCGTACTTCACACCGGATATGCCCCTCCTTCCGCCCAAGGTTTTTGCGCCACAGCCGTTTCCCCTCGAACTATATATTCGTGAAAATGAGGATACGTTCAGATTATCTATTCGCAAGTTCACGCTGGTCCATGGTCGCCAGCGCTGCTCAGCAGCGTACAATATCAGCGAAGGCACATATCCTTGTGGGAATCGTCTATCCTTTGCGCTCCGAAGTGGGCAAGGCGATGATGATGGATGGCCCTTCCAGGCTGCGCCGCTCGCTCAGCTCGACGTTCGCTTATTGATAATAGAAACCACCAGACGGAGTGAAACGATTCCGTGGCATGATCTATTCGTGACTTTGTCACAGGTGGTGGACCTCAAGCTTACTCTTCACTCCCATGCTTTACACGATGTACTTGGAGCTCTTATGCCAGCAGACGGAACTTTTCCCCTTCCCACCCTTGGCAGATTCTCTCTCAAGGTTTCCCAATCGACGGACGCGCCGTCCGAAGACGCTCTGCTGAAGCTGCTAGAGGAACGGGAGCAGGCAGGCGCAAGACGACTGGAAGTTCTGATCGGGCGAGGCTGGGTTGTGTCGAGGTCGTGTGTGGATGAGCTGATCACGCATGCACAATTGGTTGATTGGGATACAGTAGGTGATAATACGAATGCAAGCGCCCAAGACCCGGAAAACGCATAGTCAACTTAGAGACGCAACAATAGGGGTGCTCTCTAGTACTGATATTGCCTATGACTACAAGTATACTGAGTTTATGTAAACGTTCGCTATAAGAAACCAAAAGTCCTGTACACCCAACCGATCCCTTGAACAGATGTCCTTCATTCTGCCAATTGAGCTGGATGGCGATGTTGCAATAACAGTTTAAGTATACATCAAGGATACGGACCAGGTGATGAGGCGATATAAACTTTAGCTTACTCGCCAGGTTATGAGTTAACTCGAAGTAAAACATCTATGCTGATATGGAGGTGCAGCGGAACCTCACAAATGCTATCGCTATTGGCGACCTTGAATCCGACCAAAGTATCCCTCCGCTCCCAACGTGCCCCCGACAACGGCTCCCACAACACCGTCCGGCCGCACAACGATAACTCGAGGTCCATTCGTGACAAGGTAGTGCGTGTGAGCGTAGCTGTCTTTACAGATTGTTCAGGAAAGTACGCGACTATAACATTGCTGCATATCTAGTAACACTGTCCAAGTCCACGAAAGCAAGTACAAAGTCCACTGGTCTATCGGTCCATTCGAAGTACGGAATTATCAACGATGATTCCATGAAACACCGACATGACATCAGTTGTTGGGGTAAGGAAGGATGAAGAAAGTCTGATGAAGCGTTGTCAGCCTCGCAGATACCACAAACGCAGCAGCGGCCTCGAGCCCTCACCTCATTGTTCGTAGGCTGACTGTTGCTGCCAAGCTGGCACTCGATGAGCTGCACATCGAGCACCGGCCTGTACGGCTTGTTCGTCGAGGCGTACGGCAGGTCCGCGATCGTCATGCAGTACTTCTCGCCGACAGAGAGGTAGTCGTGCGTCGAGAAGTCCCAGCTCTGCGTCGTTGAGTTGTTGCACTTCTGCAGCTTGAGCTCGTTGCCGACGTTCAGCGCGCCGTTCTCGTCGCCCGCGTCGACACAAAGGGGGATGTCAACTTCGAAGGAGGTCGTGTTCTGTAGCTTGAGCTCCGTGAAGCCACCGCCGGAGGTGATGTTGAAGAGCTGCAGCTCAACAAAGCCGTCGTTGTTCCCGAAGTTGTATCCACTATGTCATCGAGAATGACGGGGAGATGTGATGAGCAAGGGAGATGGTCAAAGAAGAGGTTGATAGCTCACAGTTGGACCAACGTTCCGATTCCAGGGTAACCGGCCTGCACAGTCAGAGCGAGGTCACCACGGCCGTACGCTAATGCGTGATCAGTTAAGAGTTCACGCAACTAAGAACGGAAAAAATGTATGCTCACGTCTGATACGACGACCATTGCCAGGGGGAGGGTCCTGGTACTCCTGCCCACGGGGAATGGAGGGAAGAACACCCGTCTGTGTGGACGCAGGTGCAGACGAGGTAGCAGTGGTAGTTGCGTCCCGCTGTTCAAGAGGAGAAGCGAGAGCGAAGGGGAGGAGGAGGGCAGCGACAGAGAGGAACTTCATGATGTGTCGGAGGAAAGTGGAAGAGGGGTAATGGGCAGGCACAGATGTCCAAACGTCAGGCTTTTATCACTGCATCCCTGGACGATCCTGAAGCAGTCAATGGGCAACCGTCAGATCGACACAGCCAACTTGGCCAAGACGCGGGGTGAACTGACCGAAAGTTCATTTCGCCATCTCTGCGCTTTCTGGAGCTTAAAGCATGCGTATTGCGCGAGGTGCCAAGAGAGAATGAAGCAGAAGTGTCCAGCATTGGATTGTGTCCCATTCCGCTTGAAGTTTCAAGTTAACGTCGTCCTCTCAGTAGCTAGCAAGAAAAAGACAGGGATAAGTGAGGGTCGGTCTCTTGGTGTTGGAGGCGCGTGGTGGTGGTTGGAGCGCGGTTGATGCAGCACGTGGTCGCGCCGCGGGCATCACGGAGATCAGGCTCAGCGCTTCTTCAAGGTGCCAAGCAAGCGCCGCCTTCAAGGCAGTACTCGGTGGCACCTTCACCCCCCACATACACCGACGCGCCGTGACGGCGTTACGCTCTCCGCTTCGCAAGGTTTGCGAGAAGCAAGCACCAAATCTCTTCATGGGGTCGATTAGTTTCCACCGCCAGCACGCAAGTGCAAGTAAGTACTTGCTGTAAATCCATGCAAAGGTCGTCGTTAATGCCAATGAGATGTAAACCTCAGTTCTTCGATAGAGGAGCTGGGACAAGCTAGTAATTGCGCTGTGGAACAGCGACGAGCTCACAAACCTTTTTTTTTTTGGCAATAAGAGTACGTGTAGCCATCATACGTCTCTGGGTCGCTACAGTGTATACCATTTGTAACCTGTTTTTTATTAAGTAAGAGTGTTTCAATTCCGCAATGCCATTATTATGCTGAGTACATCATGACGAATATAGTTCACCCCTCCATATTCTAGAGCTAACTATTGGGCAAGAATTCTCCCGAAGTATTTCTGGATGCCCAACGACCCCGCCACAATCGCACCTACGACACCGTCAGGCCGAACGATGACCACCCGCGTTTCGCCTCTCTCGATCAGATAATTCGCGTGCGCGTGATTCTCCTTGTCGACCACCACTCTGGCATAGTCAAGAGTCGCCTCTGATTCTCCCGTAGCGGGCAAGACGACCACAACGCGAGCAATCTCCGATTCCGCGTACGGGCTCAGCAACTTGACTATTTCCTCGGCCTCCAGAATCTCCGGAGCGAACACCAGCGCGGTGTGGTGCGTATATCTGAACAAATCAAAGAGGCTGACAACCCCTCCTCGACCTTCACCGCCGACCTCGACGAGGCCAGGCGCGTCCGGCGCGCGGTCGCCCGCGACGAGCTGGCCGCTCACCTCCTCTCCGTACGCCGCGATGGGCGCGACGTCGACCGCGCGCTCGTCGCACACGATCGGGCTCGCGCGGCAGTTGACGCCGAGCATGTAGAGAATGCGGCCGCGGTGGAACGCATTCTCGACGGTGTCGTGCTTGGGCCCGAAAGTCTTGTCGAGCAGCGCGGTTGTGAGTCCGAGCAGCTCGGTGATGACGGGCAGGCGCTCGAGCGTGTAGGTCTCGAGCAGGGATTGCGGGGCGAGGTGTTTGGCAACCAGCGCGACTTTCCATGCGAGGTTGAACTGCATGCAGCGTGAGTCGTGGACACGGGAAGAGCAAAGATGGAGGTGATGAGACTTACAGCATCTTGGACGCCAGAGTTCAGACCTTGTCCGCCTGTGGGACTGTGTACGCTTTACGTGTACTATGTTACTGAGAGCGACAAAACGGGATGATAGTGAAACCTACTGTGCAGCATCTACAAGAACGCGATAGATAAGCTAACATCCAAATACGGGATAACTGTGTCTTCTTACCTCCTGCAACGAGGACCCGTCCTTGTCCGAACTTGTTCACAACCCTAATGTTCGGCCTGTGCATTGTGTAAGCAAGTTCCCAACAATTTCGAGCCACATACGCGTCTGCACTTGCCTAAAGTCGGAGATCCACACGACTTCGAAAGACTTCACAGTAGCGCCGATAGCTTCCTCGATGGATTTACACAAGGCATCTTCGTCAGCCAGCAGCTTCGAGACGTCGTACTTGTCTCCGGACATGATGAGATGCCACGCGTCGTCCTCACCAAAGTCTCTGGCGGGACGAAGAGAGACGCTGCAGACAACGTTATTGAGTGACACAATCCCAAGGAGCATTGAAAGGGGACATACACGCTACCGGCACCGTTGCCGAATAGATGCCAGTTCTAAGGGTCGTTCGTCAAAACTCTATCCATACTGTGTTACTAAGTTCGAGCAACTTACAGTTCTGGGCAGGGCATCGCACTTGAAGCGGATGTCACCAGTGATGATGCGTGTGGTCTCGCGCGTCTCACCGAGGAACTTGAGGCCAAGTTGCTTTCGGACTATGCCTGTGCCAAGAGTGCGTAAGCTACACAGTAACATTATGCGCTAGGCACACACTTACCCCTTGCACCGTCGGCACCGATAATATACTGCGCGTTGATTGTTTCAGTATGGATGCCGTCCTCGGTCTTGACGGAGATCTGCGCAACAACGCCGTCGTCGTGTTGCTCAAAGGACACGAGTTCCTTGCCGTACTCTAGAAGAGTACCTCGCTTCTCTAGGTGAGAACGAAGATGCCTCTCGACGCTACTTTGACCCAGCACGAGCACGTTGTTCTTTTTAATGCAAGAGAAAGAGAAAAGGGTATCAGCGGAGCGACTGGACTCGAAGCTGAGCAGGAGACGCACAAAAGGAATGGCTGGAGTCGGGTCCGCGTAGGGCGTCATCGGGAACTCTTTCAGCGCTGCAGGACTCCCCATCGTATGTGACATAAAGTCCGGCATCGCAGTCGCCTGCTCCAGGATCTCTGGGACCCCGAGGAAGTGATACAGTTCCAGCGAGCGCGGCTGTCGAATGCCTAGTCAGCTTCGTTCTGAACTGAACGAGTTGGTTTCCGGTCACCTGAATGCCGGGACCACGTTGTCCCTGGCGGGGTGCTCTGTCTTTCTCGATAATGCGCACGGAGATGCCGTTCTTCAGAAGTCCCAACGCAGCGACAAGACCCGTGGGGCCGGCGCCGACCTGGAGAGCGTGCGTTAGCGTTATGTTGGGTGGCAGGAGGAGCGCAGGTGCTAGGTAAACGTTTACGTACGATGAGGACTTGAGTGGAGCTTGATTCGACAGTCATGATTAGCTAGGAGGGTTGAGGGTAAGAAATGAAGTGAGCTAGTCCTCGTTGTTCTGGAGTTGATTGTAGAGAACATCGTCAACGGTCGTGCATTTTTATACCAAGCCTTCAAGAGGATCGTCTCATCTGAAACCCGCTTGCTTCGTACTTCTCGTCAGAAAATATTGCCCAGTGGTTGTTCAAATGTAAACGAGCGGCTGTTCGCATCGAGCTAGCACGTTACCCACAATCTATGCAGAGGGATGGATGCTCGCATCGTGCGGCGCCTTACTCACAAAGGGACACCCGATATATTCGGCTTACTCACGACTGTCTTATTTAGCACATTTCTGGCACGGTCTGACAGCGCTGACAAAGTTTTGACAGGTTCTTGACAGCGGCATCTCGGCCTGCAGAGGGTGAGGAATTTGCTTCAATTCGAACTCAGAGCTTACGGAAGGGCATCCGCTATCACCGGGCCCTTCAATGAGATGACTTCATTTTTTATTACGATAAAACATACTTTCATGATGGAGCTTCCTTATAGAACAGTCATACTGCCATAAAGCGTTGACCGTCGAGGCGGAAGTCTTTTTCACTGACCAAAAAGGGGAGCCAACCTTCGACTTGATTGTCGCATTTTGAGAGATTTTCTGTCGTTAACAAACAAGTGATGTTTGAAATTTGTGGTAAATCACGGGGTTTGATATCATCTCGCGAACACCTGTTTTTTTCGACATGGCTACCTGTAATCTGCGGTATCGTGGACTGGAAATGCAAGCGCCAAAGCCTTAGACGCCCAGAGATGGGAAGTCCAGGAAGAAGCCGAAGAAATGTGGCTTGTTGATTTGTGTGACAGTGTTTGTCCCGGGAATCTGGTGACTTGCCGTCACGACGTGGTCACCTCTGTCGCCCGTTCCCCCAGTGAGAGAGGCCGGGTACGGAACGCGTTACAGTTACGAGTCACGGCTCGCCAACAAATCTGAGCGGATGGACCTCGACCCGACAACACCGTCCCCGCTCCAGCACCAGCACCAGCACCAGTCCACCCTCACCCCCCTCCAGTCCACCGTACACACTCCCTCAAACAGCTCACGCAAGCGCAATCGCGAGAATGAGACTCCCGCACAGCGCCTCAAGCGCGAGAAGGCTGCAGAGCGACAGCGCAGGAAGCGAGAGCGCGATCGCAATAATGCCCAGACCATCTCCATGATCGTCCTCGCCCACGACCAGCCTCCTCCCGACCCTGGCCAGCTGCCCTCGCCTCCCCCTCACCAGCCCCACCCCATGACTCCCCATGCGCAGCACCCCCATCCACCGCTCCCGCACTCCCCCATGCCACATTCGCCTATCCCACACCAGCAACCTCCCCATCCCCATTCCCATCCTCACCCTCATCCTCACCAGCATCCTCATGGCCACGCTACCCCTCTCCCCCCAGGTTTCGTCGCAGCCCCAAACGCAGACGAAATCGTCAAGAAGGACAAAATACGTGCAGCCGCCCGCGAAAGGCAGCGCAAACACCGCCAGCTCGTCAAAGCGCGCAAGATGCGCGACATGGGCATGGAACCCCCTCCCCCTCACCACCCCCATATGCATCACCACCCTCCGCCACCTGGCCACCACGGGCCGCCCCCGCCTGGCCACCCGGGCCACCAGGGTGGGGAGATGATGCCGACCATGGAGGAGGTCGCTGCTTATCAGCCGGGCCAGTATGCTATGCTCGCCCACCATGAGATGGGTGGGCCGCATCCGCACGAGATGATGCCTCCCGGGCATCCGCATGGGCCTCCGCCGCCTGGTCATCCTGGGCCTCCACCGGGCCAGCATCCGCCAAACGGGGAGGGAGGCGAGCAGCAGGGGTACCCTGCGCAGGTCACGGGTGGACAGAGCTTTGCTTCGACGCTGCTTCTGTCCTTCTCGTGCGCGCCGTTGTTGAAGCAGCATCTCCTTCGGACACTGCAGATGACGAACGACGAGCTTGCAAGTTTGGAGCCCATTATCGCGGAGGCGTGGGACCATTGGGATCATCAGGTACAGTATATCTTTTCCCCACGATACGAACATTGTAGAGCTGACTTGACTTTCTCTCTTTGTGATGGGTATATGCGCGTTTTGCCAACGCCCTTTACTTCATTTCATCGGATATATGCGCCATCCCGTTCTCCTTCCCGTCCTCATAACAGCGTCGCATCCACTGGGCCCAGCAAGCGGCAGCAGCAGCAGCCTCGGGCGTCGACCCCGGTGGCCCAGGCACCTTCGCCCCACCCAACGGACCTCATAACGGAGCCGGTCCGGGCCCAGGTACCCCGCCCCAAGCCACCGCGCCTCAAGCCCAAAATCAGACACCAAACCCCACGGACTACAGAGCGCGCTTCCAGCGCCCCGTCGTCGCGCCCTCCCCGTTCAAGAGTTTCGCAGTCGAGGCAGCTGCAGCTGCCGCTGCTGCCAACGGTGGTGGTGGTGTAATGCCTTCGTCGCCGTCCGCTTCGAACGCCAATCTGACGGGCAGTCCCGCGAACGCGGAGGGAGGAATCGGAGGAGGGGCGTTGGTACCGGTGGGCACCATCCCGGGGACGGGAACGATTGACCCACATCTCGCAGGCGTCGTGATTGCCGCTGCGGGCGCGGACGTGACTGTGCGCCAGAAGGTGACGATCGATCCGGATTTTGGGCAGGCGAAGGGTGAGGCGGAGGGGGTTGTCGGGAGGCTCGAGCGGCCTTGAGTCTCGGCGATCGCCGTGGAGGGTGTTGAGCATGATCATCTTGGATAACTCTGATGCTCGTATCATGCCATGCCAGCCGCGCGTTTTCCTGTGTGCCGCTCGCCCTTTTCGCGCTGTCCTTTGGAAATCCATTTCTCATTCCCTCACGATAGGTCTGGTTCCGTTTCCTTTCCTCACAGTAGGTTTGGTACCACATATAGCACGCACGGACGATATCGTACATTATGATCATGATCATCTCGCTTGACGTGCAGTGTATCGCTCGCCGGTGGCGTTTTGGGGCTTCTTGCTTTTATGTTCCTCTTACATGCATTGCGTATATTCTTGTTACTCTACGTGCTTCCTCTATTTTCCGACTGCTGATTGTACGTGTACTTTTTAACTGCACAATTTCATTCTTGGCACACTACGTCCGTACAAAACAGGCGAGACATGTCGTTGGCTCACCTGCCTCGGGGTGTGGTCTGATGAATAGCCCATGTCACATAACAGCGACATTGCACAGACAATCTGCTGCTCTGAAAGGATATAAAACTTCGCGTTCAACTTATTGTATGATGTAATTTGCCTGTTATTCTTTTCAACAATAAAATGCGAAAATAATGAACAACGCCTCCGTGAGTTTGTCAGTGTTTGGTTCATTTCTTTACTTCTTCGACGCCTACGCATCAGGGTCATACACTTTGACCTCCTTCGCATACCAGCGGGACAATAGCTCGGATCACGCGCACACCACACTACGCGCCGGCAACCCTCCTTTGTCCTCATCGTCTGATCCGCATCAAGCTCACTCCGCATTTTTGTTGTCAAACTGAAACCACCCTGACTGCGCTCGTGGATAGCGACCGTTCTTTTTTGCCGCTTAAACTAGCGTGTATGAAGGGAGGACAATGTGGACGGGACTACTACAGGTCAGGGCAGGACAGGACAATAGCAGGTGCGCTTAGATATGACAGCTAGCATGACAGGGAAGTCCGTACACCAAGGTACGCGTTCGACTTCCCGACTTCCCTGAGGGCGCTACAGCTTAAGCGCTTTGCTGTTCAATTGTTCAAGCCTCAAGGCTCCGGCTACCCTAACCCAGTGGCCTGGCTGAGAACGCTCGGCTCGCGCGGAAGGCCTGTAAAGCTGCTGCGACCCTGACTTCTCTAGCCCATACACGGTTATCTCGTGCCACTACACCACGCGTACCATGCGCAAAGAAGTTAACCATCTTCGTCGCCGTGAGCAAGCGCTTGTCTCGTCACAGCTGTACAGTCACACCTCGAGTCAGTTATAAGGCGTACTCGTCTCGCTCTATCGTCTCCTCATCTCCTCATCCTCATCCTCGACTCAAGCACTAAGACAAATTCCTTCCGCACACACACACACACTACACGATACACTCATGGCTTCCAACCAAGGCGAAGTGTATGCTACCGCGATGCTGGCGATACTCCGCTCCATGCCAAACATGGGAGGCGATGTTATGACCGTCTTCCAGGTGGGGCCCAAGGATATTCCAAGGCTAAAGGCGGTTTTTTCGAAGGCGTGGACTAAGTGGAACGATCAGGTGCGTTTTTGATCGCACTGGTTTTCACCGCCTTGGCTGACGTCGTAACTTGTTTTCTTATGATGGTTCGTGTCTATTCACCATGGAACACTGGCGCACTTTCTAACTTTCTCCGCCACTCGTTTGACGGTGGTAGTCACGTCCTGCGTTTGCCGTGATGGAGTTTGACGTAAAAGACGCGATGGACTCGCTGGATGTGGATCCGCCCAAGCCGTTCGGTATCATGTTCGCTATAGTGATGGACTGCGCCCTATTGGGGTCCCCTTTACTAAAGGAGAAGCTTCTCAAATCTTTAGAAATAACCGACGCGGACCTCATCAGCTTGCAACATATGGTAGCTGAGGAATGGAGCAAGTGGGAGACTGAGGTAAGTTTTCGATCGTGGCAGCGAGCTTAAGCGTTGTGCCTCATTGTTTTGTCGATAGCGTTTGGTAGGATTGAACAATGCCCGTGCCGGAAAGCAGTTTGCGTCCACGCTGCTTTTGTCCCTCACAAGCTCTCCTGCGATGAAGCAGGACCTATTCCAGGAGCTACACATGGTCGATGGTGATCTCAAGAACCTCGAGCTGATTATGGTGACGGCATGGACCACTTGGGACCACAAGGTACGCTCAATTAACCCTCTCCATAAAACTCCCCATTCTAACAGGTCATTCTGCGTATGCCTCTGTGCTGATACCCCTTCCGCACCAATAGGGTCGCCCGCACTGCGAGCACTGGGACAGCAAGACAGATACCAGAGGACACGTCTTCGCCTCCAAGCTTTTCCAGTCCTTGTCCCAGTCCTCTTCGCTGCAGAAGTTCTTGATAGAATCGCTCAAGATGACTGAGGCAAATCTCTCGGACTCGAAGAATACTGTCGCCGACGCCTGGAACCTGTGGGATGTCCAAGTGCGTTCCACTCATTGCTTGGGCCATGATAGACAGATATATATGACTGACATATGGTCTTTTTTTGCAGCGTCGCGTTGGTCAAGGCAAAGTTTAAGTCTCTTCAGGATAAATCATGACATGTTGAAAGTGGCAGAAGAGTCTGTGAGCCATCATGTAGATTTACATTGCCTTCCATTTTACATACGCAACCCGATTCTGGGAAGAATACGCTTTGCAAACGAAGTTTTAACGCCTGATAGATTTTTCTGTTGTCTCAAGTAATAAAACGTTATTTCCTACAAGTCCAAAAGTGGTCGAATTCTATCCGTTCTGAGTACTGTTATCGCTGATGGCGGTAATTTGGGTCACTCGAGTCCGCGTTACTCCATGCTGGTCCTTGCATGCTCTACCATAGGTTGGCTACAGTGGTATTGGAGTTTGGAGCACGAGCGTGTGGTAAGTCTGTAGGTTTTATGATCATTCACACTGGACGCAATGCGCCTAGCTTGGCTAGCACGTCATGCCCCATCCTCAACAGTACGTGCAAGCAATCCCTCATGTTACACGTCTCTGTATCAACGTATTATATCTGATACGGCCATCATTATTCCTTTACACATAAAGATCCATATTCAAGTATCAATCAAGTATGTGCAGATACTCCGTCGACTCGGCCGCCGGGAGTCGAACAAAATCCAGCTGTGTGGACGAGGGGCGTGGTGCGATGATGTAGACCACTTTCGAGGAGAGTGAGGTTGGCGTACCGAATATTCAAGCTTGTGCCATACGCAACACACTCCTATCGACAGTCGGCTTTGCTTATTCTCTGCAGTTCTACCGATGCTATTGCTGTCCAGCAGGCAATCCAGAACGTATACGTAATTATACTGAGTTTCATGGTAGAGACATGGGGTCATTCGGAGCAGATCCTGCCACATATACCCCAAGAAGCCTCGTCTACTGCGCCCATTCAAGGGAACCCTGGTCTACGATATGATAGCAACAGACTAAGTGGTGAGCGTAGTCCAAGTCCAAGGGCTCACTGGGAGACTGGTGCGCTTCATAACGTCTGGCGGGAAGAAAGCCGCAAGTCGACGCCAAACGCCGTACGTTGCACGTCGACTACAAATGCTTGGACGCGAAGGGAGCGAGCGATCATGCAAAAGTGGAGGAAATGAAATTAAGGGTCCATGCATTATGTTCTCAGATATATGCAAACCGCTTCATGTAGCACGCCTTGCCGACAGCTTGGCTTATATCAACGATGCTCGGGGCAGAATATCCACCGTGTGACCGTCATCCGTGATCAACCTGAAGCGCACTGCGCCAGACTTATTGTCAGCATCGTGATTGGGTTGACAGATGAAAGGAAGCAGGCTTGTCGGAGAGGAAATCGCGTGAACAGAAGAAGGACGAGAGCGCTTACACGGTTGGAACGCCTCTCCTTTTGCTTTTCGTATGCTCGTGAAGTAGACCGTCCCGGCACCTACAACAGCATCACGAGGGGTCAGCTCCGCACGCACCCGCAATGATAACCCATTCTTGAACACGCACCCTTATGCCCCTTTATCCGAAAACTCAAGTCCACATTCCCCGCAGGCAAATTGATCTGTCCAACGCGTTAGTATTAACTCTCCGTCTCTCCTCCCCTCCCCTCGCAACCTCGCCAACAATGTGGAAGATATCACTTACCGCCCCACTGACCCACGGTGCCCCATTCAGCCACCACACCGGCTCTGGTCTGACCACATCCCCAAGCAACGCGCCCACCTCGGGCGAGTCCCGCACAGTCGCGAGCAGCTGCTGTGTGATCGAGGATGCGACCCTCTCCTGGTTCGCGGCGATGTAGAAGAAGGCGGCCCACGCAGAGACGCCGACGACGCTGAGTGCGAGCGCGACGGGCCAGCGGTTCTGTTGTGCAAGACGGTGTTGCGCAGGCGAGAAGGATAAGTCGGTGTGTTGGATAGTTCATTTGGAATCGACGCAAATCGTGCATAGAAACAAAGTGTATCAGAAAACCCCAACTCTCCTCGACAACGAACTACCTCAAAATGCAACGCACCTTAAGCCTCGGCAGCTCCATCTTGGAGGGCGGCGGGCGCGCATAGTACATCCGCGGCTTGGACGGCGCAGAGAACGTCTCCACATCGTGCTCCTCCAGAGCGGGTCGAGGGGGGTGGCGCGAGCGCGTCTCGCTCACCGTCGCGTACGCCCGCTGTGCTCTCCTGCTAGCACTGCTGGTGTTGACATTGACAGTTGAGTTGAAGCGCGCCTGTGGGCGTGGTCTGAAGACAGCGTTTCTGGTGTTGAGCCGGCATGTGGCAGAGAGCGTTTGGCGGAGGTACGACATTACGGTAAAGGCAGAAGTAGGTAAGGGAAAGAAAGATAATGGGCGGAAGTCAGGAGTTGTTCGCAAAGATTCGGGAAGCCGCCCCGAAAGCTTGACAGGTGCGTGGCTCCCACGGTATAAGCTTTTCATGTGTTTAGGTTTCTCTCCCATAACCCATGTCGGCCGAGATGTTTGCGGTCGCAAACAAGCATTCTATTGCACAATACAATCTCAACAATAAAGCTTCTCTTGTTAGATTAGCAGCATCACGCCCAAACCACAAGTACTCAAACGTCCGGGTACCCAGGCGGCAAACCGTCCGTCGTGTTCCATCCATCCGGAATCGTCCAGTCCCCGTCACAGATATACGCCCAATCCACACCCTGAATCGACGCCTTCTGCGCCTCGACAAAGTCCTTGACCGCGCACATACCCAGGCGGTTCTCGCCACACCCGCGGACACCGTCAAGCGGTACGACTCCGTCGTTGATGATCACGCGGATCTGTTCTTCGGGTTCGGCCGCGCACGATAGCACTGCAAACGCATGTCAGTATCAACGCCATCAACAATGTAAAAGATGTGGTGACGTACATTGAAACTGGACGTTCGTCGCAAAAGGCGTGAGCTGGCTCGAGCGGAAAGTACGCTTCCTCGGTATGCGGTCGGACGGCAGCGGTCCGGCACCAGTGAAGCTCGTCAGATTCAACGCTGTAATGACTACACCCAAAGACCAATGCTCAACGTCCGAAGCCGCCCTCGAAGCAGAGGAAACAACGCACTGTTAAGCACAACGACCTCATGCGTCGCATCCACATACAGCGGATCATTCAGCGGGAACAGCTGCGGCTCATGCAGCGTCGCGTTCGTCGAGCTGTTGTGCGTCTGAATGGGCCTGTGCTCCAGCCGCGCAACCAGCTCCTGCACGTAGCCGATCCCTTGCCCCTTCGCGAGCGGCGACCCGAACGCGACGTTGTACCAGTAATTGATGTCCTGTGCATAGTCGAATCCGTCCCACTCGCGCTTCGTGAACAGCGCGCAGAAGGCGGAGTAGCCCAGCACGACGGTCTGTCGATTTGTTCGAGTCAGCGAGAGTAGACGTGCGGATCAATCACGAAGCAAGGACAAACCTCGTAGGCACACGCCTCCTGGAACGAATAGACGTCGTCAACGGTCAGCGTGAAGCCCCTGATGTGCCTTTGCAGCCGTGGCAACGCGTCTTTCAGATATATGTTCTTCCACTCATTCACGCGGGGAGTTGAAGCCCATCCTTTCGCCGGATCTGCTGAATTTGTGCACCTATATCATTGTGAGTTTGACTTACAGTTATATCTGATAAAGAGTATGACGTACGTTCGATAAGGTGCAAGGGAGTTGTTGAACTGTTACATTGACAGTACTGTAATGAGCGGTAGATTATACATGATGCGAGTGAAGCACTCACGCCCTGTGACTCGATCCCGATCACTTGGTGGTACTGGCCATCTAGCGGGTACCCGAAAAACCCGAGAGCAAAATTCTGTGCAGACGAAAGCATGCGGTGTCTGTACATCGCCATTAAGTCTTAGCCCCAGTAGATACTGAGGAGAAGATTGACGTACTGAGACTCTGTCCTAAAAGTGGGAATGGAGTTGGTCGCTGTGAAGTTCTGAAAAACGCGTCAGTTGTCTATGCCATCAAAGCCGGGAACTTGAATACTAACCTGTAATAAGAAGCCGTATCGCATGCGGGTTGCGACGCCAAGATCGACTATACGAGAGGTGAGTGCTAGTCGAGATGATTCTCTGCGCGCGTAACTCACAAAGTTGAGAGCGGCCAAACGGAGACAAGCCTGCAAAAACGTCAACGCGCGTTCCAAATACACTATGAGTTGAGAAAGGTCACCCTCAGCACCGAGTCTGAGTGTCCTGTAGCAGATGAGCTCCGTTAACACCATGTGTTTTCGGTGGCGTGTATCACTCACCACTCGTTCAGGAACTTCAATGGTCCACTTGCACGTACGTCCGCAGCCTGCTTGTTCATTCTCTCAGCAAAACCCGCAATTCCCTGACCGGAAGCTAAATCACCGTGTTATCTCACAGCACGGCAGTATGGAAAACAGAACATTGTACTCACCAACGTCAGCAGGGCTGCGAGCTCCGTGACGGTGAAGCAAATGCAATCCCGATACACGGCAACCATCCGGCGCCTCTGGGCCTGCATCCACACCGAACCCACCCCGAGGCACGCTCGACCACGGCGAGAGCGTGCCCCAGTGCCGGAACAGATCAAAGGGCTCTTCGTCCTTCCACACGTCGTCCTCGTCGTCCTCGTCATCTTCGTCCTCTTGCACTACGGGCATCGAACCGGGTTCGGAGTCGGAATCGGGGTACGGCGCGTGCGGACGCGGAAGCTTGGCCTTGGGGAAGCTGGTGGGCACGACGATATGCTGAGCGCCGGTGTGGATCGCGTAGTGCGGCGCTGTCGCGACCAGACCGGGCTCGCCCGCGGCGACTGTGGGGCCGGGGTAGCCGACGCTGGTGGGGCGGACAATCGTAATCAGCATCTGGCGGATGTGTAGAGAGGAATTGTCAGTATGACTCACTTGGTAGGGAACATGATGGTTTCTGCGTTGGTCGGGTGCGCAGGCGGCCACTCGTGTCCGGTGGTTGAGCCGACCCACGGTGGGGCGAACGCGTCGACGGCGTTCGCGTCCGTGTTGTATGCTGCGGGGCTGGATGGCGCGTGGCCTTTGATGTTGATGTAAATAGCGCCAGACGCGTTCAGCTGGGCTATAGTCCCAACACAAGCTAGCGCGCCGAGGGCAAACGCAGACGCGACGCGGAGAACTTCGCCGCGTCGAGAGCGCGTCGCATGGTCGGAGCTATAGAGGATATCATGGGTATCGGGAGGGTCTTCGTAAGGTATCTTGTAAACCTTTTCAGACATGGCTGAGGGGTATTCTGGGGCGTATGGGCACCAAGAGCGGGGAAAGGTGGGGAACCTGTGGGGGCGATGATGGTCGCCCGAGGACAAGCCTGTTTATACGCGCCGCTTCACGTCAGGGGCGGCTTGCCCAATTTGGCACCCTTCCTGCTGCCGTCAGCGTGAGCGCCTTTTTCAAGTTCGCGTCCTTTTCGGCAGCGCTCTTCATGAGCAAACCCATTGAATCCAGTCGGAGAGTGACAAAGCCATATGGGCGTCCGATATTCTGCAGGACTCAAATACCCACTTTGCGACTCTAATTGCCCATACTTTGGATGCCTACCTGAGGCTGGGTTGAAGTCGCAGTGCTGCAGTTTGATCAGATTCTTCGTTGGATGAATAAGGCTAGTCGCTTTTATGTCATACACCATCAGCACATTATCCATTCCCGCACCTTGTATAGTTCCGGTACGATGCAGCGCTGACCCGAGCAACAGAGGCGCCTACTGGTCTTCCGCACATTCAATTAGCTTCAGAGCCTCGATTCCCTGATCCGAAGGACTCCTCATCCGAATCTTATTAATTATTTTGCGTCTACGGCACTAAGCATCTGAACATCAACTACATCCAAAGCTGTCCGAGTGCAGCTCAGATCGGAAACAGCAGCCTCACCATGTCTTTGAAGACTTCTTTTCGTTTGACCAAACCACCAGCATTGTTCGGCGAGCTTCAAGTTGCTGGCTAGTATAATCTCTTTTACGGAAAGTTGGACCCGAACAAAGCTGTTTACATTGTAGCGCCAAAGCATTGATCACTGGTCACTGTGATTAAACACGAGGACTTCTAGTGGTAGCTTCGTGACCTTTCTGGGACGAGTATATTGTATCGCTTGACCCGCTGGCGTAATATCTCCTCAACATCGTGTGTATGCACTTGCCTACCTACAACGTGCGTGCAGCTCCATCTAACTTGTCTCCAAGTTGCTTACAACGGACCAGATTCGGGAGACACAAATCGCAACTTCGAACAAAAGCCAAAACTATTCCAAATATTTTGACACCATTTTAATTTTGTATTTTATACGGAACATTCCAATACTCATATCAACAACGTCAACGTCAGTGTCAAAACTGTCTCAATATCGAAGAAGTGGTGGATTGACTAAAAGTACATCGAGCTTACGCATTGGCCATAGCTCGCAAGGTGAAACAACAACGCCAACAAGCTCAAGAGAAGTACATGAGCCTCTGCATGTTTTGATGGACCTGCTGATACTCCGCCTTGTACCTCTGCAATGTGGCAGTCGCATTCGATGCCGACTCAGAGAAGTTGAGCCCTCTCGCGGGGTCGTAATGGTGCTTGGCACGGCTGCATACGATATCCGCGTCTGGAAAAGGTCGCCATTAGCACATGCTATGAACCCGGTCGTGCTCGTGTACTTACAATATACGGGGGCTGGGATCGAGACCGACCTCGTCGCACGTGCATACACGTGGCAAAGCGCGTACGAGAATGCCTGCAGGCCGTCCGCACTGCCCTCGCACATTAGCCTCACATGCTGACGGATCCCGAAAGCGAACAGGGCACTCACGTAGACTTGTTCTCGTCAAAGAGGACATTGTAGTGTGCCGACCTGCTAGTACCCAAGATACCAGCGTGGCTCTGGAGGTACCAGTCCCACTCAACGGGATGCACAATGGTGGTGTCGACGACTGTGCCGGCGTGGCAGTTGCCGCTCCTATCTGCGTCTCTGGGATCGTTAGGGAAAAGTCTGGTATGGTGGCGTTTTGCCACGATGATGAAGGTTATCTTCGGCTTCATCCCGAGTTCGGCGCATGCAGCTGAGGGGGGAACACTTAGTTTGGCAAGATATCATGTCAAACGAAGACATACCTCGCAAAGCAGGGAGTTCTGCGGATTATGCAAGATGCATTAGTGGTACGTCTAACGAAGCATCTACCCAGCTGAGCTACTCACCGAAGTCCAGCACCTGCTGGAACTGTCCCTCTGACACACCGTCTGGACGATGAGGGCATGAGCACGCATCGAACACCGGGAGGACGTGGCCTTACCTCTGTAGAAGAACAACCGGGCGGGAGAGTGCCCCTTTGGCTTCCTTTCCATTCCCTCTCCATATCCCCGGTACATGGTCAAGACTTGCTATAACAAGAATATCAGCGTCAGCGGCGTCAGCCCATTGAACAAGGAGCGAAAGTACCTTGGCCATCGCTTTGAAATCATCGGGATCGATATTCTCTACGCGGCTTGACTGGACAGCGCTGGACGCGACGTATTTCGCGCAGTTCGAGTCGACGCTCCCGACAATCGCCGTGAACGAGGGCCTGTCCGAACCAGGGCCGGGGTGCATGACATCGGCACCTTCGGATATTAGGCTTCAGCCACAGATGCGTGATCGAGAAAGACAACGTGAGGAGAACGTACCCATTACGATGGTTGGGTTCCTTGGGTCTGCGATCAGGTTCGTGCCCGTCTGCGTATCAGTCACGGTGTTTATGCCTCCGAGTTTGACGTTGATCCTGATGACTCTGTAAGAAGTAGAACGCAGAATTATGTGGTATTGGAGCCTACTTCAAACACACGTTGGCGTAGTACTGGGTCTTTGCCCTGAAGCACTTCGAAGCCTTCATACATTGAGTGGCTACGCCAACCTGCGGGTCTAAGGTGAGCCGCTATCGAGCAACAGTCCCAGAGATTGGGTTTACCTTGACGTCTCCAAAGCTAGTGATCATAAGAGTCCGTGGTCAGGTTCTAATGCAGAGACATATGAATATGAACATACTTTTTAACTTTGATGTAGATGTCATTACCATTCTCGGGGAGGATGACGACAACAAGTGTCGGCGGCTTCTTGTTCTTGGTCATAGATTGGGCTCCAAGGCCCCGGAGTTGCTAGACCATACTATTACGCTACGTCACCACGCCTCTGCTGTCTACGAGAACTCACATTGTGTATATTACCTTGGCCGTCGAACCACTCTATGACTGGATTGGTCTCCCGGACTTGGATGCCTATCAACGGGCGAGTGAGAGGCCGAGACAGCACTGGATTCCGTGCACACGTACCAACATCCTGACAGCACTTGATGAGGTCTCTCACCATCGTTTGCGCCGTCTGCTGGTTGAAGCGCTGCTGGCGCTCATATATGGCGACAGCCCACGTCTCGATAGCAGCCGGCTTGATGAACCGTTTATCCGCCCTACAGGTCGTCAGCATCGTCCGCGCGTGCAACTGCTCACTACGTACATGTTCCATGCTCCAAAGGCAGGTGTCTACCGCGTGAGTGGTATCAGCGTGTACTCTATCAATGTCTCGCAGCGAAGAGCAGACTCACGACTTTGGATATCTTGCTCTCGGGAGCATACTTCAAAGGCGGAGGCGGCAGGACGCGTGCGGGAACCTGCGCCGGTCCGGCCGCGCTGTTGACGGCCATGCCGAAGTGACGGACGTATTCCGACTGTCCGTACGCGAGCAGCTGCACAAGATGTATATTCAGCAAGAGAACGGCGGCAACAAGAGAAGCGACGAAAGCGTACCGACAGACCGGCGTTGATAGATCGAAGACGCTCTTCGGGTCTCTTCGTCGAGAACTCGCGGATCCTATCGATCTTCTCGCTAGGCACTTCTTTCTTGAGGATCTGCCCGGGAGGTATGGTGCAGAGCTCCAGGGGGACCATTGCATCGCGGCCGACCTACGCAGAAAGGTTAGGATATTCAAGGAGCACAACATCGCAAACGAGGTGACATGCCTTGATACAGAGCGCATCCGGATAACGGAGCTGCGTGTTATAGGTCTCCCTGAAGTAAGACGCTACCGTTTTCTCCTGCCCATCGCGCAGCTTGAACCTAATACCTGAGGCGCCGACATTACTGAGACCTCTGATAGACTTGGTCTTCTGCTGCCTGTCGAAATGAGTCATGTGAACGCCGATACCGAAGATGAACTTCTCGAGCTTTCGCCTGTCTCTTTCCGGCAAGCTTGCAGTGAGCTGGTTCTCGCGCAGATGACGAGAAGGCGGCATGCCCTCATTGAGAAATTCTAGACAAAGCCTGAACAGGGGGCCAGGCTTGGCCATCATCGCGGTGGATATGTCGACATTGACGTATATGCGCCCGATGGCCGGTCTGATTGATTGGAAAAAGCCGCGCCATAGTTCGATGCCGCCGCCGATGTCGAGCGTCTCTCGGTTGGTGAAGAATGACCTCCTATTATGCGCCATCCGCTTGATCGGGTCCATGCGGAGCACGACGTTCATTGCCTGTGAGCGTGAAACGTCAATTGAATAAAACAAAAGGAAACATGGTAACGCACCGTGAGGGCCGTCTGAACTTCGTTGTCGGGGCTTTGTTGACCCGCAACTAATCGATGTAGCATCCTGGGCGACGCATACATGATCAGCGAATGCTCGGTGACATGAAGCACGCAGACGTACTCGGGATTGATGGTATTGACTTTCGTCAGCTTGAGCTTGTACGATTTCGCCCTTCGCCGCGAGGTATTCTCTTGTGGGCTGGATCCTCCGCTCCCCCCACCACCCAAGCTCACATCGAACTGTGAACGCTTTTGTCGAGCCATAGTGGATAAGAACAGGGTGGATGCGTACCTCGGCAGCATCTTGGGGGCCCAAATTCAGCCTCTGGGACGAGAAGATGTTCTTATTCCCATCGTAGCCGACTTTTTGAGCGAAGATATGGGGAGCGTCGACTTCTTGAAGATGTTCGATCAAATCCCGCTTGAGACCCTCCGGAAGCGTTGCCTCAGAAGGCGTGATAGCTAGGGAGAGATATTAGGATTATGTGCAGCTACTGTTATCGTTGAATTGGCTCACCAACTGCAACAGTAATGCGGACATGGATCGATGAAGACGTCAATCGCCTCGACGGGCCAGTCAATCAACGCACCATCATAATGATGGATGTGCTCTTCAGGCACCGTGACTTCGTAAAAGTTCGCTGAGATATGGATAATCCGACCTGCTGTACCATATCCGGGTCTCTTCACGCCAAGTGCTTGTACATGGCTGGCGGGAAGGCCTGGTGCGCCCTGGGCTGCGCCCCTTCCTCGAGTGGGTGTCCCCCCGCGCGGAGGAGGCCCGCCCCTAGGCGCACCGCGACCGCGGCCACCGGATGCTTTAGGAGGCATGGTTAGTTCGGTTAGACGGTGAAAAGTAGCGCTACGAGGGGCAAGAGGAAGGGGGATCCAAAGTGAAAGAGCAGAGACACGTTTATCAGGCGAGGATTTAGGGGGTTGATAAACACACGCGTAAAACCCGGGATTTTTGCGTGCGCGTGGGAGAAACGCGTCAGGAGGACGGCGAGGCACAGCACCCGCGATCCGCCCAGGCGTTGATCGAGATAATCTCTGCCATCGCGATAGAAGTGGGTCCATATGTATGCACGTTCCTTGCGTCGTGAGACCATAAAAGACCCTATGACTCGTTATTCTCACAATCTCGGACGCTGACCTTGAATTTCCGCTTCGCAGCAACTGTGCCGCAGCTTGCGTAAGAAGAGCGGGTTACTTCGCTCATCTATAGATGTACATTCTGTTATCAAATCTATTCCTAAGGAACCCTCTTCAGCCTACATCTCTGCTGCGTAAGTGTGGAGCAGTTGGGAACGACCACCGATAGTAGAAATGACTTCGAATAGGGTTGTGCACTGGCTGTTTCTGCTGTGGACTCCTTGCGCCTACAGCAAGGCTTCGTGCGTGCCGGTCTCGGCAAAGGCTGAACCATCTTTCATACATCTAAAAACAACCCTTTGGATCAGCACACGGTGACTCAAACAGAAGTACGACTGCCAAAACATACACGATCAAGTTAGCGTACTTGGTCAAGCGACCGAGGCGATGTGTCACAAATATCATCGTCCGTCCGTGCCTCGCATTGCGCAGGCGTTGGAAGAGTTCGTACTCCCCCTGGGGATCAAGCGCGTGGAGCTGGGCTCATCCACAGTGGCGAGTTGACGTCATTCAAGAACAGATGCATGGACGTGCGCGCCTGTATGGAGCCGTGTCAGCGATCATGCTATGTCAAGCATAACGACGAAGCCCGCACGCTACAAGTCTCCCCGCCTTTGTTCAAACCAATACGAATAATCTAGGTGATTAGTCCGACTAAGGGATGTCACTTCTACGCACCTGAAACCTCCGCGCGCTTCTCCATCTTGTTGAACTCTGCCGTAAACATTTCGTTTCCAAACGCGGCGAAGCTCATCTTCGCCGTCTTTGCGGGCGCCAACGCCGCCTCATATCCCTTCGCGAGCTTCTCAACGACTCCATCGGCCCCCACGAGCGGGGCCGGCATCTTTGATCAGCGCCGACACCGATGTTCTCCGCAGCCGACAGAGGGAATAGCCTGTGGACTTGCGAGAGATGCTCCATCGTGCGCCGCAGGTCTTTTGCATCATACTCCTCAATGTACCGGTAGCACCCGCCAATCTCAATCGTACAGGACACGGGAGCACGCAGGCGGACCGGAGGCGCAGGAGCGTAGACTTGCCACTTCCATTCACGCCAACGATGACTACAAGCCGGCCGGCGCAGACGTAAAATGACACGTATTTGACAGCGTCGCGAGATAGTTAAAAGAAGGATTCCTTGAAAACGCGATAAGTCAGAGGGAGGAGGAAGTAGGCAGCAGACTTCATACAAAATACACATACTGAACATTCAGTGCCATGCCTCGCTTTGCCTTGTGCTCTGGGGGAGGGTACGGCGCCAAATCCAAGCTGATTCTCGAAATCAAGCATCATGTAGAAGCTCTTGATTGTGCAAAATTGGTCGGCAAGTACCTCAGCTCCACAGAGATGTTGTTAAATGTGCCCTGGAGTGGCCAAGGCGTGCTATGAAGGGCTGCGAACTGACCCATAGATAGGCCACTGTCGCATACTAAAAGGGCAAGAATCGACAAGTAAAGCTGGTGTTGAAGGTTATCGCACGATTTCACAGGTAAATGAAAGGACGGACGGAAGGCCGCATTGCCAGTGGCACGTTTGCTGAACCCGTGTACTCAAAGTACCCGGGCCACATGCCGAGAGAACCTCCGACCGCATCTTTGGCAGCTGCAATAGTGCACTGTAAGATGAAGAAAGGGAGCAGATATTATGCACTTACCGCGAGATAAGTACGCTTGGGGGTCACCGGTGAGTAAATCTTCCCTGTATTGAGCACCAGTAACGCTGTACAGTGCTTTCTTTCTCAGGTATGCCATGTCGACTATCTGGCCAACGAGGCCTGGGTGTATGCAATGAACAATCCTCGCAAGCGCGGGTCAAAATAAAACGCGTACATTTGCCCCGTAGTCTGGATCTTTTAAACCCGATGAACTGATCCAATGATGGTGGGACGTTCAAAACGATGAACATGGATCCGGCACCCTTGACGAGTTCGTATGCATCCGCAAAGTTAGTCATGATGGGCGTCAGAACACAGGAACCAAAAACGCGGCAGAAGTGAACCTTTAGGTTCAGGTGTTCGGGGACGAAACACGTACTCTACGTGACTCGTTGTGTCTAGTGCTCATCCAGCGCAACCGCATCGCAACCAATGGGTATGACGGCGGATGAACGTCTGCCAGCACTTCTAAGCGGAGCGCCTCGGGTTGCAATGCGTTCGAACAATGGAGCTGTTGTGAGAGGGCGCCTATTCCCGCGACATACTTGTTCAGCTGACGTGTGCAGTGAGAGCTGGTCGCTTCTAGTCTTCACAGCATGTATCGGCAATGCACATTGGCCGAGCGCCTATAGCTATCCCGCTGCTGAGTGTTTCAGCTTGGACATTGAGCCATATGAGATAACCGAGTCCGGTTTCGCATTGAAGCGCTGAGAATATGTGCATGTATGCGTTGAAGAAGGTTGGAAGAAGGCTGAGAGCGCGCAACGCGCGCAATCTCAGGCGCTAACCGTGCTGAGATTAAATTCAAAAAAGGAAGTCACTCCTGTCTTTTACTTTCGCATTAAGTCACACAAGGGATTCAATCTTTGCAAAGTAGTCCGTACCAAGTCCGTACACAAAATATTATCCGTTGACAGATTTTCTGTCGGGACATGAAGAAAATAACACAGGTATACGACAATCAAGCACCATCATCTACATATAGGCGCTTGTTCTGTCACCTTGGCTGAGCGCTTCCACAGCATTATCTCAGGACTTAGCAACAGAACTGTGAGTTTCCACTTTTGTGGATTGGATCAAAGGACGAGTTAACATGGATTATGAAGTAAAAGCGGAGGCTTGAATGTTGTACAGCCTCGCATACTCGCCGGCGGACTTCAAGAGCCCGTCATGTGTACCGGTTTCGACGATCTTACCGTCCTTCATACATCTAAAAGATGGTGAAACATTGAAAAAGAGAGAGTTTGGGATAAACTTACACGATGAGATCTGCATACTTGGTCAAATGTCCAAAGCGATGCGTAACGAAGATCATCGTCCGACCATGCCGCGCGTTCCGCAGGCGCTGGAATAGCTCACATTCCCCTTGTGGATCAAGCGCTGAGCTGGGTTCGTCAACCGTAACGAGATTGATGTCGTCCGAGAACAGGCGCATGAAGGTTCGTGCCCTTAAACTTAAAGTCAGTGGATGCGCGCCAGACGCGAAGCAAGAGTTACTCACGCTACGATTCGCTGGCGTTCTCCACCTGACCATCAAAGTGGTTAGTATATTTGGATCGCATATCGCAGATATCGGCTCCGAATTTACCTGAAACATCAGCGCTTTTCTCCATCTTGTTAAACTCCGCAGTAAGCGCCTCGTTTCCAGATGCGTTGAAACTCATCTGTGCTGTGCCCGCTGGCGTCAACACCGTCTCGAATCCTCGTTCGAACTTCTTGACCAGCCCTTCGGCACCCGCGAGCACAGCCGCGTCCTTAATTGCGGTCATGTCGTCTGATTTCTCCAGACAGCCTACTCCAATGTTCTCGGCCACCGACAGTGGGAGCAGTTTGTGATCCTGAGAAAGGTGTGCGATCGCCCTACGTAGATCGTTCACATTGTACTCTTCGATGGGATGCCCGTCCAGTTCGATTACACCCGAAACTGGCGCGTAAAGTCGCACGAGAAGTCGCAAGAGTGTAGACTTTCCACTACCGTTTGCACCGACAATGACAACTAGCTGACCGGCGCGGATGGATAGTGATACATCTGTAATAGCGTCCCTCGATGCTTGCGAGCCTTTGTAAGTGAAGGAGACGTTCCTAAACACGAGGTCAACGTCAAAGCCGTAAATTCCCAGATTGTAGCCTAACGCTCACTTGATATTGATGGCCATGCCTTCTTTAGCCTTGTTACCGGGAGGTGGGTAAGACGTAAATCCTGAAGCAAGCTCATTCTTCATGTCGACTAAGGTATAAAAACTCTTGACGCGAGCAACGGCTGTCGGCAGCTCTTTCAAACCCATGGAAATGGATTCAAATGTATCCTGTAAGGATGAGGACGCTGTTTGAAGGGCTGCAAGGCGAGCTATAGAAAGCGTGTTGGTCCAGAAAATAGCGAGCAGCATCAGGTATAGCTCCAGCTGCATGTCAGCGGAGAATCGGGAAATGGATGTGAAAACACACAATTGGAATATCATCGATGGCTTGATCGGCAATCCACCATAACGCTGCACTTGTTGTGATTACATATTCCGGCCATAGGTCTATTGAGCCGCCGACAGCCTCTTTCGCCTTTGCGTACTCTATCGTGCACGGTAAACCTCTGACTTATGTAGTAAACACGAAAATTGACACCTACCTCGAGAGAAGTACGATGCCAGATCGCCGGTGAGCACATCTTCCTTGTACGTGTCTTCGGTAAGGCGAAACAAAGACTTCTTCCTCAAATAAGCTGTATCTACTATCTGACCAACAAATGCTAGCACATAGAACATCAATAGTTAGCTATTAGTCATATGGTTCACTGGCAGCACTTACATTTTCCCCAAAGCCCCGGGGTCGAGATTCCCGTGGCGCGCGTAATCGCAGGTATAACGTTCAAAGCGATAAAAAGTGGTCCAGCGTTGGCGGTCCCCCCAATAAGGCTAGAGTAGACGAGGTTCAACTGGAAGAGAAATGATATACACCGCTTAGCAAGTTCTACGAGGGACGTGAAGAGGTCGTAGACATCGTCTTCGGAGACGCTCCGCTCAGCGTCTTTTTCTAAGGGGCATGACCACTGAGAAACTGTGCATTGTTCATATTTCGAATCACGTACCTTTGGATGTGGGCAAGTCTCGCTCGAGCTTCGCTGTAAGTTTATTAGTAAACGGATTCGGCTGTGCATGTTCTCGACATACCTTCTAATATCTTTTGCTCGTAGTGATATTTGATGAGTGCCTTATAAGCCTGAAGAATGTATAATCTTCCCGCCTCACGTTAGGATGAGCGAGGAGGGTTAGTAAAGACAATTCCTCACCGTAGCCAAAACACAATCGTGTTCACCACCATGTATGCGAAGCGATGTCCCAGAGCCCTGTAAAAGGCTCCGTCCTCGACGACTTCTCCTGTGATCTTCTTCTCCATCTGCCGTAGAATGAGAAATGAAAATTAGCCGCCTATGATAAAAGTCACGTACCAGAAACATAAGATGATGTGCCATGTGAAGCGATAGCCCTGGCAGCAACGACCCAATTGCGTAAACAGACATTGTGCACCAGAACATGACTCTGTTTACAGCATAGACCTCCTTGGTTGCTCTGAGCGCGATAGAGAGACCGAGTCGCTGTTGGGCCCACCGGGATGCGATACTCGAAAAAGTGAGAGCGAAGGAAGGTTCCTTGACCGTTAGGATGCGCCATATTCCAAAACGCTTTTCGATGATATCCGGGTTCGTTTCCGTGCTCTTCGTGTCCTCTGCTGTGGAAATCTTGGATGCGTCTTTCTCTGGCATAATGCCCATGTTCGGTAGAAGTTGAGCAGGAAATGCATATGGATGAAGGAGCTTATAAGGGTTTGGGAAAGCTGAGCATCGATACGATGACTCACGCTGATGTGCCCGCGATATCGCACAGGGTCCGACTGGACGGCTGGCACAAGGCTGGCGTTGACGGAAACGGAGCTGAACCATAGCCTCCGATAATTACGCTTAATGCACGCATGAGTACAACAAACACATCCGCTTTGGAACATGAACAGGACATTAGTACCACCCGAATCAAGAAGGCGTGTAAAGAGTTTCAGGGGCCGCCGAAGACAAAGGAAGCCGACTGCGTACGTGGACTACCGGGGTTCAGGGACCTATGGGCGTCAATCTGATGCGATGAGCGGCTTCGAGCCGCGAGGCATTTCGGCGCTGCGTTGGGCGCCTACAGGACCAAGCCCATACAGCAAAGGACCACAGCACGAGGCCGATGGCGCCGACCTCGGTAGGTTTCAGCACTGCAACGGGTCAGGATTGTAGCTGGTTCCAATGATGCATGTGGTTCTGATGCAGTTCATTCTATCCGAAGGTGATGTGGCCGTCCGATGGTACTTCAGCAGGACTGGGAGCACTAGTGAAGAGAACGTGTGCAGAAAACAAAGAGAAGCGTCTGCCCAGTGGACTCTTGTGCGGACCTGGAAACATGTACAGCCACAGCCAGAGTAAAAATGGCCCCTATTAATACCCATCATAGCTTTACTCAAGTGACTTCGGTCAACTTCAGTGACCGAATGACAAGTTGGAAAAATCAAGCAACGCCTTCATGATCGGCAATAGAAAGATAGGACTTTGTGGCTATGTGCATCGGTCGCTGAGTTTAACCTCACGTCTCGAGATGTATTGCTGTAGGACTCTGCGCGCTTAAGCTTCAGTACTCAGTGAATAGAAAGAGCGTCTTGAAGGTGCTGGCACATTTTCAGACTTTACATAGACTGCTTTGGCCGTTATGAGCATCCTATACAGTCATCCCATGCATCGTCATATTGGTGCCCCACGCAAGATAACTTCATCATCCACCAACAGTCATAAGCTCCACGATGTGACTGTTATCAAACATCAGCCCTGCCCACACATTGGATGATGACCATTCGACTCCAACTGGCATTGACTTTACCTGGGACAGTTTACCGATCGCGCAAGACGGATATTGAAACGTTGACGGGGTGCGGTTTGGTCACAACTCAGGTCATAGCCTGCCAACGTTCCGTAGGTTATCCTTGTCTCAGAGGACTGCAGGGTGCATTCACGATTTAAACAACATGACAATGACGATACATTACACCCCTATCAATAAGTAAGCTCAATACTCCCAAAAATGCGCCTCAACCGAGCACATTCTGATTCGGTTAGAAGCCTCTTGCTGACAGCGAGCTTGTCCAGACAAGACCCCGCTCTAGCTCGCTCCTCAAAGACGTGGGCAACGCCTTCAAGCTTCGGTCGTTTACTCCAGACTGCCAATGGTGGAAAACGCAGCTCACGAAGTTCAGCAACAGGAACACCGTGATATTGTGGCTCAAGAGCGTCGATCAGTTGAGCAGTGCTCAATGGGCCGATCTGGGCGTGGAGAAGGCGAAGGTTAGGCAAAGCCGAGAGAATATCGCTCCATGGAATCCCTTCGAGGTACCATTCACCTCTATCCCTATACGTCGTGATGCGAAGGTCGCGAATGGATACGAGGGGCGCGTCAAACCACAATGAGTTGAAAGTTGCGCGAACAGCGTCGCAGGCGTATTTGAAATGGTGATGAAAAGTAGCATTGATCCTACCGCCACAATCCAGATCCGATGTGCGTTCGCATCCACGAGAGGGGTGCTGAGTACTTGTCTGTGTTATGATAAAGGAAAACAATGGTCCCAATGTCATGTCAAGGGCAAGCGATGGTGTGCTCTCGGATCGAACGGCGGAGAAAAGGGATGGTGGAAGCCAGGTGAGTCTTTCGGCGATGCTACCCTGGCCACGATAGGTGGTAATGACATCCAAGGTAACGTGCGCGTTCGCAGGAATACGAACGCGCGAGAAGAAATGTGCGTACTCCATGAACCTTGTTTCTGTCAAGTCAATGTGATGGATGTGGGGAAGATCAACATCCGCGTCAAGAGGCCAAGATGTCGGTGCGGGCTCCAGTCGTGACAGAACGTCTTGTAGCCTGACATCCTCAAGGGCGGTCGCACTCTTCAAGACCAACCAAAGCTCCTCCGGCGAGGGCTCTAAGGGCCACATTGCTTCGAGTTGTAGGCGCGTTAGTCCCTTGAATGTAGACGAGTGCCATGGAATTACGCAAGCGCACAAGCGCAGGCTATACAACTCGGGTGCATTGCCCATCAAGTCCTTCGGTAGAGCGAATCGCGCGCCTGGATTACTCGTCTGCGAAGGTTCCAAAGAAACTTCAGAGAGGACGGGGAAATCAGATGCAAAGAAGTTGATAGTGGTCTGGAGCTCGTTGCTGTTGAAACTCAAAAGTAGTTTCTGCATACGACACCGGTGGGACGACAGCTCCTTTATGAGCTCGCGATAAAGTTTGCGATCTTGAATCCCGTGTATGGTGATGGTGAGCGGTGTACCCTTTGACCGCTGCAGGAACAGCCGCAGACGTCCCGTTGACCGCTCGTGGCTTTCTATCGTGATGATGGACCAGAGACAAGGAAATTCAAGGGAAACCTCGCGCCAATATTTGCACACATGAGTGGATGTGGCGAGGGGGCACGGCCCCAAATCGATGAAGATTCGCACGAGCACCTCTGGCGGGAGGCGATAGCTTGGTGAGAACGAGTTGGGACGACTGGGAAGCCTTCTGATTCCTTCGGCGGTCTCAGCAACAGTGGCCTGGGGATCTGTCTTCTCCGGGAACGGAGAAGCCATTGACGAGCGAGCAGTTCTTGCGTTCTTCATGTGATAGCCGTATCAGAGAGGAAAGACCTCATGCATATCATAGCCGCGTACCAATGACTCTGGTTTGTCGAGATGACAGTGGGCAACGGGAACGATCGTGTAAAGCGACACCGGCGTCGCATGAAACCTAATTATCCCGGCAGGTTCCGGACGTTCAACACAGCGCGACGCGTCCTGGCAACGCGTCTCGACGACCCAAGGGACTTAATCTGACCCAGTCAATCCGAAAGATGGATCATAGCATCCTTATCCCAGAGCTCCTCCACATCATCTTTGGATACCTGTCTCCAGCCAGTGACTCTCCTACCCTTGCAAGCTTGGCGCGAACATGCAGACTCTTCAACGACGCCGCCATGGATGTCTTGTACACGGAGGTTGTAGGAGCAGCTCGGCTGCTGATGCTCCTGCCTATGGACGCCTGGGAGCTACAACTGCTGTACGATGAGGAGGAGGAACTTGACGTGTCGAAGGCTTATCTCGTACGTTTCTACCCCTTCATGGTGACTCCCTCCTTCACCATGCTAAACTCCCGGCACTTAGACGCTAACCAGGACGCTGACAATGGATGATTGGAGGGTATTTGAACGCAAGACTCAGCGTATCAAGAAGTTCACCCAACCGGAATCCTGTCCGATTGGCATCGACGTGGGTGTGTCGGAGGCAGCTTGCCTTTCACCTCATGCCCCTCTGCTGCCAAATCTCCAGGTCATCAACTGGGACCGCGAACATCTCGATGGACTGTTCTTCAGGCATCTTATTGGTCCCAGCCTTGTAACAGTCAAGTTATTGGACATTCCCCAGAGATTCTTCCCACTTATTCCAATTCTCGGTCGTTCTTGCCCCTCATTGCGGCACCTCTCCGTTGTCGACGCATACACTGATGCGTTGCCAGACTTCATATCAGCGTTAGGTAGCTCCCTACCACACATGGCAGCTTTGGAGACGTTACTCTGCGGAGAGCTGACGTACCAAGCTCTGACAGCCCTCGCCAGCTTGCCCAACCTGAAGCGACTCTGCTTCTCTCCGCCGTTAGATCCACCGCCCATGAGCTCGGCACTAGCAGAACTCTCACATGGCTGGTTCCCAGCCCTTCAGGAGCTATCTTTGGCGGTTCAAACTCTCAGCGATTACCAAAGCGTCCTTCGGTGGCTCGGCCACATGCCTCGTCTTCGGACTTTCAGGACCAAAGTCAAATCCTCCGAGTACGCAACTCGCGATGTTGGCGAGCTTGTTAAATCGCTTTCTTTGCGCGCCCATCAAGACGAGTTGAGAGAAGTTTTGATTTTCAACCCACATGAGGACACTGAACTAGAAGAGGGAGTCGCAATCCCGCTGACGATCTCGTCTCTTCGACCGCTCCTCCGCTTCTCGAATCTAGAACGCGTCGTCATATACACTTCAATCCCATTTTCGCTGACCGACAGCGACATCGAGACGATGTCTTTATCGTGGCCTAAACTTCGGTTCCTGAGCATCGTAGGATGGAATGGGTGGTATGATAACGCGAAGATCTCTCTCTGGGGTCTGGCTATCCTCCTCCGGAACTGCCCCTACCTCGATACCCTCGACATCGTCCTCGACGCTACCATCTATTGCCAGATGCCGTTGTCCGATACCGAGCCGCCGCGTAATACAAGGATCGCGCACTTGACGGTCGACGACTCTCCCATCGACGATCCGGTCTATGTTGCCTCTTACCTTGCTAATATCCTCCCTCGACTACGCTCTGTTAGCGCCTGGCGGCTATGTGACCCCGACGATCGGGACGATTTCGATGACTACGCGGCCAACTGGGAGGACGTCTCCAAGACACTTCAAGGGCTCGCATTGAAGCACGCGTACGAGAACTATTGGAAGAACAGCAAGGGATCATCGAAAGACGGGCGCCAGATCGAACTGGATGATATTGACACTCGGGAGTTCTCTACTCCTAGGTTCTGGGACGACTACATGACGTGCGAGGGGCTGTAGAGCGAAGGTACAAGGCGCGTTCTTCATTCCACAGCCTGGTTGTAACTGACATTGGGAGCTTGAAGGGACGTCGAGAGCTAAACATTGCATATCTTCATACCGGTCAATCGGACGACAATCTGGCGAAGGTGACGTGACTCGTATCCGATGCTGACGTTTACTTTAGACCACCATCTCTTTTGATATCCGACTATAAGCTTTACTCGTGTATGTTATGGCACTTTTGGCTTATTCTGCCAATTTTAGCGGACAACAACATTACGCCTATTTCTGGCACGTCTTGACCCGACATTCCGGGCAATACCTTTACTCGTATCCTGGTAAATTTACCATAGAACCTCATACGTATAGCCCGCAGGAATCGGATGAATCCCGTTAGGCCCACAATGCCTGGCTGTACTTGCATTACGCTAGGGTTATAGATCAGCAAATGTGTCCATATGTCATACATCGTCGTATGTGAGCCCGTTCTGACTCAGATACCCCCCTTGCCGAAACCAAGAACATATATTTTCGCCATTCGTTCTGCTCTCGGAACTTCACTGGTTCACTACTGTCTCACCTCGGCACCGCGACATCTTAGTGTGCCTGACAATGTCCGCGAATTGATCGCTTAGCCGTTTAAATGACTTTTGTACGGGTCCGGAACACTCCGAACCCCGACGTCGGCGTAGCGATGTTTCCATCGCAGCGTTATTTTGATACCTCGACAAACATTCAGACTCCCCTGTTGAAGACGACTTGAAGGAACGGCATTCACGCAGGGGTTGACGGATGGCGAGGTTCAGGCGTGGTAGGAGAGCCTAGCGAGGCACAAAGACCTACAAAAACCGTCAATCCCCATCAAACACGGGCGGCCATCATCGGAAGAACGAATTGGGCATATTTTGGGCGTCAATTGGGCACAGGTTTGTGTTTTTACTTCCGCCGCACCGCGGCGCGTTTATCCCTGTCACCTTCAGGCTGGCCAACTTACATAAAGCATGTGGCCAAGCTTTTACTCCGTTCCCTTTCCCCTTCGCCCACAACGCTCACCACGCGCTGCTCGACTTCAAGAGGCTAATCCTCCCTCATGCGCTTCCAAGGTTTGAGATGGATTGGGGCAACGACGATCGTAGTTGGCCTAGGGCGGATGGCAGGAGCGCAGTCGACGAACGTGACTTGTCCGTCCTCCATGGACTGGGTGCGTGCCTTGCATACTAGCTTACGCGCCCTGGTCGATGCTGACCTCACCTCTCTGCTTTTGAAGGCTAAGAACTCCTTGGGCCAGAACCCATGTCTCATGGGAGCGTACGCCTACGAGCCATGCGATGGTGAGCTCGGACACATTTTGCTAAATCGCACTAGCTGATAACAGCGCCTCGCAGGGTCCATCGAGGTCGCTACTTTGCCCGATGGAAATGTCTATGCCGGTCCTTTCAGCAGCAACGATTCCGTCGCGTGTCTTTGCAACACTGTGACATACTACCTTTTCGCGGCGTGTGGGGCCTGCCAAAACCACTCCGCGCAAGCGTGAGTATTGTCGTTTCCTGTCGAATCGATGGTGTCTGACTTGGCCTGTAGTTGGAACGCATGGAGTAACTTCTGCAATAGTAGTGGCCCATACATACAAGTGTGAGTCGCTCTTTGCTATCCGAATCTACAACCTCCTCATTATGCCTCTTAGATACCCGGCAGGCGTTCCAGCAGGTACTGCCTTCCCTCCCTGGGCATATCTCCCGATTGTCGTAAGTCTTTCTGTACTCCTCCAAACACACTTATCTCAAGCTTCGCAGAGCAATAGCTGGGACCAGGATCTCGCCGTCCAGAATGCATCTGCCGTAGCCGCGGCCGCATCCCAGTCGGCAGCCATCTCTTCATCCTCCGTCGCAGCCGTTTCCGCGACCTCCGTCGCCGCGTCGCTCTCCAACGCTGCAATCGCCTCATCCCTGTCTGCCCTCCAAGCATCGTCCACTGGCGGATCATCGCATCACTCCAATGCCGGCGCGATCGCCGGTGGCGTTGTTGGCGGCATCGCCGGGATCGGCCTCGTTATAGGCGCTGTCATATTCTTCCTCCGGCGCTCTTCCAAGAAAGCTCAGAATGAGTATGCTGATCCCCGACACAGCCAGCCGGACATGTATCAGCCGTCAGTGAACCCGTCGAATAACCCCCGGGAGACGAAGTTCTATGTACGTTCTCATGTATTGGTGTTACAAAGCTTTTGGAGGCTGACAATGAACCGCTGCTCAGAACCCAGACGACCCGACAACCTACCCTCAGTCGCCGAACTCGGCGTCGGCGACGCTCCCAACACAGGGGTATCAGCCCCCGTACCAGCAGCAGGCGTGGGGCCACCCCCAACAGTCCGGATATGATCAGGCTTCGTCTCACGGGCCCGGCCAGCCAACTGGATACAACGGAGCGCCGGAGGTGTACTGAGTGATGTACGAGCCAGGCACGATACTTCAGTATCCGTCTTGTATATTCCGAATCGAGTCCAATTTGCTCTTTCGGTTTCGGTTCTGTCTTTCTTTCCTTTCTTGTGGGTTTATGATGCTCGGACCAGGCGGCGACGCCAGCTACGAGCGGTTTACTGTATATGATGCTTTTGTATCCTTATCCATAGCACCAATGCTATGCTCACGATCACACGAGAGGACGATCGATGCTGACAAGGCGCTATGGGGCGACATACGTCCTCCGGAATCGAAATCCGGATCAAATCAAGGCACCATTAGACGCTCGAACTTTCCGCGTGATTACATCTTGGCTTATCTTTACACTAACGACTGGCCTGCATTTCGGTCTTTGTGTGCCTCGTTACTTCTATGACAGCTCCTCCAGCGTCAGAACAGGGTTGACCAAAGGGTCCAGGCTACACAATGACAACCGGAATGTCTCGAACGAGTATGAATACGACCGACGTATAGCCTCAGTTCAGACACGCAAGGAAGCCAGAATTAGTCACTCGCCGATGATCTCCGCAGTGCCCCCAGCCAATTGCAGGGAAAGGGTCCGACAATGATCCCAAGACCTTGGGTGACGAGCGCCAAAGAGCACAGCTATCCCATTAGCCGGGTTGAGCGTCTACCCATAGTTCAAACTGTATAAAAACATGCTGATCGGGCGTGTGGCTTGTTCCCTTTCCCTCCATCCAGCGCGTCTCTTCCCACCCACCCGCCTTTTCGGCACAGGCTTTCGCCATGCCATACGTCTCGAGATGGGCTGGTGCAGCCGCGATCGCAGTTGGCCTAGGGCGGATGGCTAGGTCTCAGTCGACAAACGTGACTTGTCCGACTTCCTTGTGGTGGGTACGTCCTTCACACGCTCGTTTCATTTGGTTCTTCTGGCTAAGTTTGCAAGGCAAATAACACGATGGGCCAAAATCCGTGCCTCATGGCAGCTTATGCCTACGAACCTTGCTCTGGTGCGTCTCGAGCAAAAGCACAGCCGTTGTAGATCTACAGACGCAGCTGATACTCTCTTTTCAGGCAACGTTGATGTTACTACGTTGGCAAGCGGCACTGTTTACTCCGGCGCAGGCAACCAAACCAGCCTAGAGGGGTGTCTCTGTAACACCGTGACCTATTCCTTATTCGCAGCGTGTGCGACGTGCCAGAATGTAGCTGCTCAAGAGTATGTTTTCTCTGCCATGGCGGTTCGGTCGGGTTGAGCGCTAAACCTTGGGAATTACTCCACACAGCTGGGCCACCTGGAGCGGCGGGTGCTCAGGAAGTACTATCGGGCAACTACAGTAAGCATACTATATCTCCAGTGCTATGTGCTTGCCTCGTAACGTTGCCATTTGAAGGTATCCACCGGGCGTTCCTTCAGGAACTGTGTTTCCTCCATGGGCATATCTCCCGATCGTTGTAAGTGTGCGACTCTTCGTCCTTGATGAACCAGCCTCAGCAGCATTGTGCAGAACAACGGGTGGGATGAAAGCATAGCACAGACAAACGCCTGTAAGCCATCTCACCAGTACATGTCTTTGAACAGAGACATTCAAACAGCGCCCCCGTATAGCCTTAGTGGCAGTTGCCATGTCCACATCGGCGGCCATCTCATCCTCATCCATCGCATCCGTATCAGCGACCTCTGTTGCCGCATCCTTGTCAAACGCCGCCATTGCCTCCTCGTTATCTGTTCTCCAAGCCTCGCAGACCGCGGGGTCAAGCTCGTCGCATAGCCACACGGGTGCAATCGCGGGCGGTGTTGTTGGTGGCGTAGTCGGGCTCGCCCTGGTTGCAGGCGCTGTCTTCGTTTTCCTTCGGCGCCGCAGGAACAAACAAAGTGGCGTATCTGGCGCCTACGCTGACCCAAGCAACAGTCAGCCGGAGATGTACCAGTCGGGAATGAACCGACAAACCAAGTTTTACGTGCGTCTCAGTCCTTTCCTGGCTGGTCATAGTGTGATGCGACATTTGATGCTGATTACCCTGCCTGATAGAATCCGGATGACCCGACGACATACCCCACCTCGCCCCATGCAGATAGCGATACCCAGCATTCTCCTGGACACCATTTACCTGGTCCTTACCAGCAAACAACCCACGAGGATCAAAGCTCGGGCTATCATCCGTCCACTACATATAGTGGGACGCTGGCGCAGGGATACAGCGGAGCGCCAGAGGTATAACGCGTTTTACGCTTTGATGAACCTGTTTTCTATGTTTGGGGGTTTATGATGTTTCCGCGGCTGTGAAGCAATGTCATACAGCTTATTTATTGGTATGCAATGGTTTTTGTACTATTACTGGTGACCCTACAAGTCTGGCTGTTTCGTACACATACGGTCATTCTTCAAGAATATACGTGTGATGATGTTTAGGACGTCTCGCATGGATTTCCCTGTAGTGCCTGCTTATCTTTCGCTTTGGACGCCATGACTTTCCCAGCTTGAAAGACCACATGTTGTGTTTTCCATATCCGCAGTATAAACTCTATCATAAGGACTGAAAACGGCGGCTCCACAATCATCTAAGTGTGAAACTGTTTTACAAAGATAAGGGAAAGCGTAACCCAGAGGAGCGGGAATATATATGTTCTAACAGGCCCCAGCGCGAGGTCCCGCAAGAAAGAGTTGATTGTTGGTGAAGAAGTAGAAGGTCAAGGCAGTGGAGGTGAGAAAATACCCTTTACCTTAACCCAAGTGGTCGGACCTAAATATAAATTTTAACGCTAACCATGCGCCGACACAAACTCAGCTGCTCTCAGCTGCAATCCACTTCTCTCGGGAGAACGCGAACCGTCGTCCTGCGCGGGTGAACACCACTTCATGGAAGTGGACATGAATAGTCCATTCGAACCTCGATCGCTTCCAGGAATGCCAGGGGGATCCATGACGCTGAGAGCGATCAAGGAGCTTGTATGTGATACCGCTCAGTGTTGCGTTCTGCCAGCTCACACACAGTCTACTTAGCTCCCACAGCTTGCCTCCGAAATCTCCGTTCGTCCAATCAACAACTACCTCTCCCACAGTCAATCACTAACTCAATACAAAGGGAGTAGTCAATACTCCTTACTCGTCGTATGCGAAGACGAACTATGTCGCCGATTCGATGGATGAGGTCACAAATGTTCAACCAGCTGTTTCGAGCATACTGCTGATGTTAGACGACATCGCGTTAATATCCACAGCCCTAGACCGTTTTTCTAGAGAGCTCAGAAGGACTGTCAAGGACCATTCCCAGCTCACTTCAGCAGTACTGCGTCTCCCCGTTGAGCTCCTCGCCTACATATTCATGCTCAGCTCCACGCTGCCTGTCGACCCCCCACCTAAGGGACAAGCTCCTTACTATCACCGCGAGCAGAGGGCTACTACCAACGGGCGCGGGTATTCCAGCTTGGCACAGGTCTGTCGCAAATGGAGGGATGTGGCTCTGCAGACCCCGAAGTTTTGGAATATGATTGAGATCATCCCTCCGGAAACGCTGTTCGAACCACTGCTTATCACGGCGCTCCCAGCCCCTTTGACACCACTCGCAAGGACCGGGACTCTACCCGCATTCATCTTCCTTGACCTCTCAGCCTCTAGTATTGACACTGATACGAACATCGGCCATCTTCCTGTGAACCCCGCATGCGGTGCGGTGCGGGGCTTACACGCTACGAAGTCGACATTAGTTTCGCTGCCTACACTGTTCCAGTGGATCACTCAATTTGAGAACCTGACACATCTCTACCTCGAGGATGTTGGGCTCGATTATTCACAGGACTGGACGAAAAGCGGCATCGCCTTCCATCTTCTTCACCGTCTAACACATCTCCACATGCGCGCACCCTATCCCTGGCAGGTGGCGCACACCATCGAGGTTCAGACATGGCATAATCTGCGCTCGCTCATGTTTGAGATGTACGAGAACGGTTGGAGCTTCTGCGATTTTGTCACAATTTTCTCTCACATTCCGAATCTCGTCGAGCTGTGGGTCGTGGAAGACGCCGTCAACTGCCTTCGGGTACTTAGTCAGCGGATCACCTCCGATAAACTGCAGCTTTTTTCGTATACCTTGAACCCGCGTTGGGTCACGGAGGAGCACCACCACCACGTGGTTCGATATAACTTCGAATTTCTCTCCTTTCCTGCTCTCGTGGACCTCGTCGTTACTGCTCCTCCGAACGGAGACGTCGACTTCATACGCCGCTTCTTGCTTCAATCAATATGCTGCCTATCCAGCTTCACCTTGATAGGCGACTTCGATGACGAGCCAGACAGTACGCCAAGCCACCTGATTAGTCGTAATGGAACTAGTCTGGGAGAAGAGTTCGCCATTCCGTCCGTTGAATTCGCCAATATTTTGAAGGAGTCGCGAATATATCAGGAAGCGAAGGATAGATGGTTTTGTATGGACTCGGCGGTTTGATTTCTGATTAAGAGATGTCCTACGTGAAGGGAGGTTCTATATAAAATATTTTCACTGTTATAAGCTTCCAACAACTTCACCTCGTACCTTGAAAGAACTATCATTTCCAGACAGCAGCATGTGTTTGAGGCAAGCGTCGAGGAAAGACGCGTGTTCCGAAGATGTTCAGACGTCAGGGGTAAGCTACTTTTGGATAAAGCTCAACATAGATAAACAAAGCCGCGCGTCGGTCTCTGGTACGCGTTGTCGTACTGGCGAGACTACTGGACGTACGCAGTTCCCCCTTTCCCTGCCCTGTTCCTCTTCTTAGGCTCCCCTCTTCTCTCATAGCGCTCCCAACAAGCCCAAACCTTGAGATCTCGACTTTGATCATAAGGGCTCGCCTTTACCACCCCCATCTCGAAACACGTTAGCCGGCGAAGACACTTGCCGCATACACAGAACGTCATGGTCGCCACCACATCGGAACAGGTGCGCTTTTTACAATGTGCCGTATCTCTTGCAATGTACTCAACACAGCACAGCTAGCAGCTCATGCATCGACCACTGTCGGTACGCTTTCTGCACCTATATGCGCTTGCGTCATTCCTCTGACCGTGCTCCTCGGTTATCCCATCTCATCCCGCTCTCACGATCAGTCGTACACCCGCTTGTCCTTCTCTCAGTGGCTGACCACCACGCCCGTCTGGTCTCGCGAAGCACAACGAAGCGTGTCGTCGGTGTTCTGCTTGGGCAGGACACCGTCGTGAATGGAAAGCGCGTGATCAACGTCGCCAACTCCTTTGGTATCCCATTCGAAGAGGACGAGAAGAGCAGCAAGACGTGGTTCTTGGATCACAACTACATCGAGGGGATGTTTAGTATGTTCCGCAAGGTCAATGGTGCGTTCTTGGTCCCTCCTGTCTGCCTGTTCAAGACTGACTGATATGATCGTCGACCCTCTTCTCCATCCTATGTTCGCGCCCGCGATGCATCATTGTCATGAGTAGCACGAGAACGGATGATAGGATGGTATCATACTGGCCCGAAACTCCGTGCATCGGACCAGGAGATCAACGAGCTGTTCAAACGCTTCATCGCGAAGCCCGTCATGGTCATTGTGGATGTACGACCGGAGGTGGTTGGGATACCAACGGATGCTTACTACTCTGTAGAGGAGATCAAAGATGTGCGTCTCATTTCTCTCTTCTTCCCCACCTTTCCCTTGCTACCTTGGGCCCCATCCACGAACTAACGCTGTTCAACAAACAGGATGGAACAGAGACGCGCAAAACCTTCCTGCACCTCCCATCCGCAATCGAAGCCGAAGAAGCTGAAGAAATTGGTGTCGAGCATCTCCTACGCGACATCAAAGACAGCACGACGACCACACTTGGCACGCGCGTCGCGGAGCAGCTTGCCTCGCTACAGGGTCTGCAATCGCGCCTGCGCGACGTGCACTCCTATTTGCAAGACGTCTCAGCGGGCAAGATGCCGATCCAGCACCAGATCGTGTACGACTTGCAGGACGCGCTCAACCTCCTGCCCGACCTGTCGACTGAGAGCGTGCGGAGCAGCTTCAGCACGAGCACGAACGATCAGCTGCTGGTCGTGTACCTGAGCAGCTTGCTCAGGGCGGTCATCGCGCTGCATGCACTCGTGGACAACAAGGCAACGATCGGGCGGGCGGAGCTTGAGGAGACAGACGAGAAGGAGGGTGGGGCACACGGAGGGGCGAAGAAGGGGGATGAGAAGGTGAAGGTGAAGAAGGCAGGTACTGAGAAGGAAAACAAGGAGCCCGATAGGGGCGACGCCGACAAGGGCCTGTAGTTTACTGTCCATCGCTGCATTACCATTTCCCATTTTCCATCTTAACTGTCTGACGATGGGAATGCCTCCTCCTCGAGGCACCTTAGAATCATCCCAGACCGAAGCGCTCTTAGGCTCAAGGTTCAGTTTGATGCGTCGGTAAGGGCGGATGGGCCAGATCAAGAAGTGAAGCATGCTGCGCCTGCCCAAAAGTGAGACGGGCTCCTCGACATGCGGTGTTCACGTGCCGATGGAGAGGCGTGCGACAAATATTAAAATGGAAACGCGAGGCAGTGGATCTTTTTTCATTCTCCACCGCACCGCGTTCGCATCTTATCCTCCTCCCTTTACCAGCCCTTTTACCCCTCCAGCCCTCCCTGTCCTCTCCCCCCATCTCAACCAGTACGTCCCTGATATCCTCAAGCCGACTGAGATTCTCGAGCTCGCGAGAGTGAGAGAACTCGAACATGAGGCGGTTTTTGGAGATAACCCAGATCTGACGGTGTTGCGGTATTTTCGCGAAGCAGAATTTTACTTTGATCCTCGAAAAAAATGTCGGGTGCTCGTGGATGCTTCAACTGTGGCGGCTGTGCGTGGTGTTTTCGTTGTTGATCTTCATCGTTTTCGTTTTGTTATCTCTTGACGCTTTGGCGTCGTAATCGCGTACTTTCTTCTACCCCTTTTCCTTGCCACCGCCTCTTCGCCGTCCCACTACTATCTGTCCTTTGATTCGCCTTTCCTTCGATCCCGTTCGAGAATTTCATGATCATGCGAGGTGTGGAGGGTGCTGACGAGGCCTTGGGTCGTTTGTTTGCTTTACATGTTGCTTGCCTACCTCGCTGTCGATGTTGGTGCCGACGATGCGTGTTATCGTACTCCCATCATCTCTCCAATTGAATGCCGTCTTCACCCGATCTCCTGCCATTGCACCCGCTGCCGTGCGTCTTGAAAAAAACCTGCGCGCTTGTGCTTCTCCCTATGATTGGCGCCTATTGCATCCGTGGCGTCGGATCGTCGCCGGTTCCGATTAACGTTGCGGGGGATTTTGCTTGAATCGTGGATGTTGGGCGTGGATGGTTAGTCGGTCACCAAGCGGCAAACTGTCCCAAGGCCGGCACTCCTACTTGGTGAATAATCTGTTGCGTTTGGGGATGCGTTGATGTGTTGACTGACTGCATCGAAATAGCTACAACTGTAAGTTTACTATGGGCGTCTAGTCTACGGCGCTTATGCTGACGAGCCGAATACCAGGCGGCATGGAGGGCCACGTCTCTCGCGACTGCACGATGGAGGCCAAAGCCAAGTCGTGCTACAAGTGCGGCCAGGAGGGCCACATCGTAAGTTCCCATGCATAATATATTTTCATGTACTGGCGCTTAACGGATGTGGTTTTGCCTTGGTCTGTGTCTTAGTCTCGTGAGTGCCCTGAAAACGCTGGTGGTGCTGCTCCTGGTGGCTTTGGCGGTGGCTTCGGCGGAGGCGCAAGCGGCGCCGAGTGCTACCGCTGCGGCAAGGTCGGCCACATTGCTCGCTCCTGCCCCGATGCTGCTGGCGGCGGCGGAAGTAGCTACGGTGCCTTCGGCGGTGGACCCTCTGGCGGCAAGACCTGGTAAGCAGTAGCATTTCTGCTGAAACGTTGATGGGGAGCAGGTGCTGACGGTGGATCATTTTAGCTACACTTGCGGTGGTGTAGGTCACTTGTCGCGTGACTGCGTCCAGGGCTCGAAGTGCTACAACTGCTCGGGCATTGTGCGTTATTTATATTGTCTTGCCTTCTTCCGTGATCTCATGTCTCTTCGCAGGGTCACATCAGCCGTGATTGCCCCCAGCCTCAGCGCCGCGCGTGCTACACCTGCGGTTCCGAGGGCCACATCTCGCGTGACTGCCCTGGTGTCGGCGCTGCCGCCGAGTAAGTCGCCGAGTTCGTTCCAAGTTTGACGACGGACAATGTGATGTGGGCGGAGTGTACGATGATCGCGTGTGTTCAATGTTCACTGTTACTGTACGATGCGATGTGACCCTTCAGATCTCGTTTTATGCGCCATCTTGTTGTCTGTCCTAGTTAGCTATCGCGATAGCTCGTAGTCTTGTCCAACCATTCTTGATCAAAATGATACTCTTCTTTGAGTTCTAGTGCGCACGAAGGGTGTGTTTCAGATGCATGTGTTGGTTCCTTGATCCTATGGACCAGCTCGAGGTCGTGGCTTTGAGTGAGTTGTGCCCGGTTTGAGCCGATGAGGTGGACGCGAAAAGTGCTCAGAGTGCGGTGATTCCGCGAGTTCCCACGGGCCCGCTAATATCCGCACCCAACAAACGTTATCCTGTCCTTTCTTTGCCTCCAACTTTACTCTACACCTTATAGACACCCCTCCCCTCTCCTCCTCCTCCCTTTCTATTCTGCCATAGACCCTAATGCAGACCGCCGCTCTCCGCGTCGCGCGCCGGACCGTCGCGTCCTCCGCTCTCTCCCGCCGCATGGCCACCGCCGCCGCCGCGACCCCGTCGTCGTCGTCTTCCATCATTCCTCTCTCGAACGTTGAGGCACAATGGGAAGCCATGAACAAGGACGAACAGTTGACGGTTCACCGCCAGCTCGAGGAGATCCAAAAGAAGGACTGGAAGACGCTCTCCATTGACGAGAAGAAGGCCGGTGAGTCTTCCGCTCTTCCGCTTTCGGAAAATCACGGGGTGGTGGGATGGTCCTCCAAAGCGTCATCGGGTCGCGCGCTGGTCGTCTGAGAGATGTTGCATGGATGGATGGAGGGTGCTGGGCGCGTCGTTGAGAGGTTTTGGGCCGTCAGCGCACCCTCCCGCTCTTTATGTTTCGGCCGCTTTCTCCGCGCCAGCAGCGCCTTATGAAATGCTGACCTCGTTATTGGTCCGCAGCGTACTACGTCGCCTTCGGCCCTCATGGTCCCCGCAAGCCCACAAGCCCGCCTGGCGAGAACTTGAAGATCTTCATCTGGACCCTCGGCCTCATCGGTGTCTCTGGCGCCATCTTCGGGTTCACCCGAACATTTGGTTCGTGCACAATTTTCAAGGCAGCGATACTATGGTCTAACGCGGTCCACGCTAGCACCCCCGCCGCCCAAGACCATGACCAAGGAGTGGCAAGAAGCGGAGAACGAGCGCGCCAAGGAACTCAAGCTGAACCCTATAACTGGTGCGTCACTCTTTCCGTCATGTTCTCCCCGTCTATATTCGCTCGGACCCGGTCCTTCGCGCCCGTTCTTCCGTATTTTGCCCACGTTGCGTTTGCACTTTTGGCTTGCAAAAATTTCCCTCTATAACCTCCGCTGCACCGTCGGGGCTTCGCCGCTGACCTTCCTATTATAGGTATCACTTCCGAGGACTACAAGGGCCCGGGCTTCGTCACGGAAAAGAACTGAGCGACGGCCAGGCTCGGGCTTCGGTCGAAACATGTGAACTAAACCTCGATGTATGCTGCTCTGGTCACTCCCCGCTCCTTCTCGTTGGATCGCCGCTATCTCGAATGAATGTATGGCTGGATGAATGGAGGAGGAGGGAAAACGTGGAGCGAGTGCACTCGGGGCTGATGCAGACCTCTGTTTTGTTTCGTCTCGTCGTCGGTTGTTCTCGTCCAGTGTTTCTACCTCCCGCATGTACGCTATATGCGGGCATTCATTACATTATACATAACGTAGAGTGCATTTATCTGCCTCTGGGCAGTCAAAGCTGAGAGTGTGACCATTCTGTGGGTGTATGTATGCGCTGGATCGGGTCGCCTCGATTGTGATGTAAGCTGCGCTCTCCTCCCCTCGTGAATCGCAATACTTGGACACTGATATCGATGGCGGTGAGTACCCTGAATGTGTTCGCGTGACTTAGTTCAATTTTGATGCTTCCGGCTTTTTTCCTGGACAGCTATCATTCTATCTACACGTTCGTCTCAACGGTCACTCATCAATAACTTATTCATATGGCAGACGTTACCATCCCGCTCAACACCCAACAGATACTACGACGCTTTAGTTCGGTCGCGATCCTTCTAGCCGATCTTCCCCTCAGCATTCTCCTCAGGCTGGAACTCGTGACTTTGAGTCTCGCAGTACGTACGAGTAGCGGACCGCAAGCACCACACGATCATCACCGATGGCTTCCTCTTGAAACTTGAAGCTTGAAGCCTCTCCCTCGTCACTGTCAACACCTTCTAGCGTTACCACTATCAAATAGACGTTTATCCGCCATGGACGCCTTTCTCTGAGCCTGCACGTGCATGTATCGCGCAAGGCTGCGAATGTACCGGACTTGCTAGCACGCAGCATTGACTGGGATTGTACCCGAGGCTAACATCCCCACCGAAGCCCGTGCCTCAGGGGAAGGAGATCACTTCCTTATTTTATACACTCGTCTCACAATGCCTTGGCTGTTAATGGACCTATTTACAGCTGAGCACCAAGCATGAGCTATAATCTACAACTACGCTAAACGATCTATTACGCACGACCTCCCCCTCTCAAATCGTCCTCACAGCACCTCTTCCATACTCTCATATCTCGTCCTTAACGGGTCCACGGCTAAGTACATGGTATGGTGCAGTCACCTGAGATCATCGCATAATCACAGCGTCAGGCAGGGTTCATGCAGTACCATCTGTCCTTCTCTTCTTGATACACCCGAGACTCCTTCAGCGAGCAGTTGAACTCCACGAATGGAATGGAAAAGTCTTTTCCTAGGCCTATTCCACCCCGACGATTTGAGCTTGAATCGACGTTGCTGGTGCTGTTGTCGGACGCTTCGGTGAACGTGAGGCTGGATAGGCGACATCTCGAGCGAATCAGGAAACGCCGTATGAAATCGATGTCGCCGTCTGGAGGGCGGGTGACAACGAGGTTGGCGAGAGCAGGGAAAGTACAATCGTCGAGAATGAGCCTAATCAACTTGGATCGGGGTTCTGTCGTCAACAAGTGCGACGTTGCAATAAGCGCAAATAGCTGCAATTTATCGGAGGCGATCCGAGCAGTCTCCCAGACGTCATTGACATCTTCGCCCACAATCCACAGCTGTATGAGGTTGGGAACGTGGGCAAAGATATTCGCAAGGTATTGGAAGTTGCGATCTCTCCCAACGCAGGGCTCGATTGTGAGCGAGAGCAGATTGTGCCATGCATGAAGCCCCATGACATGCACCACATCCCGGGGACTGCCTATGCGCATATGCAAGTGGGTTAGACGATGGAACTGCGAGGCGATGCCAGCATCGTTCCAGTACTCTGGGTTGCCGACTGTGACATGTTCGAGGAAGAGGTGCGTCAGGTTCTCGAACTGACTAATCCACTGGAGCAACGTCGGAAGATGGGTGAAGTATGCCGCTAGAGCTTGAACGCCCCTTACCGCGCCACACGCCGGGTTCACGGGTAGATGGCCATCTTCCATCTCGGCATGTAGCGAAAGCCACGAGAGATCAAGGAAGATAAACGTGGGTTGATTTCCTGCCCTTTTGAGTGGTGTCAGAGGTGTCGGGATCGCTGTTATAGACATTGATCCAGACGGCGTCTCTTGAGCGTCCAAGGTGATTTTGATCATGTTCCACAGTCTCGGGGTATGCAGCGCTACATCCCTCCACCTGCGGCAAACTTGTACTAGAGCCGAGTAGCCCCGTTCGTTTGTGTATAATCCTTCTTCTCGATGAAAGTACGGGGCTATACCACGAGGAAGGGGGCGGACAGGCAATGAAGAGCTCAGCACGAATATATACGCCAGGATCTCCACAGGAAGGTGCATCACGGCAGGGTTGAGTCTAGAATGAGTCTCATTCGTCTCCTTGAGATCGCTTGAGAAGCAACCCAAAGCTGTAGAAATGAGCGCGATGTTATCAATCATAGATTCATAAACAGTGTGTCGAAATCACTGAATGAACGCTTGTGATCTCACCTGCCATATCTATGTCGTAGCTTGTCTTTGCATGTGACGGATAACTTGAAGGAGGGTTAGCGGCTTCAGGCTGATTGCAACAGAGGTTATTAAATGCTGGTGAGCGAGGTATAATTCGAATGTTAGTTTCGGGAGCTAGGTAACCACTGGCAGTAGACTAGTGACATGTCAGCTTTCCAAAGCGCGCCATTGAGTATAGTAGTATCTCGTACAAGCTCTTTCATAGCTCTCAAAACCACGGAAGCTCTCAATGTCTAGTGATTGAGGTTCGACTGAACTGCCGCTACGGTTGAGTCGGCGTGCCGCGTATTGACAGTGAACTTTAGAGCAACGGGAGGAGTACGGGAAGTTTACGGCTATTTGATGCATGTGGTTCGGCACTTTCCTCGCGCTAACTTCACGTGCCCATCTAAACTTCGGCCCTCTTAAGCTTAAGCCCTACTGAATCATATGACAATGAGGTAAGGCCGCACAGCAGCAAAAGCCCGCTACCGTCAGGTGTTATCCCAAATATCTCAATTCATGTCTGAAAACATGTGGGGAACACCATCATATCATATTTCTTAGATCAAACATACTGGTGGCAGGAGAGAATATAGTAGGTCTGATTGCAGAGAAAACAAATCTGCGCAATTCAAGGGCTGGTAACCCATGAGAAATATGTGAGCAGACAGAAGGAGTTGCAACATTTACTCTTGTGTGTGCAGTGTCCAAGAATCAGATGAGTGGCCAATATGGACCGTAGATTAATATTGGCTGATTCAGGGTCTCGAGATGACAAACCGTGCAAAGATGCAAGCACAACTACAACAGAAAATTCACACTTGTAGAACCAGAATTCGAAAGGAGTTGACAGATATTAGAGGCAATATCAGAGCAAATAAGTTCCGTGAGTTCCTCATTGTTTTGTGTCACACTGTTCAACGGTAACCCAGCACAATGGCGTGGCTCAGACTGACAATTGTCCGCATGGACAGGCAAATAACTATTAAAAAAGCACGACTGATGAAAACAGATTGAGGATCCTGGGTCTCCGTTCGAATGAGCGGGCATCGGCGTGAGCATTGAGCAATTGAACATTGAATGATGACAATGCATTCAAGAGGTAAAAGCAGCAGGGCAGCGGCGCGCTGCCGCTGATGTCGGAACTTTCTCAGGCCCATTGCAATGGGGCCAGAATTCTAATCGATTAAAATTAAAGGCACTTTTCATCACAATGACCATGGCAATGGCCATTGTAATGCCGTAGAGCCATAGAAATGTCATGGCAATGGCCATGGGAATGAAAAGTGCCTTTCATTCTAACCGATTGAAATCCTGGGCCCATTGCAATGGGCCTGAGAAAGTTCCGACAGAAGCGGAGCTTAAAATGCTTCCTGAAATGGGAAAAGACGATGGCGGAGAAGCAACGGAGCTGGAAACATCACGTGACCCCACAGGAGTAAGAATTTGGCAGGAGTCTCGGTCACACGAAGTGCCGGTAAGACCCACTACCTAAGGTAGCGGGAATTACTATGTCACCTTTTTGAAAAATATCTGGTCTGTTTCTCCGAAAAGCTCCCACATTCACCCATGAGAAAGGCTAAACCGCGCCGGATCCGAGCATCAAGCACCAACACGTAGCCCTAGCTCTTCCCAAATATACACCCCGAACGCACCCCACTCCCTACCCAACAACCTCCCCCTCCTCCACCCCAAGCACCTGACACAGTATCCCCACATTCCCAAATGGCCGCTCCGCGCCCAACATCGTACCCGGCGCCTCGTACCGCGCCGCAGGGTCCCGGACGGCGCGGCACAGCCGGTCGTACGCGCGCGCGAGGCGCACGATCGCGCCGTGGTGGATGCGGTTCGAGAGCGTCGCGGACGTGAGCGCCGTGAGCCGCGGGGAGTGCACGACCGCGGGGCTTGTGAGCCACAGTGCGAAGTGCGCGAGTGCGGGCGTGAGCGAGGAGGGCTGGGCGGTGGGGAGGTGCGAGAGTGGGTCCTGGGGTGCGGGTGTTAGCTGTGGCGAAAGGGGGGGAAGGAAGTGAGGGGATGGTAAGTGACGTACTGAAGGTGCTTTGGTGTCTAGTGCGTCTACGATGGCGTTCAGCCCGGCGTCTCTCAATAGGTTCTTGTACTGATATGAGATGCCGTTAGCATGTAACAGATGCCAGGAGATATAATACTCACGTGGTCCTCGGTCAAAGAAGCGACACACTCGTCAATAGTCTTCTGAACGCGAGCCTGTTTCAGCTTGGTGAAGTCATACGGCTCTAGAACACTCTGTCCGGATCGTTCAGAAGTCAGCTCAGCCTGCCACAATGACGAGAGAGTATTATGCGTACCTGAAGATAGTACGCACAGTTCAGCTTGAAGACCGCACTATCCCATCTCGGCGATATCCTCTGCTTCTCGTCTGCGATCGCGAAACAAGCCTCTAGCGCGGGATCGACGGTTGCATTGAGCATGTGGTCGATCGCAGATTTTGTTATCGGCTTTGGATTTTCGGACGGAGTCGATGCCGCTTCACCCTCGCCAGACCCTTTCGCCGCAGCATCTGACGCAACGGCATCTGCAGTTTCTCGAGCATGCGAAACGTCCAATACCTCTGGGTCTTCTCCCGAAAGGAGGGACGAGTCGTATACCTGCATTATCTCTCGGAGGAGTTGAGCATGTTCGAGGACCCATAAGGGCGGAGAGAGATCGTTGTCGTGAGGATCCTGGCGCCAGAGAAGTGAGGGAGGATCACATTGCAGGAAGGGGTGAGAGCTTACAGGTTGTATGCGGGAAAGCGCACGGCCCTGCGCATCAATGGTGTCAAAGAAGACCTTGTAGCTGAGTTCTGTGGTTCTAGCGAAGCATGAGATCGGGTTCATGAACCTGCCTGAGAGAGACCTACTCATCGAGCGTAACGCTGAGAAATGCCTCTCGCCCTATGGTCCGTCGCATCGTAAGAGCGTAGTACTGCACAAGGTTGGCTAGTTTGTATGACACAATTGCGCTCTCTTGTGAGCGCAGAGTCTGTTGTATGCGCGCCTAAAAGTGCCCAACGACGTGTCGTCAGGTCACACATCCCACCAACCAAGCTGAGACTCACTCACCCTCAATGGCGCACAAAGCCCCTCGACAGCCCCATCCAATAGGCCCCTCGTCCACTCGTCCTCCTCGCGGTTCCCAAACGTCCGCACACTGCCCACCATCCGAGCTCGCTTCTTCTCATTGGACGCCTCGTCGTCGGCGCCCTCCGTAGCAAAGATGCTCTCGAGGAACTCGCACTCCCCCGCGACCGCCTGATGGATCCAGGCGAGCATATCGCCGACATATCGGAGTGCATCGTGCGCATGCAGCGCGAACGACTTCAGCGCTTGAGTGAACGCGGAGGAAAGATGGGTAGAATGAGTTGCTGTAAGGGTTTGAAGTGGGGTGCTAGAAGCGCGTTAGAATGGTTCCACAAGGAACTCAGAGCGAGGACTCACACTAAGAGCTCACCCCGGGAGCTGAGTCTGCGTATGGCTTCTCGCACTGCGGGAGAGGCCTCAAGGTGGTACGCCCTGAACTCGGCCATCGCCCATCGATGTAGCCGGTCGAACGCGGTCTCGAGCTGCGACGACGTCCGCGCTAGAATGTCCATCCTAGTACAACTCCTGCGTCAGACCCAAATACGAAGCACTCCCAGCATCCAAGCACTCACCCCGCCTTGCCCTCTCCCCCGCCCTCCTCGAATAAAATCGCGCAGTCCGCCCTCAACTTCTCCGCGCGGTCCATCGCCGCAAAGAACCGCGGGCCCACCGGCGCACTCGCGAGCGTCTCTGCGTCCTGCTCTGAAAGCAGGAAGCGTGAGAGAAAGAGATCGACGATGCGCGCCTGTGTGTCGATCTCCTGGCGCTCCGAGCGGAGCTTCTCGGCACGCTCGAGGAGAGCCTTGCTCGCGGTGGTGGTGAGCTGGAGCTGGGCCTCGGCGTCGTCGCACGAGGCGCGCATCGCTGCGACGTGGTTTTCTAGGTCGGCTAGCTTCTGCGGGAAACATGAGTGTCATGTGTGATGAACATTAAGAGGGCCCACGCACCTGGTCGACCTCGCCAAATGCTAGTAGGAAGTGTTGGCTTCCTTTTGCGAGTTTGTCTTCTAGGTCTCTGCGGAGATTCTTGCGTGCTTTTGCGGCGGTATCGTTCAGGACATATTCCTCCACTCTAGTCCTTGCTGAGGGTGGCACTTCATCCTCATCTACATCATCGCCATCTTGCTTCGGTCTTGAGATCGCAACGTGACTCGCGGCATCACTATAGAGCGAAGAGACAGTGTAGATGGCCTCTTTGGTAGCCTCGTCAGTGTAGTTGGTAGAGAGAATCTTCCGTATGCGCAGTGATATCGGATTCCGTAGCTGCACAGAGGGTGTTGCGCTGGGAGAGATAGGGGACTCGACTTGGGAGGACATCAACCAGCTCTCGACACCGGGGAAGGGGTCAAGGGACACCACGTGCTCGATCATGTGACGGAGGATCTTTAGCGCTCCTCGGCGCTTGCTCGGCGCTCCCTTTTTGTTCTCAGCCTTCCATTACCTCCATCCCTTACCAGCTGCAGGGACGGTGCAGGCGGCGTATGTTGCAGCGATTTAGATTTAGTTACTCAGTGAGCCCGTTAAGGAACTGTACATGAGTCATTCATCGCTGTTTACTATCGCATTTTGACCCCAAGTTCGCGACAGGATGTCCAGATGAAGACGTCGCTGTTCATAAGCTATGTAAATCGCGGAGCACCATAACGGCAAGTCTGTTTTGACGGTGGGAGGGGTGGCGGTCTTGTGAGCTTTCCTCGTGAGCCCCATCGCGAGCCTTTGTGAGCAATCTTACCCGTTCGGTCCTTGGGGTTATTAATGTACTGGTCTCGTCGCTGTAAACCCGGTCCGCAGGCACGAATTATCCGCTCCTTAGATGGCGCGCTTATCTTTACGCGGTAACCTGACGTACCGGCTCTCAGTTATAACCCAGCAAACTCACCAGTGTGTTCCTCACCGCACCGCCGCGATACTGAGCCAAGATGTCCCAGCCACCATCCGTACGTTCTTGATGCTCTACCCACGTCGCCTTGCGACCAACTGACAGCCTGGGCACGCACAGGTCGCCGAAGTCGAAGCCCAAGAGGACTCGTGTGTCCTCCCCTCGTTTGACGCCGACGTCGCCTGGGAGCTAGGCACGACCATCCGCTCGATCATACAGAAGGAGCACGGAAAGCCGGCCGTCATCTACATCGCGCTCGCGGGCTCGCAGCAGATGCTGTTCTGGTGTGCCACCGCGCCCGGGACGAAACCGGACAACATGAACTGGGTGCGCCGAAAGGAGGCCGTCGTGCTGCGCTGGGGTGTCAGTACGTGGAGGATGAGGGCTCAGCTCGCGGAGAGGGGGGTGACGCTCAAGGAGCGGTTCGAGATGAACGATGCAAGCATGTATGCTGCGCATGGAGGTGGATTCCCAATCAGAGTCAAGGGAATTGAGGGGACGGTGGGGGTTATCGTTGTCAGTGGGATGACGCAGGAAGACGACCACAGTGTCATCGTGCAAGGCATTCAGCAGTATCTATCCAAGCTTGGTCAGTAATTCGGCCACCGCCAACTCGCCTTTCCCAAGCGTCAATGGAGCTTAAAACTGTATCTGTATGTTAAATTTTCGCTTATGAATCGTTGAAGAGTTGAGGACCAAAACCTAAGCTGGATTTCTGAGGCCTGACTCCTCAACGGTGTGCATTTCCAAGGTGATCGACATTCATCGTTCCGGAACGGTCATCGTCGAGTAAAGACGAGATGTTCAAATTTGAACAAAGTTTAGAGCTCAATCGCTCATGAACCTAGGGTATAAAAAAGTATTTTCCCTTATTTTAGAGCGCAAGCGTCATAAGTTTGTGCATCGGTGGACTCGGTGACTCGGTGATGAGTGGAGGATTGCAGAAGACAAGATCAAGGGACAGGGGCTGTGTTATCCACCCGCACAGCCATCGTCGCCTTTTTGCGATCGGCCATCAGACGGCAACAATGTTACCATTGACATCTGTCTTCTCGGGCGCTTCTTTCGCCACGAACATGGTACAACGGAGACTTGGCAACATCGTCCTCAACAAATGGCGACCAAATCTGCATCTTTCGGTCAGCCAGAAAACTCGCACAGAGTGGGACTTCGTCCTCGCAAAGATAATAAAACCTCTTGAGATATGTCGTCCAATGTTCTCAGAATGCACCTGAAGGCGCTTCGTTCTCCGTATGTCTGCAATGCATGCTGATGGAGTCAGGCCCCGAAGAAAAGCCTGAGGCGGTCCTACGTTACCGCACCTCCACTTAGGTAAGCACAGCCGCTCGTCCCCTTCTTTTGTGCTGAACGCCCTCCACCCCGCGCTCCTCCTCTTTCCACCCTACACATCCATCATGTACACCTCAGCAGCACGAAGTTGGCTCGTATGGGCCTCAACGGCTGCGCTTCTCGCTGGATGGACGCGGTTCGCACTCGTCGGTGCGCAAAACTCGGACGTGCAGTGTAAACCCGGGAACGACTGGGTGAGTCTTCGATCGGACCGGCCATGGTCTCTACTGAGGGTTTGGCTCATCGTCATATGTTTCTGCAGATGCACAACTCGATGGGCCAGGATGCGTGTGTGATGGCTTCGTATCTCGAGATGCCCTGTTGGGGTGAGCATTTACTTCATCTTCGCTCGGGATCAAGCGCTTATCGATCATATTCATCCAGGCAACAATTATACCGTCCAGGCCCTCACGCCGAGCTCGAATACGTTTTATGGCGGTTTGAGCAAAGCGGATGAGACCCCATGTGATTGCAACACTATCATCTACGCTCTATACGCCGCGTGCGGTGTTTGCCAGAACGATACGTCGGATAGGTGCATCTCCATTCCTCCATTAGTCTGCTTTCTGAGTGTCTTGCTAATCTATTCCTAGCTGGAGTGACTTCAGTAAGAACTGCTCGCAAACATACTGGCAATCGTGAGCACTCAAGCATGTACTTGACCCAGCTCAAGTACTGACTCCACCTTGACGTAAAGATATCCGGAGACAATACCACAAGGCACGGTCATTCCTCCATGGGCCTTTCTGCCAGTCGTGGTACGTTCACTCACAGAGCCTATCTAAACCGCTCGAAACGAAAGCTGACGCACACGTTTCTCCAGAACGACGGCTGGGACCAGAACGCCGCGAAGCAGAATGCCACCGCCGTCGTCACCTCGCCCTCCTCCGCCGCAGGCGCAACCGGGACCGGCAAGCCCACTAGTAGCAACAAGGGCCACTCGTCCTCATCGAACACGGGCGCCATCGTAGGCGGCGTCGTCGGCGGTGTCGCCGGGCTCGCGATCATCGGCGGTCTCGTGTTCTTCCTCCTGCGCCGGCGCCGTGCGCGCTCCGGCGGCAAGAGCGTGGGGACGAGCGGTGCGAGCCTCTTCTCGGGGCGCACGGGGACGAACAGCGGCGCGGTCACGCCGTTCACGGCGGGCCATTCGGGTGGGAGCCAGGGGTACGGGCAGCAGCCGGAGATGGGGATGGCGCATCCGCAGCCGTCGTATGCGAACAGTGGGTTGGGCGCTGAGCCGAAGCTTTATGTGCGTTTTTGTTTCGATGCTTTATGAGCGCTGTGATCTTTGTGTGCTCATCGATTATATCGTGTAGAACCCCGACGACCCGTCGACGTTCCCCACCTCGCAGACCCCTGCGCCGTCGACGGTCCACACGACGCAGACTCCGTATGGCCATCCAGGGTTCGGAAACGAGCATCAGCCGCCGCAGCCTGGTGGGTACACCGGGGCACCGGAGATCTAGATATACTTCGTCTGGAAAATTGCTTGCTTCGCTGTCCCATTGCATTACATTCGTTCGTAGCTGCTCATTTCTGGGGCATATACCTTCCTCTTTTCACAGAGTGTTACTCCTTGGCGACATACAGTGCATCTCTACGCTCTTACTATATACCGCCCGACATGTACATGTTCTATGTTTTATATTCTATTGTCTTGTTGTATTTGATCCGACATATATTGTACTGTGAACCTTCTAACTTCACACTAAGCCGAGTCAATCCGAGTCGAGTTGCTGTCGTTCGCAAGTTCGAGCATATCATGGTTTATACGATCAGGCGTCGTTTGACGAGACGTCACGACACCGGGACAGATCTCCGAGTCCACGCTGCGCACAATCCTGAGCCCCATGGAGGCAGAGAAGGGCAGAGAACGGTCTTGCGCCGTTTCTTCATCCACTTCTCGTGCGTTTGAGATCATACAATAAACTGTGTGGTCAATCATGATAGTTTGATGACGCTCAAAGCGCATCAAAAGGCTTAGTGTGATGATCTCGCTGCCGACACTAGTGATGGACTGGCGGTACGTGCGGCAAGTGGTGCTTCTTCAGCCCCTACGGATGCGTCCTACTATGGCAGCCCGAACCGGAGTTTATGCCGCCGAGGGGACGTCAACCGGGTGAGTGATCGTGATCGTCGCGCCTGGTCATCATGCGATGCGCCATGGAGTACTTGTAGATCAAAATTTCAATGATTGGAAGACGGCGATCATGATCTGTACGCTGTTCAAGTTTCGAATCATTTGTGGTGAAGCTCGGTGAGCCACGCAGACCATCGTTGTTGAGGTGGTACAACGGGTGCTGGCGTCTGTTGGTTTATAATGGGTTGATGGGTTTCACAAGCCGCCTGTTTGATGCGTTCTGTTATTCTTCACAGGCTGGTTCCAAGCGTCGGTTTCATACTGGTGGTGATAATCATTGAGTTTCCCATTCCAGCGACAAATAAGCGGAGAAGCTTACTGTACAACTTTGGAAGTAGCAGGGATCTACATCAACTGCATCATGATCTTCACGGAACCGATGCTCTGCACTGCTACACTGCCATACTACCGAAGTGAACACAATCTCCAAAGTCATGCCTTCTTAAGTGATACGCATTAGAACATATTAGGTGGGGGTGTATCGACCCTTCTATTGATAACTAGGGTAAGGTTTCGAGAACATAAGCTCGTGCTGCATAGCGGACGGCACAGGCGCTATTTCTGATGGGAAGATAAGAGAAGACAAGCCGAACTTCGAGCTGGGCCGCCAAATGCAGCTTATCACAGGTGAACTTTGACTGAGATGTCACCAGGGCAGTCAAACGGCCGTAAAGATTGAAGAACAAGAGGGCCCAAGAGGCTAATCAGGGTAATTGAAATTCAATAGCGGCGGATTGGTCTTGAATTGCTATGGCGCACGATAATATTCTTTGAGTTGCGGCCAAAAGACACGATATCAAATCAAGCAAGGTTTAGGCCAAAACAGCCTGAGAGTCCATTACCTTGTGACGAAAGGCGGATATCACTACCCAGCCACGCATGAACCAATGCAAGTCATTGAGAAAAGCTGAACACGGTTTTCGGACCGTTAGTACCACGGAGAACAGCTGAATCAAACATTCAGCCAAGATCAACAAGGGGCAATGTGGGTTCAAGCCGTTCGTGGCTTACAACTCTCATAGCGCCACCATTAGACGTCCAATTAACCTAGTAATCTTTCCGAGAACTTTAAGCTGAAGGGTCACCGCCGGCATGCAGTGATCGGATGCACGGACTGGAGGCAGTCCTCGCCGTCCTCGTCGTCGACGAGATCGGAATTGGGCACCCGAGTTTGTGGGTGCAACGCGGGAGGTGGAAGGCCTGGCCCACGCGTGAAACTCACGGTGCAGGCGAGGCGAGACCAATGTCGCCCGACATCATCGCCAGAAGTTGAACGTTGAACGTTGAGCGGCCAAGCCCCTGAGCGAGATGTAGGGGTGTAGTACAGCGCCACCAGAACGCATCATGCAGCCCACGATCCCCCCGCGATATCCGCTCGGGCCGAACGTAGCGGGAAAGATTGCGGAGCTGCGGAGCCCCAAGCACAGGCGTGGAGTATGCATCTCCGCTCGGCAACTGCCGCGCCCGCCACCGGGACCGAGGCATCGCCCGACTGAAAATTTGTGATCTCCAGTCACTTTCTGACTTATCGATTTCGCGCCTCCGCGAACCCCCGCCCACTACCACACCACCACCACCAACGAAAAGAAAAGGGCATACATCCCTTCATACGACTCCCCACGAACCAAGTTTCACGAGAGTTACAAGAATCAGCCCATCATGTCTGCGTGCGTCCGCTATCGCTCTTGTTTCTGATCATACGGATCGTGCTGACCTTGGCGTTATACCCTCTTCCCTTTCTTTTCGGATGGTCAAATCTTCATCTTTGGATGGCGGATCATGATGGTGCCACAATCTGGTCCTCGCGGATGCCACGGGCGATGTGCACTACAGCGAAGAACAGCTTCAAGATGTCAACGAGAGCGAAATCGAGTCCAACTGGGACCAGGTCGTTGACAAGTGCGTGGCTCGCGGATGACGCTCGATTCACCGGGCAGACGCTGATGTGCATCATGATAGCTTCGATAACATGGACCTCAAGCCCGAGCTCCTTCGTGGCGTCTACGCCTACGGGTGAGTTCGCATCCCGGCGCCAGGATTTGAGGCGTTATTTGTCTCATCATCTATCTTGCCTTCTAGTTTCGAGCGCCCCTCTGCCATCCAGCAGCGCGCGATCGTCCCCGTCGTGAAGGGCCACGATGTCATTGCCCAGGCCCAGTCCGGTACCGGCAAGACCGCCACCTTCTCCATCTCGATCCTCCAGCAGCTCGACGTGAGCCTGCGTCAATGCCAGGCACTCATCCTCGCCCCCACCCGTGAGCTCGCCCAGCAGATCCAAAAGGTCGTCATTGCCCTTGGCGACTACATGAACGTCGAGTGCCACGCCTGCGTTGGTGGCACCAACGTCCGCGAAGACATGGCCAAGCTCCAGGAGGGAGTCCATGTCATCGTCGGTACTCCCGGCCGCGTGTACGACATGATCAACCGTCGCGCCCTCAAGTCGGACCACATCAAGATCTTCTGTCTCGACGAGGCTGACGAGATGCTGTCCCGCGGCTTCAAGGAGCAGATCTACGAGCTCTTCCAGCTTCTCCCCTCAGACACGCAGGTCGTCCTCCTCTCCGCCACCATGCCCGCCGACGTGCTCGAGGTGACGAAGAAGTTCATGCGCGACCCCGTGCGCATCCTCGTCAAGCGGGATGAGCTTACGCTCGAAGGTATCAAGCAGTTCTACATCGCCGTTGAGAAGGAGGAGTGGAAACTTGACACGCTTTGCGATCTCTACGAGACCGTCACCATCACCCAGGCCGTCATCTTCTGCAACACCCGGCGGAAGGTCGACTGGCTCACCGAGAAGATGCACTCGCGCGAGTTCACCGTGTCTGCCATGGTTCGTCACTTTCACACCTGATTTTCCCTTGTGGGCGCGACCCTGACCTTGAGTTTTTGTTTTTGGTGTTCCGTCTAGCACGGTGATATGGAGCAGAAGCAGCGTGAGGTCCTGATGAAGGAGTTCCGTTCTGGTTCCTCCCGTGTCCTGATCACGACCGACCTGCTTGCGCGTGGCATTGACGTGCAGCAAGTGTCGCTCGTCATCAACTACGACCTCCCCACGAACCGGGAGAACTACATTCACCGGATCGGTCGTGGCGGTCGGTTTGGCCGCAAGGGTGTTGCCATCAACTTCGTGACGACCGAGGACGTGCGGATGCTTCGCGATATTGAACGTGAGTTGGCCGATCCCCCGTGGTATCGTGGGTAGGGGATGTTTTCTGACATTGGAAATCTGCAGAGTTCTACAACACCCAGATTGATGAAATGCCTCTGAACGTCGCGTGAGTATCTTTTTTGTTTTGTCGTGTGCAAAATATCACGTTTGCTGATCGATGCTGTTTAGCGATCTCATCTAGATGCGCTCGTTGCACATATGCGCGGCGCGGCGGTTCCGCGGCGGCTGTTGCAGTAGGTACCTTTGTAGGGCTGCGAGGATGTATGGTCCGCGCCACGTCCTGGTGTCTCTTCGGTTTTTCTCAATACTGCTGTGTTCTCCCTGTCTTCTATCTTCCATTCCTCTGTGCTGTTGTCCGAAACCTGCGGTGCGCCTGCGCGTGCTGAACTGCGCACGCGTGAAAGACTGCTGCGGCGTTTTTTCCTCTCCATTTTATTGTTCCATTTTTTTTCTTTCCTCTGCCTCTTGTGTTTTGTGTTGTTGTATGTACGACACGGCGCATGCGTAATGCACTACTAGTAGCAGCAGTTATGATCATCATGCCGAATATGATTCATCGCATTGGCTCTCACTCTTGTTTTGTGAGATCGCTTTCTCCGTCTTTCCGTCATGTCACCCTTGGTATAAGCACTCGCGGCGAACTTGAACGCACTGGCGGTTCTGTCCTGTGGCAGCGGAACGCAGAGTGCTTGTTCCAGGTGGAGTGGAGCAAAATACGCCTGCGCACAGCAGCCACACCTATTGTCTATGCATGTACGCCTATGTACGCCTAAAGTACGCGAGTGCTTTCTCGACAAGTCTATCCACAATCATAGTGTGGGGCCCGGTGGTTGGGTGAGCCGCCGGTAAGTGTGTCGCAAGAATAGCATCATGACATACGCAATCTGTGTGGAATTATGTAGTGCTGAGCCAAGAACCAGGGTAAGCTGTCCGTCAGAGAGTTGGAGCGCTGTCCGGAAAAGCGCTGGGCGTTTAGCGGTAATTCGGATCTGGCAGAGTCCAAGGGGCAGCGTGGATCTGGGCGTTGTGGGCTGTTTGTTATTTTGGGCTGGGGTGGAGGTGGGCGAGGCGGTGCACCGGTTCTGCGTCCGGAGTGTTGGTGCATGTCCGTTTACTGTATGCCACGTGTGCACAGCCTTGCGTGGGTGGGCTGGATGTGGAAGGTGGGACGTGTAAGGAATATGCGTCCATCGATTGAAGATTCGCATCGGGTGATTTCGGCGGCCTCTGGGTGATATGGTGCCACATCGGTAGGTAGAATGTGGTGTGGATTAGGTAGGTTGGTGGCTCTGAGGGTCCATTCGTTCTTCCTTACTTGATCAAGGGAGAAGTGGATCAGAGACATCAGGCAGGGGAGGAAGAATATTGAGGAGCTTGAAGGTGCGGCGGATCTGTGCCTCGGTCGCGGAGCGCACACGGAGGCGATGTATGCGTATGACAGATATGTCGGATTATAGTGGGTTGGATGGGTGTGATATCGCCGGCGGTGACATATGAGGCTCCGCTTGGAATTGATCAGATTCAGAGCTTAGGATGTGATTGTACTCTATGTGTGCTATGTTTATGGCAAGGGACCCTGTTGGTCCCGGGCGAGGGGAGATGCGAGATGGGTCTATTCCAGTTGGGCGTCTGATCAAACTAAATCCAACAGACTGGGCAGAGGGAAGAGGAAGCATGGGCCCATTCGAGAAGATCTAAGAGGGCCCATCATCAGCTCATAATCATCATCATATGGGGGACGCCTCACTGATGCCTCGCTCCGGTTTTGGAATCGAGATTCATTTTGCAATTTCCCATCTGGAAGGAGCATCAGGAGAAGTGTCGTGGTAAGGTATGAGCCTGAGATTAATGTGAGATCTCCCAGGGAGCGTAGAAGTTCACTTGGTGGACCATGAGCCATTCATTGGCCAAGGAGGGTGAGGCTGTTCCTGCCTGCTGGTATAAACTCTTGCTCTCCCGGGGGCTGTGGACACCCCTGCTCTGCCTGCCTGGTCCTGTCTCGCCTTGTCTCGCCTGCGACTGCGTGCATTCTACCTGTCCGACGAGAGCTGTGCCACCTCGCTGTCACTCTCTGGTCCCGTTGACGTCCGTTGCCGTTGCCATTTGCCGTTACCTCCCGCTCCCCCTTAGCCTCGCTAGCGTCTTGTTCTCGCCCTGATTGTCGGCCGGACTCATCACTGCCAGCAATCGAGACGCCGAGCGCGCCGAGAGGCCCATATTTGCTGATCTGAGTGGTCGGCGGAGACCGAGAGCACCGATCAGTCTGCGGACAGAACCTGACAGAACGCTGCACAGCGTCGCACCCCTTCAATCTGATATTTAGTTTGCCGTACCGCCGCCCCGACGCACCTCCAACACTTCCGCAGCCCAGCCCACGTTCACGCCCACGCCCACGCTCACGTTTTCTCCCCATCCCTATATCGGACTCGAGAACCGCCTCGGCTCGTTCCCCACCCGTCCCCAAGACACGGCTAGCATAGTTGCCGCCACCGGACCAGCTCGTAGATCGTCCCTAGCTCCCCCTCGGCATCCCACTCCACCCAGGTCGGATCCATCTGCCGAGGCCAAGCGCTGAGCCACTCCGCCTCCGGGTTCAAAGACAAGGTTGAAGGCTGTTGTCATTACCTGCGCAAGACGCCATCTCAGTCATCATCGGTGAACAACCAACCGGTTCAATCGGTTCATTTCTGGTGCGTGCCTGTTTACTTAAAGCTTGTATCTCCCCTGTGCAACACAACACCTTGCCCCATCCTATCCATCCTATCCTCTTCATACATATATTAATCTAGCTTTCAGAAGCCGAACGACTCTTTGCACCCATCTTCATCTCCCTGCTGCGGCCGCGCTTCCCCCACTGCTCCCAAGGTTCCCACGCACAGCTGCAGGCGTCTACCACGCTCATATACCCGAGCAAGAACAAAAGCCCCTGTCCTCCCTGTCTTAGTATCTTCCCCTCCCCATTTCCACCTACTCCTACCCCGAGTCACCGCGCACATACGCCCGGTCCTCATACTTGCTTTCCCCAACGTCCTCAAGTATCGCTTTCAAACTGGAGACCATTCTTCTTGCACCCCACGCGGTCATGGTGAGTTCTTCCTTTCATTCATGCCCCACCTCTTCCCTGCCATATCATACGTGCCACCCATCATTACATCCACCACTCTCTTTTATGTCAACGTTACGTGTCCGAATGTGCAGGGCGATCGCTGCACGAGGGCGGGCATGCGCCTGGGCTCGTGTGCGGCTCCTGTGCTGGTCGCGTATCCTTTACCTCACCTCGCAATGCGCATCATTGCGTCGCGTCGCATCACTTCCCTTTCCCGTCCCGCTTCACCGCCTCGCCTTTTTGATTTTCCCTCCCTTGTGCCTCCATATCATCATCTTTCCATCTCTACGTCCCTGTGTCCCCAGAACGTGTCACTGACAACCTCCATTTTTTTCTGTTTGTTTGTTGTGTTTGTCCCACCCGCGCTTCCGATGTCCTGGTATCTGCGCCTCCGCCCGCTCGCCCGCCCATCACATATAAAAACCACGGGTGGAAACAACAGCAGCTCGGCAAACTGTCTATGCCCAGCGCCCCCTCGAGCCGGTACTTCCCCCCACTCTCCGCACCACCAACGCTCTCCATGTCCATCTCGACCACCCTTCCACCCGCGCCCGTTCCGAGCCACACCGGACGCCCACCAGCGCTCTCGTGCGCGAGCATTCCCCCACCGACGCCCCGCCCGCCGCGCGCGCACGGACCGTCCGAGATTATACCGCGGCTATACATGAGCGATCTCGCGGTGGCGGAGAGCGCGCCTGCGCTCGCCGCGCTCGGGATCACGCATGTGGTCAGCGCGATGCGCGGGCACGTGGCGCTGCCGAAGGACGACCCCGTGCTGCTGTCGACGCTGGGCGGCGGTGCGGGAGCGGGGATTGTGCACGCGGTGGTGCCGCTGGACGATCTGCCGTTTAGCGAGCTCGCTGCGCATCTCCCTGCGGCGACGCACTTTATTAGGGGCGCGTTGAGGGATCCGCGGGCGAGGGTGTTGGTGCACTGTGCGGAGGGGATCAGCCGGAGTGCGAGTGTCGTGGCCGCGGTGCTGATTGCGGAGTACGGGTGGGAGGCGGAGCGCGCGGTGATGTTCGTGAAGAGCAGGCGGCTGGGCGCGGAGCCGAATGTCGGGTTCGTCAAGCAGCTGCAGGAGTACGCGGACTCGCTCAAGAAGTGCGGCGCGTTTCCGGCATCGCGCCCTGCGTCGGGGGTGGCATTTGGGTCATGACGTTGGCGCTCGACATTGGTTACAGCAGTGCATGGACACAGGACATACAGACCAGACCACCTATCCGCGTATCTTTATTGGGCGTTTCACGCCCGCCTTCATTGTTTCCCTTTTCCCCTACCCTTCCACTCAAGCTCGATTGGCCCTGTGTCCGCCGTGCGCCGCCTCGTGTCCCCCAAAACCCGCAAAAATACAAAGCCTTTACTTGTCCTTACTTATTCGACTGGACTCCTCACGCTCACGCCCCATCACGTCCTGACTCGCCTCGTTCCTGACCTCTTGATCGCCTTGTCTTGTCTCGCGTTCCTCATCACCATCACCACGTGTACATGTATCGTATCCCCGCACTGCACTGCACACAGACACACTACCAACTACCACAGCACCCTGCATACCCCCGCGCATTTATTCCGTCTGGCCGTCTTGAATTTCCCTTCGTCTCTTGCCGCCTCGTCTATCTCCGTCTCCTCACCTGCCACGTTTACAGCAGACTATCACGCTACGGGGCTTATACAGTCTATCTAGCTTGAGAATGGCCTCCTATACTTATCGCATCCGTAGCACGTTTACCACGTCTCCGTTTTCTCGTCTCCTCTTTCTATTATCGCCCTCATCCTCATCCTCATCCTCATCCGCTATCCTATCGTATACTATCATTATCCACCACGCACCGCACAAGCGCCTCCCGCCGATGTGACCGCCCTCAGCTACCGTGTTTGCTTTACTGCTGCGATCGGCTGAGAGGCAGCGACACATAGTCTGGGGGCGTCGTTTTCCTTACCTCGCGGCCTCGTTTCCTTGATGAACTCGAACGTAAATTTCTGTTTTGTTTGAAGGTCCTCGTTGCGTGCTGTTGTGCGTGTGTACATATAGAAGTAGAAGTAGAAATCCTGCTGTTGCTACTCGCAACAAATTGGATTCTCCACCATCGGCGAAGCGTGCTTCACGAACGAACGAACGAACGAACGAACGAACGAATGTTGACGTTAACTTATGATTCTGCTCTCCTTTCTCGACTCGGAGCATTGGGCGTTCACGATATTTGCGTTATTTACTTTGTTTACTGGGAACTACTGGACTATACTGTACATATAAATGCATATTTATATTGCTATTGCGGCACAATCAACCCAGCGCGGTACAACGAGTCAAACTTGGGATGCACGTGTGATCAAGACGGGGAGGCCCGAAGAATCTTGGGTCTTGCGATGGATCTCAAGTGCGTTGGACTTGGTCCTGGCCTGTGCGCCAATTCTGTTTGGATTCAGTTCGCAAAATATAAATAGCATTAATTAGGCAGGGTCCAATGCATTCATCCCACGAGGTGGGATTGAGGTTGGGATAGCGGACGCGGCACAGCAGCATTAGAACGTTTGCGCAGGAATACCTCGGACATCGATGCATCAGAAGGGGTAAGCATTAATTTATAATAAGTGTTACATACATGCAAGGGACTACATACATACATACATGCACAACCGCGATCGTGTATAGCTATCTATGACCAAGTACCGAGACTACTGCCGCCACTAAACGAAGATAAAATGGGAAAACCGTCAAATTGCAAGCGAATCTATCCAGAAGGCGTATATGCATGTGGTAGGCTGTGTTATACAGCACCATATGGACATCGCTGTAACGTCTGTACGAGGGAACCGCACCAGTCTATCGGGGCCACTGCACTCTGTACTAGCAGCACGAGCCCTTGGCCGGCTGCTGCTCGAGCGTGAGATTGGTACTGGTCGCCGCTGGCTTGGAGAGCTTTACGCCAGGTGACTGCGGGTGCAAGGCGTCAGTTTAGTATCGATATCGGGATCAGAATAGAGACAGATAGAAGGGGAGACATAGCCATAGGAACGGAGGGAAAGCAGAACGTGCGATCTCCCACTCCCCCAAAAGAGCAGAAAATGGGAGACACGAGGCATAAGGCAGGACGGGAGATATGGGAAAGTAGAATCAGACGCGCGGGGGATATCTGATTGAACGTTTATGGCGCCCGTGCACAGGCCGAGGTACAGTCCCAATGCGAACAGTGCGAAGTCCAAATGTGAATGATAATGGGGATGAAGTTCAAAACGAGGTGTACGGGCGTGATGATCGCCCCTCGGAGGATGCCTGCGCAACGTATAGACCCGGGAGAAAGGACAGAACGGGCGTGATTCTGATCGATGGCAGAAAGTGGCAAACACAACGTGTGCAAGCGCCAAGGAACAAGAACCAACAGAAGAAAGAAATGAGGACAAGAAAAAAGTGGACAAATGAGGAATGGAGAAGTCCAAAGGACCGAAAGCGGAGCGTGGAATGCTCACCCGATCGTCATCAAATACGCCACGTTTGATCTTGTCGAGGATGTCGCGCGAGGCCTGCTCAAACGCGCGCTCAACGTTGACGCCCGACTTGGCGCTCGCCTCGACGAACAGAAGGCCTTCTTCGTCCGCCCACCGTTGGCCTTCTTCCGTAGACACCTCTCTTATCTTACCGCCTCCTGATCCTGATCCTGAGGGTGGTGGTGGCGGTAATGATGAAGGCGATGAGGATGCGGGGTTGGGGTCGGAGGATGCGGGGTCAGAGGAAGAGGGTTGTGAGGACGGTTCGGCATCCGAGACGAGGTCTACTTTATTCCCGACGAGGATGCAGGTTAAGTGCGGGTCTGCGTGTTCGCGCACGTCGGCAAGCCAGGAGCGGGCGTTGATATAGCCTATTCATACGGGGAACGAATCGATCGATGGTCCGACGACGTTCGAAAGAATGGGATAGACGGGGAAGTTGGAGCGCATTCAAGATCAGAAGCCGGAAGTTCCGAGTGGAGAATCAAAGGTGCCATGGTACAGGGAAGCAGAGTCACAGGCAAAAGCAGAGACTTCGGTCAGAACTACAGGAAAGGACGCGAGGACAGGGAGGGTGCGTACTTGCGCGCGAGGTGACGTCGTACACGAGGAGACAACCCGCGGCGCCGCGGTAGTATGAACGCGTGATGGAGCGAAAGGACTCCGTGCCTGCTGTGTCCCAGCCTGTGTACGCGAGGCGTGTTCAGTACCATATACATCAACTTCAAAGGAAGAGACAGGGGCATGGCATAAGGAGGCCATGGCAGTGACAGGGAAACTCTGTGCGAAAGCAGCAGACGAGGATCGGGAGACACAAGTACTCACATTGGAGCTTGACGATCTTCCCCTCCTCCGGTATCTCGATCAGTTTCGAGCCAAACTCGACACCCAGCTATGAGGAAGAGAACGTCTGTTGAATAAGGAGCTGTGTTCGGACAGGCGGAGAGACAGGGGGAACGCACGGTGGGGTCTGGGTTGGCGAGGAAGCGTTGATCTGTGAGACGGACTAGCAGAGAGGATTTGCCTACTGCAGCATCGCCTGTATGACCGAGGAAGGCGAAGAGGAGGGAAGGGTTATGTGTGGGTGTCTCTGGAGACGTGCTGTGGAGACATACCAGTAATGATGAACTTGAGGACATAGTGCCACGTTATTGCTGGCATACTTGATTGTAATATTAAGTCCTTTAGTCTCTATGCTGATTACAGAAGGTTAGGCCTTGCTTGTTCGTCGTCGAGGATGGTGTCGGGGAGAGGAGAGGAGTGTTGCCCCGCCCGACCAGCCGTGGAAGACGTAACCGGGCACGCCCCACGCGCTCCTTCCATATGCGGAATCGGGAGGCGGACATTTCCGGAATCCTCCCGCCGCTGCTCGTCTTTTCTGTTCGACGTCCTCTCAGCCAAACAAAAGCCCATCCACTACCCCAGACACAGACACAATGAGCGCAACCTGGCGTAGCGTCTTCACGTACGTTCGCAGCGTCTGCATGGGCGAGGACTAGAGCACTTGGGGTACTAATGGAGCTGCAGGTACAACAAGTACGCCCAAATCACCGCACGCGCCGTGCGCAACTCCCTCAAGGAGACCGAGCGTGTTGCAGCTGAGAAGCGCGGCCTCACCACCGTCCGTTACCAGCATTGGGAGAATGGCGTTGGTGGACAGCAGGTGAGTCTTCTTTCCTAGACCTACTCGCCCCCATGCTGACCTCGGGGTGCTCTCAGACTGTGTTGAACCCCGAGCTGGAGAAGGCCCCCGGGAAGCCCGCCGTATAGAAGTCGGAGGACAAGGCATAGGAGGGTTTAGACACGGTGTAACACCCGCACACGCTTGCACAACCTGCAATAGACGCATACATTCGCTGCCCTATCAAATCTTCGTGTTCCCGCACTAAGTTCGACCACCGCAGAGCGTGCGCTGTTCCATGCTCTCTGTCGGCCGACGACATTGGTACCCGTTCGAGCGTGCCGTGCCTTGACCTCGCCTTGAAGTCCCATGGAACATACCCCGACGGCAACAGAGATGTGCGCACATCGTTTCGGTCGGGCTATGGGCTGTGTCGTTCATTCCGAGGTCCGGCCTTCCCGGAGAGCTATCTTGCGACAGTTTCTTCCATCACTGCTGACCCGTAGCATTCAACCCCGCCCTAAGAGGCCGAGGAGGCCGCCGACGATAAAGCCCACGCCGCGACAGCCGAGTCGGACGTCTGAGAGCGATGTGATATATTGCTTCATCAGCGAGGGCGAGGGCGGCCCCCGCTTTCCTATAACGCAAGCCGGCGTCTTGTGCGTCGGACCGCGTTCTGAAGGTGCGAAGCCGTCGTGCACGTAGTAGTTGGGCGGTGCCGCCCTTCATTTCGTGGCTCCCTACAGAGCATATTCGTCGTATCTCGCGCCCGATATTTTCGGACCATGTTTCGCCACTCATTCTCGCTGCCGGAGTGGCTAAGCTCTGGCATTAGCAGCGTTACAGGTACTACGTCCAAACTTCGGCCTCAACATCGGGCGGCCCTCATTTCGTGGTTTGCTACGATGTCAATCATCGCATCTTGCGCCCGGTACGCACGGACATGTCTGGCTACCCAACTTCGTTGCCACAGGGGTTGAACGCTAACATTAGCAGGACTGCCAAACCTCGACATTGACGACTCTGACCTAGCGACCGGCCGTTGAATAGCTTGCCTTGGACGTCGCAAGGCACGCCACCTGTCGACTACGTTGGTCTCGGGAAGCTCGCCGGCAGTTACGATCGCACCAATAAGGCTTGCTTTTGCAGCCTCCAAAAGAAACACTTATAGCGATTCGTGTGGCATTGTGGCTGACCTTCTAACCCTTCAGGTCAACATCTCGCCTCGAGTGAGTAACCGGGGTCTATAACCAGTCAGCGGCTTCATGTATTGTACCACATGGCTTTGCAAATGGATGACCCAGTGGGAACTCAACGACAGTGCTCGGCTGCCGACATCGACAAGGTCTGGCGCGTGGCGCGTGGTGCGATGATGACTTTCCAGCTGGTTTATTCTCACCGCTGGGTTGAGCGCCCTGCGATATCACAAGGTTCCGATGCGTACTTACTTGCGGTGTGGTCTCGCAGCATTTTGTTCATCTCTGACGTCGGACCGTATGGAGCTTTTTGCCTCGTGAACTGAGGACGAACTGAGGACTCGGCGACTGAAGCTGCTTTGTCCAGTGTCATTCGTTATCATGAAGGTTTGGCCAGTCATGGCAGTATGCTTTCGTTACTGTGCTAATCATATTGATGTCGGGCGATATAGGACCTTTTTGTATTATGAACTGAGGACGAACTGAAGGCTCGGTCGCTGGAACTGCTATCGCGTGCTGATTCGTATTTCGGACAACGTCGGTGAAGCGAAGTATCTCACATCTCTTAATCCCTGATCTTCTAAGTTCGCGATGGCCGCCACCTCGTTGGCTCCTCGCGCGCCACAGAATTGGATCGCCGCCCATGGGGCACGAGAAAAGGGATTTATTCATTGTCCGGCTTCACGCGGATCCATTTCATCCATCTCGGCTCCACGGACGAGCCAGTGCATCGACCAATGCCTTTCGCCTGCACACCTAAGATGAAGGCGGTCGTAAGACTGTCAAGAAGATGTAAGGAGCGAGAAGGTCCCGCTGCAAACATGGGAATGTAGGCATCGTGGATTCTTATTTCGCTGATACGTGGATAGAAATGGTACCGTCCCTAGTTGCACCGGTCTCCCGACAAAACCAATCGTCACAGCCACTCAGTGGTGTCCGCGTTCATGTGGCCATAGGTGCGCTCAGCATTGCTCCTTTGCGTCGTCATTTGATGGGTAGTAGTAATAGCGAAGATAGAATTGGTGTAACGACCAATTTACAGCCACTTGCTCATCGACATTCATATGAGCATAGGTGCTTGCAGCCTTGATTTTTTGCGTCGCCGTTTGGTGGCACACGTTCGACAACGCCTCTTGGTAGCTCATTTTGACACTCATGGGGCTCCGTTGCACCTGCACCAGATGCAAAGGCAAGATGTCGGCCTAACCGGCTTTCACACTTCTCCCCGATCGCCCCGACTTGGAAGCGGATTGACAGCGACAGGCAACATGACGGCGTGCGCACCCCGCCTTTGTTCGCGACCGGTGCTCACGTACACAGATATGCCGGTCAAAATGCTCAATATGGTTATGATCCCTTCACACGTCGTGCGGCGTCCATTGGCTTCACCGTCATACACCAGGGGCCACTGGCCAGGGGGAGACGATCGCGCACCTTGCGAGCTGGCTTGGCTCGGAGCGAATGGCTCAGGTCTCCGACCACGCATGGGCGAATGGACGTTTGGTGGCGTCCGGCCGCCGGCATTCAGAGGCAGTACCGACGTGAATGGATGCCCGTGGTGGTAGACGACATAATAGAGGTAGCATAATTGCTTTTGTTATCTCATGTTGCATCTTCTGATGATGGCGAAACAAGCTCCTACGAGAAATCCTGCTCTAGCTAGATGCTAAGGACAGTGCGTTAGTAATAGAAGGCAAACGGTACAATTTTAGTTAACCGTGTAGTTTGCCATGCTCGCCCTCATATCGGACTTTACAGGGTTGCCTCAAGTTAACGCCCAGTGTTGCGGTCGGTGCTTCGGAGAGGCGATGCGCACTCGTTATTCGTAATGTCCAATGCCCAGTACACAAGTCGTTTATCTGTTGTCCATCTCACGAACTCCTTAGGCCATGCCCGCCGGCGGTCTTAGCACAACCACACGTGGCCGTATGTTGCGCCATGTCATCTCCTGATTGATGAACAGAGCCGCCCCCAATTTGGATATCTGTTTTCTGTTTTCTGGAAGTTTGTTACGCCCCAGGCTCACTCGACGCACGTGAGGTATTCACCGCTCTCGACGGCCTTCTTAACGTTTTTTCTAGTCCCACATCTCCATCTGTCCAAGGAGGCTAATCTCTGCCACGGTGCTGCTATCAGTATCAAGGGGCTCTTCAAGCCATTCGCAATTGTATGACTTTCCTATTCCGTTCTGTTTTCTTCACATATTTCCACTCAAGAGAGAACGGCACCCCATATCCGATTCGGTCCAGTTACGTTGTAGGCACCGTCTTCCCGTTCGCGCGTCCGCACCTCATCCATCTATCAAGTCCATCCATCACATGAGGCGAGTGTAAATGGTCTCGCCGCACTGCCATAACCAAAGCCTTCCTTGTTTGATCGGCGCACACTGTCTGTGGAAGGAAGGAAGGGCAGGATTGGACCCAGAGACACAGCATCCTTGATGAACGCTGACTCTGGACGCTATGTATCATAATACGTATTTTTAGGGCGCCGCTTACTAAATTATAGTACTGGGTGCGAGACTCTGTCACCGATCACCACCCAGGGCAGAAGCCAATTTTGTTGCTCCTCTGCTTAAGATATTTGACGGGGCGGTGGTATCTCAGGTCGGCAGACGGGGAGAGCTTTGACGCAGAGCTCACCGAAGTCTTCCCGCTATGGAGGTGGTGCTGGTTAATTGATCTCCTATGAAAGTGGACTCGCGGACTCGGGCCGTATGTAGTGCCTCTGATACAGAACGGACTATGAAAGATTCATTTCCGCCACTGCTGGAACGTGTGCCATATATACTACGTTCATTCATGATGCTCTAAAATTGGTACTGCTCTTTAGGCTGGCACGCCAACAGATGGCGTATGTATGGGCTCCAGCTAGCGTTAGATGTTCCTCTGAATGAACGTGTGGACTTCGAACAATCGCCGCGCCGGTGGCGCATGCGCCGTGCTTTGGAGTCGACCTTGATTCCACAGCCCGCCGGAAAACATGCCCCCATTTTGATTATCTATTGTTCATTATCTCTACTTCTTCCACACCTACAGATCAATGATCTTTCCGGGTTCTTCCTAGTTACCCCAAATTCCCTGATCAGCGCAATCGAGGTTCCATCTCCAGCGGTCGGACAGGTTAGGCCCGAGCAGAAATTAATCGCCCCCTGCATCGCGGGAGTGCCGCGGCATGCACTTGTCAAGTTTCATCATTATGGTTGCGCACAGATATCAATCAGTCCAACCTCGAGGATCATACATTAAATACCCGTTAGGCTGTGCGCGGGGTAATTTTGGACATCGAATGTATGAGGTAATGGTCCTCGAACGCCGGCGATGGGCTTTAATCTCTCAGGTGATATCTGTCAAGAATCTGCGAGTATGACGAACATCAGGATGTACATAGGATATTCATTTCGTAAGCAGGACTTTAAGATGGATCTTTCCTCGCATTCGTGTTATCTCTCACAGTACGAACATCAAGGAATTCGCCGCTAGGAGCTACTCTGCTCACGTCTTAGTCTCAAACAGAAATAGGTGGTGCATACCGCTGTGCACTTAATCAAAATAAGGGTCTCCTAAATCAAATACTACGAAGCTCTGGCCAGGAGGGCTACGGTTCGCAAGAAGGTTCACAGGTAGCTAATGATAGCAGATAGGCTTGCCTAAGACGTTGATCGAGCTCCATGTTGTGCTGACTTGCGCTAGCAAGGTGAAGGCATCGTCATAATATTTGTGGCATATCATACATGGGAGATTGATGTCAACAGTCAAGAAGCGCACTTTCAATGTTATTCGGTAAATGCCGCACTACCCACAGCGCTTGTGACACGTCGCCTGTCGTCATCCCAAAAAAACACGGCCCTCACAGGCACACCTGGATCCGAAGTCCCTAGAGTGTAGCATCCTTGTAAGTGTGGTTCTGGCATCTTTTCTTTGTTGCATAAAGTCTACGACGTCCCATGCCTAAGTTGCCAGTAGTACTTGCCAAAAGAATCCGTCCATACGATTATAGTATGCAGCAAGTCCATGGCTCAGCGAGCCAATTCCTTTTATAAACAAACAGCTCTAATTGTGGTTTCGCTTGTGTATAAGTGGTATGCAGGGGTTTGGTGTGCGATCGCATGCAGTTGTGTCTTTATCAAACCAATAACTACCGACAGAATATTTGAGTTCTCAGCGGAGATGACTGTGAATATGACAACCACCCTGAAAGTTGAGACTCGAGAGGAAGGCAACTGCGTCACCTGAACTGATGTCCCATTGGATGGCGAGAAGTAACGGGAGAATATGGCAAAGGGAAAGAGGTCCGAGTCGAAACGGTTTGGAAACGATAAGTCGAAACGGAGCGAAGTCACAAACTCCATGCCTTGCATAATATCACAGAAAAAAATTAGCATTATCCAGCCACTAGGACGCAACACTAATGACAGGGGCACATAAGTAGCATAAAGCAAGTATAAGTACGAGAGAAGAGATCAAACAACAAAGACGAACGATAGAGACAGGGGTTATTCCCCGAAACGGGGTACGGAACAATGACGGAAAAACGGGATACGGGCCGCGGCGGCAACCGGACCGGGAAGAACGTAGCTTAGGCAAAACTTCTTCGTTATACCTGTCTCCCTTCGGATCCAGGAACATCCCAAACTTCGCTAGCGCTTTCAAGTGTTACACATCTCCTCAAGGCAATCCCTATTTGACCCGTTCCCTATACCTATGTAAGTATCACACATTCACGCAGTAGTCTCTTCTCCTTGTAACGTACCATAGTGTGCTGGAAGGAAACTCATCATGCGCCACTGTTTATCCATACCCGAGTTACTCCAAGGCGTATTATGGTTTCTCACGTACGATTCCAAAAGAAAATCGCTCGCCAGGCTTTCCAGGACTCGAAAAAAGCTATACGATCCTGCTTTAGATGCATTGTACTACAAGACCCACGAAATCGCCCGCCTTCTTATGCTTCTCCCTGCCGACTCTTGGATCGTCGGCGAAAGCAAAGTTTGTACGCTGAAGCACAGTACTTTCGTATCTCACAGCTAAATCTTCCTTGTTTAGCGCTTTACCAGACTTTTAACGAAAAATGATTGGAATGCCTTCCAGAAAAACTCTGAGTGGATACGTCTGCTGGGACACTCTAGCACTCCTACGTTCTATGTCGCCGCTTCCGTACTACATGAAGCCTGCTTATCTCCGCACCTCCCTCTTCTACCCAATTTACGGACTCTACAGTGGACGAACAAGGAGTTTCATGGAACATTTATTCCCCAACGGCTCTTTTCAGTCGTAGCCCTACTTGGGGATACATGCGCATCTATCCAACAGCTTTGTCTCTCGAGCGAGGAAGTGGACGAAAACATCCACGCCTGGACGACTTTGACCGACGTCCTCCCAACCATGGCGTCTTTACGATCTTTGGAGCTCGAACTAACCAGCAACAATGTTTTATCGATACTACAAACTCTTCCGTCGCTCGTCGAGTTCGTATTTGTCCCACCCCACGACCTGCCACCCACTCTACGCGAAAACAGACACGACAGTCTGCAATACCTTTACTCGGGATCTGGGCAGTTTTCTCACTTCTGCAATGCTCTCAACAACATTGGCTATATACCTCAGCTTCGCGTTCTCAAAGCCCGTTCAACAGGACACACTTTGGAGCAGATCCACGACTTCTTCGCCGAACTGCTCTTACATGCCGAGCCTTATAACCTAGGCACTCTTACTCTTGTTGAAGAGTCGAGTTGGGATAATCTGCCCCCGGAGGATCCTAGCATCCCCATAGATTGGGGAAGTTTGCGCCCCCTACTCCAATTTCGTCGATTGAAGAAGCTCGTCATTGGCATTCGTCTGTCTTTCAGACTAACAGACTACGAACTGGATGACATGTCGCAAGTGTGGACTGAAATGGAGCATTTAGCTCTCATCGGTTTCGAAACGTCTTTCATCACGCCGGAAACGTCTCTCTGGGGCGTTGCCGTCCTTATCAGCAACTACGTCCACCTGCGTATCTTGCATCTCTCTATTGACGCAGCGATCTACTGCAACCCGCCTCCGACGGTGGGTGCTCTTGGCAAGCGCGTCGTTGAGGTCGACTTCCACAACTCGCCGATCGACGATCCATTCTACGTTGCTTCCTATCTTTCTAACGTCCTTCCAAAATACTCATACATTGGTGCACACATCCCTCGCCCATCCCGCCTCCTCGAAGGTGAAATACGCCGAAGTAAGTGGGAGGTGGCGAGAAACTTGCTTAAAGGACTATACATGAAGCAAGAGTACGACTTTCAGTGGAAGACTGCGAGGGGAAAGTCTGGAGAACGTCTTACTCCCGGACAACGTGGACAAAGTTGGAACTTTATCACAGATTTTAGGAAGGATGGATTGTTTTGGGAGAGCGACATGCTAGGCGAGTTTTAGCCAGAAAGTACTCCCCTCGCTGTGACTGCCCGAGGGTGAGTACACCTATTCATTACATCAGTCTGTGTATATATGTGCTTCTTCACGCCGATGTCTATTCCCTTGTGCTTCAAACCTACACGTATGCTGAAATTCGTCCTCGAACGTTTGGAACGACGAGGCCACATTCCACATGCTGTTGCTATGCTACAAGCCCTGTTAAATCTTCTTTATTCCTAGGCCTTTTTGATGATGGTGAGGTATCATATTAATGTCCAACAGGGCGGATACCCTACGATGGACAGTGATACTTAGACTAGTGAGAATATGAAGGAGTCAGCCCACTCTGAGATATAATCCCGTCATACACTAACACGTACCCGCCAGCCAGAGACTGTGAACACCATAACTTGTTAAAACCCACTGAGGAAGCCCAAACCATGATTCCCGTCCAGCCGGATCCGATGACTCTACCGCAACACCAAACCCGACGAGAATCCGCCGAGCCCTCATCCAGCCGCCACATGTGGAACGGGTAATAATTCCGTGACGAAGCGGACGGCCCTCTATGCCGATTATTTTTTCCTATCTAGGTCTCCATATGTCTGGCGGAACTAGACCTTGTTATGAACTCAGTTCCCGCAATGCCATAGCACGCCTTTGTAGTACTGTAGAGTGAGTACCATTGGAGAAAACGCGCGTTTGCCTCTAAAAGGCGAGAGAACATAGCCATGGAGCCGGTATATGCCGATACCCGCCACGTGCCATAAAGGTTGACGCGTCATCGATTCATCACGAGCCCATTGTTGGCAATGTTGCGACTCGGTCTTGCCGCTGTAGTTTTTGGCTTGTAAGTGCCAGTGAGTATGATATTCCTGCGTGGATACCACTCACTTACCGTTGTTAAAAGGAGCTAGGGATATGGGGAGCATACACCCTTGTTTGTTGGTACCTGAACTGCGTTCCAACGTACTGGAGATCTTGTCTTGGGCATCAGAATGGAGGGCGCTTGCAAATCTTGCCCGAACGAGCAAGGCTTTTTTCGAACTCTCGATGGACGCCCTGTATGCTAGGATGGAGGAGATTTCGAGAGTCCTCATGCTTCTGCCACGCGACTGCTGGACCGTCGATGGCAATACCAACGAGATTGTTCGTTGCATGTTCCCATATTATTCGTCGTCCCTTCTGACATGTTTTCAGACGTTGACTAGACAACTGACAATGAACGATTGGAGCTTCTTCCGACGCAACTCACGGCGTGTTCGAATGTTTGGTCATCCCAGGAACCCGACTTTCCTCGTTTCGTCGTCCACTCTAGACGCCATTTGTCTCTTGCCCCTTCCTCCCATCCTACCGCACCTCCGTGTCTTGAAATGGACGAACGAGCACTTTCACGGACCGTTCATCCGACAGCTCGTTGGCCCAGAGCTTACTACAGTATCGTGGAACTGTATACCCTTCCAGTTCTTCCCTCTTATTTCGCTTCTCGGCGAGACATGCCAGTCCTTGCAGTTTCTCTCACTCGCTGGAATCGATGGCGAAGAAGATATAGGGATTTCTCAGGCATTAGAAAACGCACTACCTGCCATGAGCTCCTTGAGATCTTTGTCGTTGTACACGACTAGTTATAGGCTGCTTGAAATCTCAGCGTCTTTACCAGCCCTCGAAGAACTCTCTTTCACCCCACCTGACTCCGATTCGCGCCAGTCAGCGCCGAGCAAGGAATTCGCCATCCGAAAACTTTACTCCGAATCGGGTTCACTTGGTAGCTTTCGAAACGCTCTCCGGGCAATGGGCCATCTATCACGGCTTCAAACAATCAAGGCTTTGTCACCATCGCCTCGTGTGGATGAACTCACAGAGTTCTTGGCAGAGCTGTGCCTGTACACTAATCCTGATCAGCTCAATGCACTCTCTGTCATGGATGAATCATGCTGGAACGATGGCGACTTACAGGAACCCCAAAGCAGCTCTATAACAATGTCGATACTCCGGCCCATACTACAGTTCTTTTGCTTAACGAAATTCGTCGTGGGAACCGTCCTCTCCTTTTCCTTGACGGATTCTGACCTATCTGAGTTATCGCTTGCGTGGCCGAGACTTCATACTCTGTGTCTCATTGGAGGAGAAGTGTCGCTTGGCTCCGTGAAGACAACACTCGCTGGCCTTGCCGCGCTTGTCCAAAACTGCCCCAGCTTGTGCATCCTTAGCCTTGTCATCGATGCAACAACCCGTCATCGGCCGCCCTTGGCTAGCAAACCATTCCATCTACGACAAGGGATTCAGCTTGAATTGTTCAACTCGCCTATCGAAGACCCCCTTTATGTTGCGTCGTTATCTCTACAGTATCCTTCCACACTCCTCCTTTGTTGGCACTCATCCTGTCCATACGTCACCACGAAGAGGCGCTGAAGAATGCAAGAAGAAGTGGACTGCTGCCGCGGCAACATTGAACTCGTTCTATGTCAAGGACGAGTACGATCGCGCATGGGAAACGGGCGCGCATGAACCAATAGAATACAATCAATCGAGCGACAACGATAGACACTGGAAGTTTGTAGATGATTTCTGGGAAGATGGACTTTTCTGGGAGTCTGATTTGCTTCTAGCTGATTAGTTAGAGCGTGTTATGTAGCTCGCACTAGGAAAGGCAGATATTCCGGGCGTGGGCCCCGGGCCCTGCGACTGCTTTGGCCTTTCAGGTACCATGACGGCGGCCATCCAACATCGCAGCGTCTAGGACTTTTCATAAGCACAACCCGCATACAATAATAGATGAAATCCTCTGTGTGGCCATTTCCGTGTGGAGCAATTCCTTGTTGCTATTACTTAGGACGGACCGAATACTAGGCTAGAGGTCAACGCAGCGGACAGGGGCATGGTATTCCGGTGGGGATGTGGCTGTGCATGTCACGGAATCCCACGGACACGATTTGTTCCGCTCACAAATTTGTCGCGCGTCCTGTTTGCTTTCCACACCCCTTCCCCATCGTCCTCCACGTCCTTCACGGCGTCTCCTTCCCCTCCAAAATGGCCTCACTAGCACGTCTCCGGCTTCCTCTCGCCCGCCGTATCGTACGTGGACATTGCGAGGACACAACGGATTCGCTTTTCTGACTGACACCTGTTTGCAGCCTTTTGCACGCGCCATTCAAACCTCGGCGGATGTCACCCAGCTTGCTGACAACATCACCGACCACTCGAAGCCATTCTCGGTCAAGATACACGAGGAGTCGTACCGAGCATACAACTGCGACCTCCCTTCATTGGACGTCCAGGTCTCCAAGGACGAGCTCATCCACATGTACCGGGACATGCAGACCATGCGTCGCATGGAGATGGCGGCCGACGCACTCTACAAGGCGAAGCTTATCCGTGGTTTCTGCCATTTGGCCATTGGTCAGGTGTGTACTCCAGCCCTATTTTTCACTTCTTGTTACTCACGGTTATCGCACAACAGGAAGCCGTATCGGTTGGTCTTGAGCACGGTATCACCCCGGAGGACCGTGTCATCACCGCCTACCGGTGCCACCCCTTCGCCGTCATGCGCGGCGGCACCATCAAGGGTGTCATTGCCGAGCTCCTCGGTCGTCAGGCCGGCATGTCGAACGGCAAGGGCGGCTCCATGCACATCTTCACACCATCCTTCTTCGGTGGTAACGGTATCGTCGGTGCGCAAGTGCCCGTCGGTGCCGGTATTGCTTTCGCACAGAAGTATCTCGGCAAGAAGACTGCCACCTTCGCGCTCTACGGTGATGGTGCTAGCAACCAGGGCCAGGTGTTCGAGGCGTTCAACATGGCGAAGCTGTGGGACCTTCCGTGCGTGTTTGTGTGCGAGAACAACAAGTACGGTATGGGCACGTCGGCGGAGCGTAGCTCGTCCAACACGGAGTACTTCACCCGTGGCGATAAGATTCCTGGTCTCCAGGTAAGCGCATATACCCACCTCTCTGTGTATTGTATCTAATTACCCCTACGTAGGTCAACGGCATGGACATCATCGCCTCGCGCAACGCCGTTCAGTACGCTCGGAAATGGGTCACGGAGGGTAACGGCCCGCTGCTGATGGAGTTCGTCACCTACCGCTACGGTGGTCACTCGTGAGTAACCTTGTCTTCATCATTGCCGTTCCTTCTGACGAGTACCTATCCAGGATGTCCGACCCCGGCACCACCTACCGTACGCGTGAAGAGGTTCAGCGGATGCGTTCGACTCAGGACCCCATCCGCGGTCTCCAGCGATACATTGAGGAGTGGGGCCTTGCCACCGAGCAGGAGCTCAAGGTACGTTGACTGCGTAGTCCGCCCTTTGTATTGTATATGCTGACGTTCTGCCAATAGCAAATCGACAAGGACGCCAAGGCCGAGGTCGACAAGGCCGTCGAGGAGGCTAAGGCATCGCCTGAGCCCGAGCTCAAGGACCTCTGGACCGACATCTACTACAAGGGCACCGAGCCTCCGTTCATGCGCGGCCGTGAGCGCGAGGAGGTGCACTACTACTAGATGCCTTGCCTCTCGTGTGCCTTCGGGTTGGGTTGGTGTAATGGGTGGTAGCGGACTATACATGCACTTTGCTGTTTCTCTTTCATTATCGTACTAGAGTCTGTTTTTATCGTATTGCCGGATACATTACATGGTTCTTCGTAGCCGCCTGGGCTGACCGATGTGAGTTGAGTAAAACCAGGACCCCTCACAAATGGGGAGCTATGCGATTAAAGACGTTAATTCCTTGGTAGCATTGGTCTTGGATGGGGCCTAGAAGAGATGGCATTTTAACTTGACAAACATTGTGACCATACAATGTGGACTGGGTAACGTATCAAGGCCCTAGTGAGTGGAGGAGAGAGAAGCAAGGCGAGACGCCGCCGCGGAAGGGCACAAAGTACAAGACATGCACAGAAGGTACTATAGGACCACCGATGTTAAGTATCTAAGGTTATACTGAGATATACGATCCACAACATATCAATCAAGCGTGACAGTTTAGCCCAGTCATCCCTATAAAACAGCAAACCAACTACTACGCATATACGAAGAAAACCAATCATCAATATTGTCACCGATATTCCCCAGGAAGCTCCAAAATATCCAATATCGTCCTCGCAAGTATCGACACCTCCCGCTCGTCCTCAAGCCTCAGATGCGCGTGCCCAGCAAACCGTCCACCCGGGCTCATACTGACGTTCATTCCGCCTGGCATAGCCCCGATACCGTGCGCCGTGCCAAGGTCCGCGAGGTGGCGCAGGGTGCCAATCAGTCCGGCTTCTGCGAGCTCGGTGCGCCGTCGCGAGACGGAGGTGGAGAGCAGGAGCTGCTGTACACAGGAGAGGAGGGGCACGCGGGTGTCGGGTTTGGTGTCGGTGAGGCACTGGTGGATCGCGTTGAGGATGGTGTACCGCGAGAAGATGGTGTCTTGATGCGCTGGCGGAGCGTTGGCGAGGTTGCCGAGCAGGTGGGCAGTCTGCACATTCGACGTCACCGTGAGCAAAAGCGATCGTATGAGAGAATGAGATTCTATTGTACCTGCCGCGTGACGTCCTCATTCTCGGAGTCCAAACCGCAAATAAGACAGTCTACGAGATCGTCGGCGTCAATGTTGTCAAACAGCAGGTCGCAGCCGGCTTCGTCTGCTACAAGGTTGTTGAGGATCGCGATGGCCTGCTCCTGAATCTCAACGTCCGGGTCCGTAGCGAACCTGAAGAGTTGGTTTATACGTGCATCCACTCCATGTATAAATTTCAGTTTCCACGTACCTAAGCAATTGATCCCAGCCAAGAGTGTCCATCGCCTCATCCTTTGTTGCTTCTGTGCTCTTGTGCAGTAGATTTCGTAAAAGCCACAACGCGTTCAGGCGTATCTGCGACTGCGTCTCCTTTCTCAGTAACTGGGTTATACGCTCTAACAGCCCTTGCTTCATCATTTGCTGCGAGCGCCACTTATCAGTCTCCTGTAACAGTTCGGCATTGAAAGGATCAACTTACAGGCTGCAGTGGGGAAAACTCGATGACCAGGTTACACATCGCGAGCAACGCAACATGCGTCACGCGCATATCTTCGCCTTCTTTCTTGAACACCTCGAAGAGTGCCATAGCCAACCCCGAATCGTCTAACGTTGTACGAATGATGGACACTGCGCGAGACAGCGTGCGGACACACTGGCACGCGGCGTACCGCACGCCGACATTCTCATGCGTCAGCGAGGCGCGGATGAAGGGCACAAGCGAGTGTTTGTCTGCGATGTCGCACCGGTGCGCGTTCTCGTGCAGCGCCAGGGTAGCGATGGCTTGGAAACAGGCCTGATTTGTGCGTTGAAGGCCAAGTGGTCACGGACAAAGAACGCAAGAGCGTACCTCGCGGAGCATGACCGTGCTCTCAGGCTCGTCCTCCTCCAAGTCGGGGTCCCTGTCGAGGGGCGTTATGGACTTGACGAGGGCGGCGAGGCGGTCGAGGGTTCCGCGCTCGACGGCTTCTCGGCAGAGCTCCTTGTGATCGCTTACAAGGTAGTCTATGGGTTGAGTGAGTTCAAGTACGACAACGCCACCGATGATGCGTACACAGGGTGTAACACGCTTTGACACGATCTAGAGGCTTCTCGTTGCTAGGACCCAGTAGGCGATTCACGACGTGCATAACGCTGAGAGCGGAGGCATGGTCGAATGCCTCGGGATGGTTGATAGCACTCGCTCGTACCACGTGTGCCGTGCTTTTGTCGAGTGAGAGGTGGGGTACGACTAGAGTAGGATGCACTTACCATAGCGACGCTGCCAGCTGGACGCTGACAGAACGACTCTTGGTGAGGGCAACGATTGCTGAGAACGGTGCGGAAGCTGCAAAAAAAAAAGCCATCAAACATCGTGTTGATAGTGCATCTTACAGACACTCACGATCTCGGGCTCGCTCGGAGTGTCCACCTGTCAAAGCGGTTGCAACCGTCGGATTCCCCTGAGCAAGCGCTGCGATAGCCCCCAGTGCAGCTTCTTGCAGCTAGCATGGATTAGCCATTAAACAGCGTCTACAAAAAGTGATCTTACCTTTGTGTCTCGCCCGTTGACCAACGCTATGAGGTGTCGCACGACCCATCCGCCCTGACGAGCAGGTCCAGTAGAGTGCAGGATATCCGACCTCTCCCAGCCTCTCTTTCCCTTCACCTCCTTCAGTCGCTCAGCTGGTGGTAGCCAATCTGTGACGAGGGTTCGATGAGCATCGCAGCGCACGACAGCACCGATGAGCTGGGCAATAGCCGTTACAGTTTGAGTGGACTTGTCGGTGAGAAGGGGGAGGTAGATGTCTAGGCAATCGAACTGGATGCAAAGTGTGAGGGGCAATTTGGGATAGGGAAGCAAGAAAAGGTAAACGGACATCAAGCAGGTAGTTCAGAGCCACCTCCGATTCTGCACGTATGTCGGACGACCACGTCGTCATCCCGACTTGCGAAGGTCCAACCACCACTGCGACTGACGAAGATAACACCCTCAAACCCCTCGCAAGCGCTGACTTGAGTGTAGTTGAATCGCCAGGCTCGAGATCCGCAAGGGCTTTCAGGAACGCTCGAGGTGCATTTGCACGGAGCAGACTTCTAAGTGCGTCTTCGGAGCCTTCATTTCGTCGCTGAATTGGGGATTAGCTAGTCTAGAGAAGCGACGGAGACGTACCGTAGGCTATGGATGATATGACGTGTGCTGCCTCGACACGGATGTCGTCTTGCGACCCCTGAGCTTCTCCATATGATGACGGTGGGTAGTTTAGGCAGCCTACCAGTCTGCCTCAGCTCTTTCAGCTCAACATTGGAAGAACGCTATGGTTCGTCACGCACGAGTGGATAAACGCGGTGTCGCGAGACATGGCGAGCTTGGCTGATGGGTTGCCAATGACGCCGTTCTTCATGCGTTTGAGCGCCGCTGTCGTGATGACTCTGACTGTCATTATGGGCTGTGGATGTTCATTTCCGTCAATTATTCAAGACATTCTACACAACAATATTCTCACCGGTCCGTAGTGTTCGGTTTCTTGCAGCACCGTGGTTGTTCGCACTGCGGGGTAGCGTGTGCAGCGTTTACGATGTGGGAGAAGGAGAAATGATGACTTTCCTTTTTGGGGTTACAATTCCGCGAAAACATCGCCGCACGTCATCTGTTCTTGTTTTCCGCTTCTACCGCATATACGCGCACAGCCAGGTCTCTTTTAGCGCTCAGCTTGTGAGCTGTATGTGATGGAATATGCCTCATGTTGTCTCTGCATCCATATGCAAACGCTGGATTGGGGTTCTACAGCAACTATTGCCGTCGGATCGGCTCTATCTGTCCTATCAGAACGGATAGCCGACACAACTCCAATGAACTGCTCTACATCTCTGGCTTCTCTGCCCATTGACGAGTACCGCATGGTGTCTTTACTGTGCACGAGGGCAACGAGAAGGCATTTATAAGTGGGTACACAATGTGTGTCACTCTCTGGTCTTCGCTACAAGTTCCCTCAACCTCCTCCAGCCCATTTCTAGCAATCGCTTCTTACCAGTATGGGTTCCGTTCCATGCGAGAAAACATCCGGAGACATCGATAACGGGCAGTCCCATAAGAGCAAGAAGACCAAGATCATCGAGAAACGTCTGGGGATATGGCGCCTTCTCATGTTGTCTGAGCCCTCTTTCACCTTCGGGTTCCCAGCGTTGCGGGATCGATGGGATCAACAGCGATTCACCCTCTCTGTCATGTGGCGGGCGATCAAAGATATCTACGCGATAAACTGGCTTATGTTTGGGTGGACTACCCTGTGCCACGCGTTAGGAGGGTTCCTACCCGGGTTATCGTTGTATTGTTCGAACCACTTGATGTTTGTTGTGCGTGATGAGCACTTTTTCTTCTCTCAGTATCTATCGCTGATGCTTTCCCATAGACCGAGATGAAGGTTTCCGGAAAGGACTTCGACAACACAGACCTTTACGTAGCTATAGGGTATCAACTTGTTCTTCTGGTCGCGACCCCAGTTTATCATTGGTTAGAGTACGCTTTCTATTGGTTAGTGGCCGCATCCACCCGTTACTCACTTCTTCATTTGCAGCAGGCGCACTTTTCAAGCGCACAGGGTCTTGATTAAGTATCACTTTGAGCAAAGAATCCTAGAAGGTTAGTCTGGACCACCTATCATCTGACATACGGCCGACGATAGCACAGCAAATTTTCAGCGTGACCTCCCCGCCTCGCAAGGTATGCTCCATACTGTGACCCTTGACTGCAAATGCCAATTGTCATCATAGAGAAAGATGCTGAACACGATGTAACTGGCCAAGATGCGTCCGAGGCCATGGGTTCAATCATGAGCTTCGGTCAGAGGACAATATCCTTCTTGTTTCAACTGCAGCTTGTGTATGTGACCGTAATGAAAGGTTATTCCAATGCGGGATCCGTGTTCATCGCATTGAACGCTCTATCCGGTCTCAGTCGTGCATTGGGGCTCTTTGGCGGTGGCCTCTGGAGAAAATGTGAGCTCCCCTATGGACTGATTAGGGCGTTCATTAACCTGGATCGCATAGCCTTCGTCGGTTATATCGCCGACCATGCTTATCTAAGGAAGAAGTCGCTGCGCAAGCTTACCAGTAATGAATACAAGGAAGACATCATAACTGCTAACCTAGCATCATACCTAACCCGCGGTAAGGAGTTACCTATCGCAATCACCGCTCTCTAAAATTTGTATCCCCAAAGAATATTCCACGGCCAAAGAAGCGGTTGGAAACGCAGTTGACGTATGGCCTGAATACGGCATATACGAAGGCTTACCGTTTGGTAGCATTTTTAGTCAATTTATCAATGCTCTACCTATGGTTAGTCACTCCCTGCTTGTTGTTCTTTCGGTTTTCTGCTTCTATACAAGACGGTCTCACGCCAACCTGATAGCTTTATCTTTCCTGTTTGGCGCTCTTTTGGACGAATGACCTGTCCATGGCGCGCCTTGCAGCCATGCAGACGTCATCCAACGCTTTGCGCGGCGCGTTCTTCATGGTATCAATGGAACTAAACAGGCTGCCAAACGAAGTCACGCGTATCAAGAACATTTACACCTTCATCGATATAAAGAATCAACTCGCCTCGGGCTCGACTCCGTATCCATCTCCTGGGAGTAAGTTTGATCGGGGGATGTCTCTAGAGGTCCGGTACGTTTTGTCTTTGAGCCATCTTTTATGGATTCCAATTTGACCAATGTTTATGCATACAGGAACATTTCGTTCACCTACAAAGGTTCAAAAGCATCTCGCGACGCTATCAAGGACGTGTCACTTTCTATACGCGCCGGTCAGCTAGTTGTCATTGTTGGCGCAAACGGGAGCGGGAAGTCTACCCTTTTGCGCCTCTTGGTCCGCCTTTATGCCCCCGTATCCGGTGTCATCGAGCTTGACGGGCGCCCCATCGAAGAGTATAACATAGACGACTTGCGTCAAGCAATGGCGCATCTCTCGCAGGACCACAAGCTCTTTCCGTTGTCAGTTGCGGAGAATATCGGGGTTGGATACCTTGAACGGCCGGACGATCTGGCGCTGATAAAGGATGCGGCTAGGCTAGCCGGTGCGGATCGGGTAATAGAAAAGTTTGAGACGGGGTACGAAACGGTATTGGAGCCCGCGAGCACGGCACAGATGAGCTTCAGCGCGTCAGGAAACGAGGCGCTTACAAGCGAGTTCAACAAGTTAGAAAAAAGCGCGGATGTATCTGGTCAGTTCGAATCCACCCCAACTCAGGGTTTTAGCTGATCTGGAAGTCTCGTGCAGGTGGCGAACGTCAGCGACTTGTGGCGTTTGTACTTTATGTAGATGCTTTGGCATGAGCATACTGACATGGTCGGCAGGGCACGGACATTCATGCGTCTCTTCTCGGATGACATCAAGTTCGTTACCGTCGACGAACCCAGTTCCGCGCTCGATCCGCAAGGCGAATACGACCTCTTCCAACGACTACGCAATGCGCGGCACGGACGGACCATGATATTTGTCACACATCGCTTTGGCCATCTCACGAAGCACGCTGACTTGATCATGTACGTTCTTGCTACTTGCCGCCTGATTTCCGGGGCGTTCTAAAAAGGAAGCATCAGATGCATGAAAGACGGCACTATCGCCGAACGTGGAACTCACGAGGAGCTTCTGAAGGCTGAGGGAGAGTACGCGCGGCTCTATAACGTTCAGGCTGCTGCGTTTACTTCGGATAACAAGGTGCGCTGCTTGGCTAGTCTCCGTCATGTGTGCTTAGGCGAAACCTTGCCTAGGAGTGAGACGTTTGTTTTCAGGAATGCTCGGCACCTTCGGGTATACCACTGCTTTTCTTACTCAATATAGATTGACTCCTTGGTACCATGAAAGACACTACTTTGCCCAAGACGTGTTAGTGTTTGTTCTTTAATATCATCTCATGAAGGAGGTGGCCAACGCCTCAACCGCTATATAACCCCATGACTCCCTTCTTATACGAGTTATATCGTTCCACAGCTGCTGCGCCGGGAGTGTGGTGTGCAGAGTCTCATAGCAACCTTTCTGCGACCAAAGGCTTGACCTGGACCGCCGCTCGCTGGAATCTGCACGGCCATCTTTCCTCGCACTATGTTTTATCTCAGAACTCCTATCGAACCTCAGGAACCATCACGGTTACTGCTTTCTCTATTGAACTACAAACTGAACACTATTTTAGGCGCTGGTTGAGAAAATGTGCACTGCAGCAACAATACTTAAAACATCTGGTCGACCTGCCTCGCAGCTATGTCTCGCATGCGTAGTACGCGGTCGAGCTCGCACCTATACTTCATGGAGGAACGAAGACAAATATCCGTCACAAAATTGTATGCACATATGGACGCCTATGCCTGCATACCTTGACGGTCTGTCGCTCTATATTGGTGCATCCTGCGGCTCCGGGACCTGTTTGATTGGTGTTCATGAATGCAGGAAATTACAACACACCATAGGAAACAACACGAAGGGTGCTTGATATTGAGTACGTCGAGTTCTAGTTTTACTACTCATAGCTAGCCTGGGCGCAAACGATGTCGCCACGCTACTCGTCGCAAGTTCAGACGAAATTGTATCAGACTGTCACTTTGCTGCGGTCAACGAGATTATATTTCATGGATGCGCTTTACAGCTTCTGAGGCCCTGTCATCAAATATTCTCCCGTGGCCTCTAGTGCAGCACTATTGTACAGACTGTACTTTTAAGAACAGCAGAACGTTCTTTCATCCGAACGAATAACACTAACGACCTGCTCCAACCTGTCCTTCACCGAATCGGACTCCGGAAACCAAGATCCACTAAGAATATCAACATGGGTCCCTGCCTGCGTGCGCTGCTCCAAGACCTCCGACAATCGTTCAGCGTGACGAAGAGGTTGGTCGATTTCAGATGGGCTGCTTAAACCCAGTAGTGCGAGCTCGGACACTGGAGCGAGTCCTTGCTCCGTGGGTACGAGGGCATCAAACAACTCTGAAAGGGGCCCTTCCTCCACATGTGCGTTGAGAACTCGGATCCCAGGTAGTGTTGTGCAGGGCCGGGCTTGGCCTGAAAGCCCTGGCTTTGGCCTGGCTTTTGAGGGCTTGGGCTTTGCAAAAACCCAGGCCAGGCCCTGACGTAGGGCCAGGGCTTGGCCTGGGCTTGGCTTTGGCCTAGGCCAGGGCTTTCACTATGAAATCGTGTATTTTGCTTCCTATGTACATAAAAAATCAGAGCAGAAAAATCAGAGCAGTCAGTTTTCTACTCAATGAAGCTATCAGGATTGATCAGACAGTAAAAAACAGTGACAAAATCGACTTTTTATTGTGTCGCATAATTACTGTAGTAAAAGACACTTATTCATCCAAATCCCAATGGTTCTCATTGTCTGAAATACCTAAAATTAAGTCTCCAAGTCCATCATCATGCTTCTCAGCAGTCATTTCATCAATACCATTGTCCTCAGCTTTCCCTAAGGATAACTCAGTTGCTGAGGATGGCCCTGGCTCATGGGAAATTAATTCCTGGCAGCTGAGTATCATCAACACCTGAATAGCTTCAACAACATCTCCACCAATGTGATTGCACCTTTTTGTGATTATTTCAGCAGCTGTAAAAAAAGCACGCTCACTGGACACTGAAGAGGCCATAATAGACAAGCAGCTGCTTGCAAATGATCCCCAAATAGGGTACAAAGGAAAATTCAACTGTAGCACCGATTAGAGTCATAAAATATGATACAACAAGATGACTTACACCCCACCAATGGACAATAGATATCTCTTTTGGAAGAGGCATCACAGAGCCAAGGTAAGCATGAAACTCTTGAGCCCAAGGTGCTGAGGCATTTTCAGCTTCACTGTTTGCACCAAAACTGTCTTCAGGACATTAGTAACCTGCTGAGTCAAACATCACATAATCACTAACATAACTCTCAAGGCTATATTTTAATAATAGGGCAAGTGGGTCAGATAACACCATAGCTAGGACACAGCGCACTTTTGATTAGAATTTCCCACAGTCAATAGAAACATTGTACACTACTTAAGTTCAAGCTATACAACTTTTTGCTACTAGAGTAATTGTACAATCATATCAACATTTTTCAAAATTTTAGCTACAGGCCCTGGCTTAGGCCCTGGGCTCGGGCTTTGCAACAACCCAGGCCAGGCCTTAGGCCCTC